TCAAACCACGTCCCCTCTTCCGTGTCGCCTCTTGCTTTTCATTTTCCCCGCTTTTGAGAAGATAACTATGGTATTTTCCTTTGAAAACTCAAATGGTACTCCTCATTCTTTATACAGTGAAATTAAGCAATAACATTGGCACAAGAGTCATTCAAACTGGTTTTTCCTGCTTCTCTTCTCATCTTCTGAAACTTTTTTTGATAAGATACACAGTGCCTGATCACCAAGCTGATGATTTACTTTGTATGAAAGTGTAGGGGGCGGGGGGCGGTCTCCAAAAAAAGTTTTTCGGCCCTTCGGGCCTCAGTTTGGTCTAAAATAAGGGGGGGGCGGGCCCCCCGGTCCCCTCCCCTGGATCCGCCACTGCTCTTAGAGCAATGTCTGATGTCTAAAGTAGACCTTATTTCTCTTATATGACTTACGTGGAGGTTTGGTTGTTCCACCAGCACCTAAAACGGAGGACAGAGGACCACATTCTCATCAATGTAAAATGAATTATCTCATAAACAATAAAATTTTGTTGACTGGAAAATGAATAACAACAGATTTTAAAAAAATAAACTTTTCACATTTAAAGAGGTAAAAGGCTGTTGGACAAAGAGCAGATGACAAAATCAAGTGTCTAATTTACCCATGCAAGCCCTGTCCTTAATGGATTTAACGACTTCGTCTAGGTTATTGAAGGTCGCTTTATACACATGTTGTGAATCTGGGTCTGTTGCCATATCCCTCAACTGTCCTATGTCGTAACCATTACCAATCCCCACTGCAAATATAGTCACAGCAGAATCCCGCAATCTCTGTGCCGCGTCAGTCACAGGATCTTGTGATTGCCCATCGGTAAGAACGATCAGCATGTTAGGAATGCCTGGACGAGCACTTTTCCCATAAAGGTTGTTTCTTGCTAATTCCAAGGCGCGGCCGATATTTGTACCCATTCTTGGATACTGAATGTTGTCTATTGCTGCTAAGGTGCTGCTTTCGTCATAGTGCTCATCAAAGCCAGAAACTACCTAAAAAGTGCAAAAAACGCGGCTTGCCGATCGTTTTTTTGGCCACAGAACCGGGCCTAACGAGGAATGTGAATGATTTGGTCAAATAATGGAAACTGTTATAATATCGGACAAGCAGGAATAGCGGCGAGGCTTAGGCCAAAGATAGAAAACAATATTATCAAAATTGTATAATTAGCAATTAATGAATGAGGCTGAGTAGTATATGAAGAATTAAGCAGATCAAGGAGGGTGTTATCTACCGAGGCCGAAGGCCGAGGTGGATAACACCCTCCGAGATCTGCTTAATTCTTCATATCCTACGAAAGCCGAATTCATTAATTGCTTTATTATTCATTCAAAATAATTCCTAGTTTAAAAACATAGCTGAAACATGCTTACCTGCATCGATGTTAAGTTCATCTTCGATACTGTACGTCTAGGTTTGTCCAGCTCCGCAAATATTCTCCAAATAGCAGATGTCGCCCTCTGAGTTGTGTTCTTGCTGTTTTTGCCATGTTTTTAGTTATCATTTCGCTTAGTTCCAGCTGTAGTTCTTACTCTTGAAAACGAGTGAAATGTCCGCCATTTTTTTTCACAACCAAAACAACTCAACCTTGTCCCCAGGTCTTGTCGGTTAACGGTGCCTTAACCTGCAGAAGGCTGCATTTTTGACCTGATTTCCTTGTTAAACACAGAATTCTTCCAAATTTGGTCATCAGTAACTGGTTATGGGGAATTATGCGTGTGCTTTTAGCCAATCAGAATTGGGGAAATATTTTGGATGAATAATAATATTTTTTATGGTATTAAAATTAAAAAGCACATTATAACCAGTTTTTCGCTCACTTGCTGTATTTCCAGTACTGTACTTATGAATTCAATTATTAGAATACTGTTCCCTTTAATAGCCTATTTTCTTCATAGGGTCCAAGGCTAAAGGAACTTTGCCAGTTCAAATTGACTAATAATACTGATACCAAGCTCATGATTACCAGACGAAAAAAAAAATTTGCATACAAACCTTGGCATCGCTAGAAAAAATTATAATCCCAACGTGTGTGCCATCTCTGGAGACTTCGAATGCACTGACAATCTGCTTTACAAAGTTAAGTTCCCGCTTAAAGTTCCCAGGTCCCGTTTGTTCTATACTGCCAGAACCATCTATCAAAATTCCAAGATCTACTTTGGCTGTACAGACTAAAAAATGGTGAAAAATGTTAAATTACTATATTTGTTATATTTAACTGTTTTTAACATTCGAGAGGCTATTGTTGACTCAGATTCCTTTAGGCGCTTTCGATTTGTCAGAACTGACAGGCCAAACCAATCATGTCGTAATGAGAATTTCACTTTTCATCAAAACTATCCAGACCGATCAGTCAAGTCCCAAATAGTGTGCACGAAGGAGATAGTTTTTCAGCAAAAACCCTTGAAAAAAGCCGATTTCATTTGCTAACTGACTGGTCCGGCCGGCCAGTTCTGACAAATGGAAAGAGCCATTAGATCCTACGTGAACCTAAGATGTTAATTTGTATAGAACTGAAATTTTATCATATAGTGTGGGCCAAGATAGTACTAGAAGAGAAACCACTGACTTAGCCTCCCCGCAGACGTCCTTTGGGGTTCGTTTGTCAATGAATGCGTGACAAACGAACCCCAAAGGACGTCTGCGGGGAGGCTACCACTGACTGTGATTAATATTCAAATGCATCCTTGATTAGGTCATATGGTTTTGAAACTAATCACCGATAATTTCATTTCAGCCTACAAACAGTAAGTCAGTACCCTAAAATGTCATGTTTGTATCAACTTGGGGTATATTTTATTTCATTTAATATTTTAAATATTATTTCATTCCACGGAGATGAAAGTTGCTTTTCCTGATTTATTTTAGAAAGAAACACTGGCAATGGTTTTCATTTGTCTAGAAGGATATGCTTGTCTTTGAGTGTGTGTCCGGCAATAAATTTGTTTGGTAGGATGATTCTGCTCCATATGGAAAATCTTTAAAACAAAAAATAACTGGCAGAAAGGGGGATTATAACGGATTTAGACATATTGGTTAGCCAAAACTCACAGTTTCAGAACTGAATAGATGAACTCTAATTTCAATTTTTCTTTCGAAACAAGAGAATTACAGATACAGTTTACCTGACGAAGGTGTTGAAGGCGTGGTCAGGGCTATCAATGCTGCAGCAGGTGGCTGTTGGGCTAAAATAAATTATTAGTTTAGTAAAGTTTAAGTCCGTTTATCCTTAAGGTCTCCCTCTAATCATTCCAATTTCTCTGAGCCAGTGATGAGTCGCATGCATGTTTCTTAAAAACCGCGAGAAACTTAATTATGTAATTGCACAACCCAGACCAGGTACTACAAACTTCATACAGATTATGCACGTGGCTGAGCTGACCATGATGCTTGGACAAATGGCGGTCTCTACCCTAGTCTAGTACATAACGTACAGTTTCCTTAACTATGTGCTAGGTTACAAAGGTTTATTTGTCAAAACAATGATTCATTGTTGACGATAAACATGCTGTCCCCATACGACCCCATTGGTTGCAAGTTATTATGCGTTTATTATCGTTTTAAGAACATTTTGTCAAATGTAACTTCAAGTTCTGATGTTATTTGTTCATTCTCAGAGGCAGTAACCCTGTTTTCCTTAAAAATGCGTTTCAGTGTCCGATATTACTGATCTCAAATCACGTCCTGATTAATACAACTGATACTACTAAGTAATATCGGAAGTGAGAGCTTTTCATGATTTAAGGAATCCAAAGCAACTGCATTGGCACCTCTTGAGTTCTCACATAATCTGGCAACCAAACGTTTACGGCGCTCTTATTTTCGCAGGCCACAACGCAACGTCTCTTTATTAACCGCTACTATTTTACTTACTTGCTGGGGTGGGCCTCGGAGTTGATTGAATCGGTGGCTGTGTCGTTGGCTGGGTCATTGGACTAGTTAGCCGAGTCGTTGGCTGGGTCATTGGACTAGTTGGCTGAGTCGTTGGCTGTGTGGTTGGCGGAGTCGTAGGGACTATTGAAAACACACAAGAACATGGGCACTTTTAAGGGTCCAATTTTTTTAAACTGCCGCAAAACAACTCCTTTAACTCCAACACTAAAGCTACTGCTTTTAGTTTGGAGCTTCGTATAACAATGGTCGCTATAATCAATCTTTCGCAAGTGTTACAGCAAAAAGACAAACCCATCCCAACAACCCATTCCATATCACCGAATGTTAGCTCAACTGGTTTAGTACCACGATTTGGGAGTGGTAGCCTCGGGTTCGATTCCCGGCCAGACCATCATACAGGATCTTAAAAAAACACGTGGAAAGAAAATGCTACCCCGCTTTGCTCTGACACCTGCAAATGGATAAACTTTCTAATCTTCTCAGACGACTATAAACGATAGGCGCTATATCACAGCACTCTACTGATCTGACTCTTGTGGAATGCCGTAACAAATAACTACCAGAGGCGTAACAATCTTTGGCAATGCAACTCCAAGTGTATGTCCTTCACGTGTTGTGGGATTGGGTACGTACGTGGGGCACCTCACACGAGACCTGTGCGATTGACCAGTTCGTGCCCATTCATACTGGGCAAGTCTAAGTGTAGAAGAGTTTGAAAAACTGGTTATACCAAATACATATCCCACATCAATAAGAACACATCTCATCTTGGACCCAATGTCCATTATCTGTTGATTGACACCTACAAAATCAATTGGCATAAACGCCGCCGTATCATTTATAAATTGATTGTTATATCAAATAAAGGAGGAAAGTTTTACGCCTTACCAGGACAAATCTGCACTCCACATGGGCGAGTCTCGATGGTTGTAGTTCCGCAACCTGGCGTGATGTAAGTGACCTGTGACGTAAAACACGTGCGATTGCGCGTTTGCACCGCAGTATTGTTGCCATTGCCACAAGTCTGTGAGCATGGTGACCAGGAAGACCAGGGATTGTAACTAGCATTCACTAATGGCTCGCTATTATTTCCTAGGAAACTGCAATGTAAAAAATACAAAGCCATCGCCGAATACATAAACAAGGCTTCACGAAATAATTAAAGCATTATTACCTACCTGTACACCTCGTTGCTCCACTGTCCACCTTCTCCATCTCCTAAACAAACATTTTACAAAAATAATCTATTAGCCATGACTTAAACTAAAGGATAAGAACAGCTGATGATAGTGTATCAACTATAATCAAATCCTAATTTATCATGATTATAGAACGTTAATTTATTTGGAATTTGATTGAAAAGTGGGTGTTTGAAAGTCCTTTATTGACCATTAATACTTGACTATCTGCGGATTGTACGCTTATGCGCAGGTAGTGCTTTTTCGTATTTTTTTTCAAGTTAGCTGTCATATTATTATTGTTTAGTAAAATTTAGAAAAGCATTGAACTATCTATTAATAGGTTTGGTTTTGGTATTGTACACAAAACAAAGTTTTAGTGGTCGTGTGGTCGATGAGGAGTCCTGGGTGTGAGGAATTATTACTTGCTCCCGAAGAGAGGGGGAGAATAGACAGCCAGGTAAAAGAAAAAATTGCCAATCCCCGGTGGCATACCCGCGGAATACCAGGTTATTGGTTCACTGGTAATTTGGAACCATGCTTCAATCGTACAAGGCCGAATACAGGCTTAATATACCACAATAAAATCTTACATGTTTCAGACCTTAAAACACTCTACATTATGTTTATTTACCACAACAGCCTGTACTTGGTCCATATTTCCTGAAGGAAGTCTCTGCGTTTTTATCTCCAAAACACTGTCCCCCGTTTTGTAATGCAAACATTTCAAGGTTTTTCTCAAGGGATACCTGAGCACATTTCATGAGCGCGTTTACACGGGATCTGTAATCCAGGTCTTTAAGTAGTGGGTGTTGTCCCTCCAGTGGTTTTATTGCTCGAACTGATGTGTCGCTCCAGCAACCGATGCTTTTAAAAACTGCCGAAATGTAAGACGAATTGATCTTCAACATGAAAGTGAACATGATCTTCGCAGTAGAATGAACAACCTAACCGGATGAAAAACTACATGTACTCGGTAGAAAAAAAAATGAAATAAAGAGAAATTGACTGCACTATGATTTTATGCCCAAGTAACGTGTGTGAAATTTTTTAGGATCTAAGCCTCTTGTAAAAATCTCTGCAACAGCTTCAAAGAGCTCTGTGAAACAGACAATATTTACAAGTTGACAAAAACTAGCCTCCTCCGCAGGCTTCACTGCCCTGTTTTAGAGAACGAGTGGGAGAATGGGGAGAGAACGGGGAGTGACAGTGATGCCTGCCAAATATCGACAAGGTGATCGTCTGCGCATGTCGCGCACACAAATCCAATTTGTGTACGGGATAGTAGGGGAATTTTGAGAAACCAAGGGCCGTTTATCGGGACCTGCAAGGGTTTGTTAGTTTGTCGAAAGGAAAAAAGCGTTAGGAAAACTTATCCAGGATATTCCTTCATCTGAATCCTCCAGGACCAGCAAAACGTATTTATATTTTTGCAAGAGCCATAACAGGACCTGTCCTATTACGGCTCTTGATTTTTGCTACTAGTAAAAATTTGAGGAATTTTTTTAATAAGCCTCCAACCAACGCACATGTAAATGTATGTCACGGCGTTGATGCAGCGGGCGAACGATTTTTTTCTACTCTTAAAATAGTCAGTAAACTTTACTACAGCCTCCAATTTATGTATTAATATAAGCTTAAGCTCATGTGTGTTGATGTCTGTGCGATCGAAGTATGCAAAACCAAAACTAAACTTAACAACATTTAAAACTTATATGATCACTTTCTTCAGTATAAAGACAGACTTATGTGTCTTGATAATCATTATCATTTTTTGTGTCAAACAAGGATAAAAGAATCAGCCAACTTGAGATTTTCTGACTCGGCAAATGATTAATTTAAGCTTAATTCAGTCGAGCGGGATCAAATCTGCACAGTATGGACGCTTTTTAAACAGTCATATTTAAAGATACGAATCTTATGGCCAGTTAAATTGAATTTGAATAGTAGAAGGCGATGTCGAAACAAAGAAATGAAAAACTAGGATAACCGAAGGCTGCATGGTAAGTCGTGTTATTTATTCAAACTTGTATTAAAAGCTGAATGAAATCATTGACAACAAACTTTTGAGAAAAGTAGAACTAGCGAGACAAAATTCTGAATCAAAAAAGACAGAATCTAGATTCAGACAACAAACATAGAAGACGGAATAACAAACAGAGCAAAAATTTTGAATAAACTGTGCATAAAATCAAGATTGCAGTACTTACAGCGCGCTCGCTTGTCTCCATGTCGGAATGTTAGAATGGCAAAAAATTTTCTTACGGGACTGGACTTGTAATAATTGTCTGACGAAAGCCCCCCTGGGAGCCCGGGTCCAGTAACTGGTCCACAAGGATGAAGGACGTGGCCCAGTCTCTTCAATTTTTGGCAGGCAACTCCACAACATTTTTTCTCCTTTTCTCATCCTCAGACTCCTCACGGTCACTGTAACCAGACTTGCCTGCGTAGGAGGCTAGGCAAAAACTACCAGTTTTTACTTTCCTTGTGGGCTTCAGTTAGCTCTTTTACATATATGTGGTCACAAAGCTTGCAGGTTCTTATTAAACTACTGTAATCATCTCAAATAACTATTTGCAACCCTGATGTTTAGATCTATCTTCAAGGCTTTTACTGTATCATTCACAATTCTGGATTCTTGTAAATTGATCAATTCCAGATAAGATAGCTTACATTTTCCTTTAATTTCAAACTTCTCCGTCCGATCTTTCCTAGGCGAACCAGAATTGGAGCAGTGGTAATGGATACTCTGTCCAGCAGGGGCGGGGTGGGCCGCTGGGGACACTGCCGGGGTTTCCGCGGGATATCCTCCTGGATATCCCGCATCTGGTGAATAAGGATACGAGTACGGTGGGGGATAAGGGCTCGGGTATGGATAGCCATTGTTAGTTGGGTAAGAAGAAGGGTAGGACGATTGGTAAGGACTTGGGTTGTAATATGAAACCGCGTATTTCTTAGACTTGGACAAAGAAAGGGTTGGTGACTTCAATGCTCTCAGGAAAGAAGAGGTGTACTTCCCGTGCTGATGTTTGCGTGCTTTGCTGTCTGTTGAAACAAAGGTTTGAAAAAATATAAAAATATGATATTTGAGAAGACCAAAATTTGACTAGCTTTAGCAGATACTTTCGCTAATTACAATGTACAAGCAGCCCATTATTTCTTAGTTCCTAGAACGAAAAGCGCCTCTTTTTTTGCCGTTCGACGCTCGGCATTCGTGGGTATAAAGCGCTCATTCACCATACTTTCAAGAAATATAAGAGACTACTTGCTACTTAGTTCGGACATGGCAAAATTCTGTAGCACCAATTCCATGAGGATTCATGATTTATTCTAGTTTATTGACCTATCATATACGTAAGCCAGTTTTAGTAGTAACAATCATCATCATCATCATCATCATCATCATCGTCTTCATTGAAAGGAGAGACAAGAGTTGTCAAATAATAGAGTCTGGAAATTTTAAAGGACGGACGGGTAAGAGAAAAGGAAGATGAGAAAGTTGAAAAGTATCAAGATCTAAGGACAAAGGTGATTCCAGCGGTAATGGGGGCATTAGGATCAGAACCAATAGTGAATTTGGCAACAACCAGAAGGTTTTTGACGTGGAAATCTCTGGCAAAATGATCCAGACATGTACGCTGTTAGGGTCAGCAAGAATTTTAAGAAAGGTGCTCGAGATGTAGAATTGTGTAAAGCAAACAGATTGTATTGACTGGCTTCCCTTGACAACTTGTTGCTACCCGGAGACAGAGAAGAAACCAATTATAACAACTATAGCCGAGCGAAATTTCAATAATGATAATGATACAAAATAATAATAATAATAATGATAATAATAATAATAATAATAATAATAATAATAGTAGTAGTAGTAGTAGTAGTAGTAGTAGTACTACTAGTAGTAATAGTAATAAGTATTTGTGATAGATACTTATAATAGTGTCAAATACTTTAATTATCGTCTTCGTTTTAGGGGATTTTCAGACATCAAACTAAACAAATAATTCAAATTAGACGTAACAAGTTAAGAATTTCAACTAACAGGAGGTGATCCAGTTAGCTATAAATTTTACAGGCATGTCTCCTAAGTCGGGCCTCCCGGGAGAAACAACCCTAGTTAGTGGTCAGAGCGAGGATTTGACCTCGGACCAAAGTTAACGCCCTAAAGAACTCAGCCACGCTCTGCCTCCTAAGGCCCAGTTCAAACGATGATTTCGCGAACTTTTTATGTACCGAACTAAAAATACCTGTTTAGGTCGACCTAAAAGATACAAGTTCGGCGGTTGATTCAGACGTCGAACTTAATTAGTCGTCCTGACTCAATTTATTTTCATGATGTACAATGGTCTACAATGCTGGTCAGTGAAATTTAATTATAGTAATTTATGCATTAGGTTCGGCACATGAGAAGTTTGACGTTTGAAACGAAGACGCTCCACAGTCGAAATTCCTATGTGGGCCACTCGATCATAATTGATGGGTCGATCTTTTTATGTACACAATTGAAGGCATTAGGTTGGGTACATGAAAAGTTCGACGTTTGAACTGGACCTAAAGTAGCACTGATGTGTATAATACATCGTTGAGAAAACGTGCGCTTTCTACAAACATTTTCCCACAAGCAAAAGAGGATGGCACGATTTAAGGTGGCGAGAAAAGGATAGGTTACAGCATTGGCACTATAGTGCAATTTTATATTGAATTGTTATTAACTATAAATTAAAGTGATTCCCACCTTCATTATGAGAATTCGTTGTCCTTCTCTTCAAAGCAGAATCGGCCATTTGTCCTTCTCTGATCAAGAATACCATCACAAGATACAAACAGAGTCCCGTGTTATTTTCAAAGAACATGGTGCTTGATATTTCCACCTGCGAGAAAGATTATATCGACTTAAAACTGGGAATCTAACATTCAACCCGTTGTCTTCAACATAATTTGGCTAAATTAAATCGCCGGATAACGTTACTTAGATATTAGTTTAAAAACCTGGCGTCGTTTGTTAAAACCTCCTTTTTTTTGGTACTATGTATGTCGAGATTTGTTGGCTTTCTTTTCCTATGTATTACCTTGCTTGCCTTCCTTTAATGTCACGGTGTCCTCTTATCCAGAATATCCAAACTATGTTAAGCTACAATCTGATACACAAAGGCTCTCGACTTGAAAAAGTAACTTTGAGAAGTAATAGTTTTCTTTCAGTTTTCACTATTGTAAAGAGCAGGTTAAGGTAAACAGATACTATGGAGGGGCGTGGAACGTACCTCATTAATTTTTAGCAAGCTAAGATCTCTCGATTTCATTAGATAGATGAAATTAGCAAAACTTAAAACGTTTTCTCCAAAAATGTGGGGTCGGAAACGAGGTGAAATACCAAGAAACAGAAGATCTAGTCAAAAAATGTTGATCGTGAGGCAAAGCATTGATCGAGGACCTTTAACCGATTCTCAGTAGTACGACATATTCGAGCACTGAAACTATACACTGTCTGCAAAAAAACATTTTCCAATAATGGCCTATCTCACACGGTATAAGTCCACCACATTTTAACGGAAAAAATCAACCGTTGACTTAAAACGGTGTAGTATTCAACTTACCAAAATTCAAAGAACTAAAACAGTGCCATTTCAAGCAAAGTCAATTGTTGCTGCTCAGTGATTCTTACCTGCTGGCCTCAATTCACAACGGTGACTTGAAAGGATTTTTTTCCTCTTCCCTATCTGACCCTGAATAGAACGTCCCCTAGGCATTTGCAGGTTCCCTCTGATACGTTGACATTTCTACACCTGCTGAAAAGATATGGTATGGTAACATATGGCAGTACAACATAGATTATAATTAGGTCAAGCCTAAAAGCGGAGCATCCATTGAATACTAACCTTTTATAGTCAATACAATCGAACCAGATGTCTCAGTTTACCTAAAAAAAAATACGTTAAAGCCTCCGGGTTTTAAGCCCCCTCAGGATATAAGCCCGTCCATTAGCTAACGAAGATGTTATTCCGGATATAAGCCCACCTGTTTATAAGCCCATCTAATGTCTAAGTGTGTTCCTTTTGCGTTTCTTTACAAACATCAAAATTTTTAATCTAAAGTTATAGGCATAAACAAGTGGATGTGGAGTTTAGAGCAATAATTAAAATGATACCGAAGAAAGAAACAAAAGTTCATGCATACATAACAACGCTACGAGTTCTGTCCCACTAGCTGTTCATTTCCAAAACAACTATATAACAAATATGAACTTTATTAATGCTACCGGGAGGACAGTTTCACAGCAAACACTACGGGCAAATTGATAACGTTAAGGCTTGTAGTTTTTTTACTTTCGTTGAATTCCGTCCCCACTTGTTCCAGTCGCATAAGTGTTTTACAGATGTTGTTTTTGAAATACATTCTCCGTTTATTGTGACGCCTGCACAATAAATATATTAGAAAACGTTACTCTAAATGTAATGGTATGCATTTTTTTTCTCAGATAAGTTTTATCTCGTCGTTCCGAAACAGATTTTTTTATTCTGCTTATATGCCCCCCGGATATAAGCCCCCCCGTTTATAAGCCCACCCAAAACCCCTTATAAAGTTATAGAAGCCGGGGCTTTAACGTGGGATTTTACGGTAAGCCCGCATTCCAATAAATTGTTTATCAGCCGCTGGGCGGCTGATAACTGATGAAGAAGCATGAAACCTCGACGGGTTGTCACCCAAGCAGAGACGCTGTCACGCGATACCAGTCATCAGATGACCAATTATGAATTTGATATGTATGGCGTGTATTACTATACGAAAGACTGCATCGCTTTCTCAGTAATTTAAGTTTACAACGTCAATATGTAAGCCGTAGCTACGTATGTACTCCGTGCAGTGACATTAAAACCTAGAACAGTAATGTATGCAAGCATTGATTTAATTAACCTACGGCCAAGCAAACAAATCTTACAACCGACTGAAAATTGGAAAATACTTCCAAGCGCATGCGAATCGCACAAAAACACGCACACGAGCGCAAAATAGACTCATGGTGTAATTTCAAATCCACACTTCAAGGACCATTTAGGCCCTTAGTAGGCTATTCAAGCTTTCAAGAGTTCAAAGTTAGAGCTCACCAAGAAACGTAGTCAATAGCTGTGGACAAGTTATGAGGACCGTTATTAATTACCTAACCTGAAACGCTTTACTTTGTAAGGTGAGGGCTAAAATACGTCCAGTTATCTAGAAAGAAATTCCGGTCATTTGTCAGTAGAACGTCCTCGGTAGTATAGTGGTGAGTATCCCCGCCTGTCACGCGGGAGACCGGGGTTCGATTCCCCGCCGGGGAGATATATTTTTCTTATTTTAATTCACTGGGGGTTTTTATTTTCTTTCACTCAGCACAAGAGAAATCTTTGTTCTTGTTTACAGGTTGAACAGAGCACCCTTACGCTTGCGCTTGTGCTTACTACCGGACATTTAGCAACCCATCGATTAGCTGATTGATTGGTCGATTGACTGACTGATTGATTGATTGATTGATAAATTGATTGATTCGTTGATCGACTAATCGACTGATTGTAATTGATTGATTGATTAATTAGCTGATCGACTGATTAATTCATTGACTGATTAGTTGATCGACTGATTGATTGATTGACTGATTAATTGAGTGAGTGAGTGAGTGAGTGAGTGGGCGAGTGAGTGAGTTACTGATATATTAGATAGATTGATTTATTGTTCGATTGATCGATTCCTTGATTTATTGGAGGATTGTTTCGTCGATTGGAGTTCAATGTATTAATCGATCAAGTGTGTTTTCTTCTTCTTTAACTCTTTTGGGAAAGCCAAGTCCATTTAAGTGAGATGAGTATAAACATGTATTTATTTTGTTGATAGTTATTACAATTTGTTAGTTTCGGTCAGGATCTGAATAAGTAAAGGTCGCCGGATGCGCTATAGCATTGCAGCACTTGTCATGTGGTTGATAATTTAGCAACCCATCGATCATTGTTTAACCCAGTAGCCCAACATCCCTTGAACATATATACGACAGAAGGGCAAATTTCACCGCCTCGTTCGCGAACAAACGTTTTCGAATCAGTGCACGGGTATTCTTTTCAACTCTTATAATAACTACTGCCGTGGGAATTCATGTAAGTAAAAGTTCGCAATTTACGCTGACTTGAAAACAAGGCTTGGGTTAGATGTTCGTTCATCGCTTTCATGTATTAGGACTATTGATTCTCTGATAACAATGCAGAAAGTTTTAATTTCTTTTCAATAACCTTTATCCCATGTTATACCAAGTCCTCGGTAGTATAGTGGTGAGTATCCCCGCCTGTCACGCGGAAGACCGGGGTTCGATTCCCCGCCGGGGAGTGTTGTACTTTTTTACAATTTCATTATTAATAGTACACGATTTTATTTTTTACTTATTAGCCTAAGCCAAATTTGGCTTATTAATTGTACGCCTTATTTCGTGAAAGTTTATATCGTCTTTTATTATATAAACACCAGTGAAATACCAGGTGAGCTTTCACATGTTATCTTCACACTAATGTACTGACGAAATATTAAAAGCAACTGGAAATTTTCCCTCCCCGGTTTGAAACATTTTGGGCTGGAACTGGCTTGGCTTTGCACTCAAACCTCCAGGTCTTGTTTTCGTAGGCCCTTCTGAAAACTCAACAAATTCGATGCCGTCGTCACCGTTCATGATTCTGAAATCCTCCAATCTCATTCCCTGGTGTTCTTGCCTTCCACGGAGACCAAGGTGTTGGGTAAGGAGCCACTACATTGTTTGAATTAAAGATTCTGGGTTATTACCTCTGATAATGAGTTTTCCGCTCTTCCAGAGAATTTCTTCTTCCTCCTCTGATACTTGTCGAGCTTTGTTTGAGCGCTTACCACGGCCAGCCAAGCGAAGCTGTTTCGCTTTGCCTTCCAACACCTGTTTGGACGAACTAAATTCTCGTTCACGTAAATGGACTGGGTGTAGCCTTTGTTCTTTAAGTGTCTGTCAAGCGATGCCATTACACTTTAAGGCTTTCTGGTTCATAATCTTCACCTTGTTTATTTTTTACTTCGGGGTAGAAATTCCCAAGCAAACTGTTAAGCTCTGCCGGCTCATAATTTTCTATTTCATCTGTAATTTTCTTCTCTAAGAACCACTTCTTCCAAACAGAGAGCCAAAAATCGTTGCTTTTTGCAGTGTTTTCGTTTTTGGAGCAGTTTCTCAGCTCTTCTATAGTTGTTGCGGTCGCAAAAGCAAATCAGCCATTGCGGTTTTTGCTCGAAACTGGTCCAGAGCGGATCCAAATTTTGCGCCATTCAGATGGCGCACTTGATTGGTTCTCAGTGAGTTCCTTTGTTTATTAACCAATCAGAATGCCTCGTTCGTTACCTCTTATCTGCACTCTATTACCTTTTTTCTGCACCGTGTTACCAAAAAACTCCGTTTCTCTTAGCCAATCACAATCGAGAAATTTTTTCATGTATATTATTATGTTTGTTAAAACGTCTTTTGCTGTGCAAAAAGGTGACCACAAATCCTGCACCCCCTCCGCAAAAAAAGGGAAAAGGTTGTCGAACATAACCAGCCCGTAAATTCCCCGCTTGTCTTTCCCTTCCGAACACCTACCACGCAAGCTACAAAATAACTCACTGTATTTTATACATTATAATGATAACTCAAACTAAAAAAATAGAACTACGCGCCCGATATGGGACTTGAACCCATGACCCTCAGATTAAAAGTCTGATGCTCTACCGACTGAGCTAACCGGGCTCACGCAGGTGTTTCTGTAAAATGAGGATATATGTAAAACAAGGATACAAACAACAAAGGAGAGAAAATGCTTTGTTATTCCTTTTCTGAACAACCCTTAAGATAAACCTTAATCATCCTTGAGCGGTTGCCAAGAATATGAAGGATATGAAGTTATTTTTTTCGTCCATTTCATACAATATCAAAAATGGACAGTTTGCTCTGTATCCTGAAAAAGTCAGTTGATTTTCTTAGTTTAGTAAATTGTTTTTCTTCGTTTGACCTTGACCACTTTAGATAGAAGTCGGTTTAGTGGGGGGCAAGTTTGAACCCCCCATCACCACCACCACCTCCATCCAACACAACATCATCATCATCAGGAAATATCGCTGCTCTTTTCTTAGATATCATTTTCAAATTTGACACGTTCACTAATTTGAAGGCGCTTTTTTAGCAGTAGATCGATAGAGGTTAGCCAACTCAGACAAGTTACAATTGAAAAAAAAAAATCCCCGAGGCGTCCGTCTAGCCATAGCAGGTACCAGCCCATGAAACATGTAACTCGCCTACCACCCGCTACAATTTAACCCTTTAATATCGTTTGTCGTCAGTGGGAACTCGACAGATTCTTTCTCCGATCTAAGTTTATAATTGACACAAGCTCAAAATATCCAAATTAACTTTCTTACTAAGAAAAACACAAAAAGGTTACAACTGCAAAGCCCGTGGAACTCAAAACGCATATGCTTAGATTACAAGCAAACATGCAAACCGCTTTGAGAGGCCTCCTAAACACTAGTTTGTGTCCTAGTGGTTTGAATAAAAATTTCCTAGTCTAAAGGAGACGAATTCATTCATCTAATGTGCCACATTTCAACATTGTATATTCATCAGGGCTCTTCTCTTTTCTTTTGTCAAACCAGGAGATTTTTTCTAATGAATCTAGTTATCCTGGTTATAATTATATTTAACAGGTGCATTGAAACAATTGATTCCTGTTGGCTCAAAAGCATCAACAAAATTTATTTAGACTGGTAATAAAACGACGCACTGAAATCTCTTAAAAAATTGTTCGGAGGGGTGACAGTCGATAAAATTTACCATTTGTAGTTTCTAAAACCTTTGAAAGCGATGATAACCTGTGCTTTCTTCCTCACATTGCTACTAATTACAGTTTTTGGCGGCAAAATTGAAGAGGAGGGCGCAAATGTGCACAAATCTAAAGAAAGCGCCATTCGCAACTGTACTTGGAAAAAATTAAGAGAATCAGGCAGTAATAACATTATTCAGGTAGAAGAAACCTCAGACTCAAGAAGAAGGTTTTCGAATTTAAGATTCATCAAGCACAATTACTTTTTAGAGAAAAGTCATCATGATCAAACAGCAAGGCCTCCTGGGTGTCCTCCATGCCGTAAGTTCTCACCATGTTTTTCGTTTACACGGCGGCCTTATCCTAAACACACGAAACTGTGTCGAAGTGCCAATCGTGAGAGCTAAGAGATGAGATCATTATATTTGCTTGGACTCAGCAGTGAGACTTAATTACTTTATATCATCTACAATTTCTCGTTGAGTATATTGCAAGGAATCTTCTCTTGCAGTTCTTATCGACAAGTTTGTTTTTGCTCTCTTTTGACGGATTGATTGGTCGATTGACTGATTGATTGATTAATTGACTGATTGATTGATTGATTGAATGAATGATTATTTTTTCTTCTTCTTAGCTCTTTTACGAAAGCCAAGTCCATGTAAGTAAGATAAGTATACATTTCTTTATTTTGTTCACAAATATTCATTTTGTTTCATTCGGTCAGGATCTGATGGAGTAAAGGTCGCCAGATACACTATAGTATGTGGTTTGACGTTACATTTTCAGAGTGGTATATTTTGACATCTTGTTTGTTTTCAGTTTGCAATGCTGACATGGACCTGGGATTTGTGGTTGAAGCCTCAGCTAGCGTGGAAAGGCACGGGCAAGGAAATTTTAAAAGGATTCTTGACTTTGTGGAATGGACTGTAGGGAAATTTTCCATTTCACCAACCAAAACGCGCGTTGGTCTGGTAACCTACGGTGCTAAAACTGATTTAGTATTTGATTTTCAGAGGTAAATATTAATTTATTAAATAAACATTGTTGGGGTTTAGTTCAATCTTTGTTCCCAATTGGTAACTCAGCTACAAATTCTTATCTGGCACGAAAAGGCATATTTAATTTTTGCGGTATGCCATACCGCAAACACATCGGTTCACCTTCACCCGATGTGTTAAAAGTCGGTACCAATCGGGTAGACTTCCTACAAGTCGACCTCACGAGTTCTTTGCAAGCGAAGCGAGCTTTTGAGGTCGCGAAGCGACGAAGTTGCGAGAGGTCTTCGTCCCGCGCCATATTAAATCGGACGAAGGACTTTTATGAAAGTCTACCAATCGGGCCAAGTTCCCTCCACTTCATATCAGTAGCAAAAAGTTCCTATAAACCTGCGTTAGATACCCTTTATTTACAGATTATATTAACGAAATAGTGAGGGGGAGGCAGCGTGGCTGAGCGTTGGACTCGCAATCCGGAGGTCATGAGTTCCCGCAGTCCTGCGCATGTTCGTCTGACCAAGAGGTGGATTCTGGCGCAGATTTTTCTCTTCTGCCATTTTGTACAAAAGCCTTTATCTATAGCATCTACCATTCACATGGCAATAAGTGTACTTCAGGGCTAAGTACAGGTCTTTTGCAGGGATTTACAATTACACCACTTAACTCAAGTAAAATTATACTCGCAAGGTGGTTAGTGTACTTATATTTGGCGGCTTTGTATCGTATTTTCAGCCCACAGAGGAAATCTGCTATTGTGCGCGCTCTGCGGAAAGCTTCAAAGCAAAGTTTAACGAGCTCTAATACCGGTTATGCTCTCAGTATGGCAGGATACTATTTATTTGGCACGACAACGTCCAGGATGTGCCTAAAATTCTGATTGTAATCACCGATGGAAGGTGGGTCTCATATATCGTAGTTACTTTCTGTATTTCGTTGTTTAATAACTAGAATTGCATTTACATGCTTGCGTATTTATTTGCTGCATTTGCTCGGTTGCGTTGATTGGCTTTCACATCGAAAAGTACCTACATCTACAGCTCGATACAGAAATGATTAGAAGAGTCTAAGATAAGTTGGAAGGAAGGTAATGTACATGTATCAGAAAGAGAACCTATCTAACTGACGAATATTTGCCTTCATTGCATCTGCAGAATTTAAAAGAACTTAATTTTTTTAATCGTTATGAAGACAAAAGAATAACAAATCAAAATCTGCCACCATTTTGGAATAAGGTCTATTCTCTTCATCGCTAAACTAGTCGATTGCGTTGCATCTTAGATCTACCGACAGCGTGACTAAGCCTGCGTTCAAAATTAAACGATATGGCGTACGGATTTACAGCGTCGGGGTTGGACGTTACTTTGATATCAGACAGTTAGAGACCATGGCTTCAAGACCAGTCAGCGACAATGTGTTTATTGGTCCGTTTAACAAGTTACAGTATATCAGGGATGGCTTAGTGAGAAGTGTATGCTACGGTAGGTATGCATGTATCAAAATTGTGTATTTTTAAAAAAATATGGTAATGATTCGAAAAACTGACTGTTGTAGTCCACCCAAACTGGGGCCACTTTGGGGATATATTAGCGTGTGACCTTTAGAACACTAAGCAACGGCTAGCTCATACACTTACATTATAAGACTGTACCTATAAAAAGCGGAAAATGTAGCTCGGGACCTGAAAGTTGATGGATTCTCTCACGGCGTTTTGACAAGGCAAGCTGTAGCTGTAAACGATGAAGGTTGCTGGATACAACGTGAAAACTAACAAAACCACGACAACGCACATAACCATCAGAAGACTATCACACCAATGTAAAGAAACACTTCTCCCAGATTGATTAGTCTCTGTGTGACTGGCCCCCACAATAATCGTTTCACAATTTTGCTGGATTTAAGAGGATGATGACTAAACAACCACAGAATACGCTGCAGTTTTAGATTATTCTGTCTTCTTGATAAGTATTTGGGTTCAATTTTGCAGGTCCTCTTTAAGCAACATCTAGTCGCTTTCATAATTCTTGGTTTTTATTTTCTTAATGTGTATTTGCAGGAGTCGGTGGGTTTTTAAATAAACCTGGAAATAAACAATGCCTCTGCAAACATGGAAGTAAACGGCCGAGTTAGTATTGTTATTTTTTTTGTATATAAATATCAATATAGATATGTATTGGTCCACTTCAATCATTTCTTATGTCACCGTTAATAACACAATATAACCGCCATTGTTATATAGCTGGAAATTTTTTCTCAACAATGCGCGCTCTCATTGGTTACTTCAAGGTTAAATGACATCTAACAATGAAACTGTTTCCCGCCAAAATCTCTGAGCGGGCAACACTGCAAAATTTATGACGTTAGAGGGTAACATTTCACTGTTACCCGCGAATGTTGACCAACGATCGCTTCAAGCTTTATTACAGAGGTCAAATCGAATCTCAATTATGTTGAGATTCTCGGGAAACAAAATTAACTGTTTCGCGAGCCAACAGTAATTAAGTGTTTAATAGTCTGGATGGGAATGAACACATTAATTTTTTCTTCCGTGATCACTTTCTATATTCTCCTGCCTTTTAATCAAACTGTTGGTGGTTATAAAAAGAAATCAGATCAGTATGGCTACTATTTAACTCTATTACAACCTTGGAAAAGGTAAGGATGATAATGATGATCATGGTGATGGTCAGGATGATGATGATGATGATGATGATGAAAATGATGGCGATGATAATGATGACGATGATAATGATAGTGATGATGATGCAATGATGCAAACTAATATGTTTAACGTTTCTTACTAAACAGTATTTATCTATTCATCTTGTCAGTAATTATAACGACTTACTAAACTCTATCGTTCTTAATAGGCTGTAACAATTTTGCTTCAAACTCTACTTGCACCGAAGAAATATAGAGCAACTAAAGATGGCTGCCTTCAAGCTCTTTATAATAAAGAAACTCCAGCTGTACGAGCATCATCTGAAGTATGAGAGCCTTTGGTCCCCTTTTACAAAAACATGCAACGGCTAATGGTCTTCCTAACAGTTTTGTAACTGCTCGTCAATGGGCTTGGAAGAAAATCGTTATATTGTAGAATTATCAGCTGCGATAGTTTTTTCTCAAAACAAAGTCTTTTTTCTATAGTCTACGAAGCGATTATCTCTTTACTGTCAGAGAATATTTTGCAATTGTATGTTATGAACATTAAAACGTTTTTTCTCACGCTGACTAACCAAACGCTATCTGTGTTACGTTCATGTTATTTATGGTTCACTTGATAATAAAGTTTGAACGAAATACCATCACATGTATGTAGCTGGTGTGGAATTTACTGTGTAAAACTGACAAAAGTCTAGAGGGAAGTGGAGCGAAAACCCTTCTGCGCGTGTAATGTCCACGTGAGAGGGAACAGTTTTGGAAACCGGCTTTTTTTCAGAGGGTGACTCTATTTCGCAGGATGATGGACTTTCAGGATAATGTCCATATGCGTTGAACTATGAAGTGGAGATGTAATGAAACATTTGTTTCTGCTATGTTTGGTTTAGGCGTCTTTTGATGTCGCGAAAACAATTGTTGATGAACTACGCTTATTTCGGGTATATGTGAACTTTCATGTGTATTTTCAGTTTTTGTATTTTCATATTTAATGAGGTTGTCGCACCATCGTCAACACCCCGGCCTCCAACACCAAGTACATTACTGGACAAAAAATGATTCCCAAAGGAACCAAACTTGTTTTCGTCTAAATACCATGGCTTTTTTGTTGCTTTCTTCAACCAATCAGGAAAAAAAATTCGTACCATATGAGTAGTCAGAGTTTAATTATTCAATTTTCATCTCGGCAGCGCCGTTAACTTGTTTAGACTAAGAATGTTTCTGGTGATGTTTCGGAAGTTGAAAAAGCAGTTTTTATGTCCTTTTAATGATTTACACGAACAGAAAGAAAGGTCCAAGCTATTGCAGCACAAATGAAAAACTTGAGAGGTTCACCAGCAGTGCGAAAGTCATTCCAAAATCTTGGCAAATCATGATATATGGATCAGAGATTCTCTGCTACTCGTGCAATTTTATTCCTGACGACAAGTTGAGCCATCTCGCACAACGACTATATCGTAGTGCTAAAAAGGTAATAACATTTGAATTTCATCTATTTAGAGTTTATTCCACATATCGGTAAACTTTTGCGTTTGTATACGGAGCCACTTATTATACTACAGACATTCACAACACAAGATATTGTTTGAGATCACTTGACAAGTACTTTGAGAGATGTTAAAATAATTATTACCCAGTGACACTAAAACTCACATTTGCCACCATTTTTGCACGCATTTTGTAGTTTATATGCATTCGTTGAAAATTAAAAACTTGGTAAATTAGTAAGAGCAACCGTTTTATATATTTCTCGTAAGTTTTGAATCTTCATTCTGTCGTTAGAGAGATGTCACTGATGAAGGACCAACATCGTCATGTAGAGTCTTTCCCTCCCTCTAAAAGTTGCTTTGGTTCCCGTTGGCATGAACTGATCTATGACAGCACTATGAGTGGACCGTGGACAACATAAACACGGCAACAAACCGAGAGGTTCTTGGTATCGTATAATTTGCATTGTTCTTCGTTGAAGAAAGGTCAGGCATAAAATTGTATCATAGTAAAGGAGACTGGTTAGGAAAGCCGGCAAACATCAAAGTTGAAAACAACGGTATTGAAGGTTATGTTGGAAGCTCTCTGACCCTGCACAGTCCTTTGGTTTCGTTCAAAAATTGTGACTGACTAAATTAATGCAATGTTTCTATTGGACAGGAATGCTATTGAACGTTGTGCACGGTCAGGTCCAAAAAAACTGACTTCCCAACCATTCCACTTTAATTCACTATGATTGTATGAAATGCGTTGAGGTTGTGCCCTGCCTACAACGAATTTTCAGCCGTTTAAATGGGTCAGACTGTTATAATGTCAAACTTTGGCATAATAAAATAGCTAGGTTGCAACAACAACAATTGAATAGGTGCCTGCTCTCGAATTGTCCACCAAACTTACTGTGGCGAAAACTGCGAAGAAAGAATTCTCGGCTATGAAGAGATCAAACAAAAGTCAAAATATGAAAGGTGTGTGCGGTAAAGACACCAATAATAAACTTCAACCACAGCCAACAGAAAACAAAATCACAGTCCTTGATTTCCCTATTTAGAACACAGTCTTCAGCGTAACGATGCCAGGGATCGTTTAGGCGGGCGAGCGTTGGTTTTGACGGGTCGATAGTATCAAAACGCAACTTTTAAATACACTTTTAACTTGACAAAATACTAAGCATTTTTTGATTATTTGTTTTTAGCTTCTGATTGATAAATTTTTAAATTACATTCTAATTTTGAATTTTTCCAACTTTTCTACCTTTAAATGCATTTTTAAATTCATTAAAAGATAAAACGTTTATCAAATTAAGAATTGGAGAAATAAAATAAAGCATGAAAATGCTGAAGTATCTTAAAACAAGGTATTAAATTTGAAGCTCCATGACAGACGAAATGGTACAAAAAATAGAGTTAGCAGTATACGCTGGTATTCAGTCGTTACATTTCTAGATGCGAATATTATTGCGTTCAGTAAATTGTTTGACTGGGTGTTGCAAACTCGGGAGTTGGCCTTTGTGTAGAGTTTTGAGGCCACATTGAGTGTCGGTCAAGTGGGTTTAGAAAATTGTAAGGAGCTCGAGTTATCTGTTAGAAGAGGTTCGCCCAAGATAGCTCTGAACCTTGTCTGTATTTATGTCTTTGTAAGACTTTTTCTCCCGCAAGTTGCTGTAAGTTGTGTTTCTGCGTAGCGCTGCCGCAGTTCTTTAGTTCTACAGTTCCGGAGTAATTTAGCTACAGCTAGGTTCTCTAGTTCTGTATATAGTTACTCATGGTTCTGCAGTTCTTTAGTTCTGTGGTGACTCCTCTGTTGCTCTATTGTGTCTCTGTAGTGTACCTGTCTCACTGCTAAGCATTATGTTGTGAGTCTTCTCTTAAGCGCTGCAGTTCTTTGGTTCTGCGGTTCCATAGTTCTGAACTAGGTTCTCTAGTTCTTTGTCAGCTATGGTTCTGTGGTTCTTCAGTTCTGTGGTTCTAAAGTCGAGTTTTTTTGTGTGTGTTATGCGCATCTACAGTTCTTCAGTTCTGTCGTTCTACAGTTTCATAGTTCTGAACTAGGTGCTCTAGTCCAGAAGCAGCTATGATATCTGTTGTTCTTCAGTTCTATGGTTCTGACGTCGTTCCTTCCCTAGTTTTGTCGTTCTGTAGTCCAGAAAATGCCGTGAAAATGTCTAGTGTGATTCAGCACTTCTGAAGCTATTCAGTTCTGTTGTTCTGCAGTCTCATAGTTCTGAACTAGGTGCTCTAGTCCAGTAGCAGCTATGATTCTGTGGTTCTTCAGTTCTGTGGTTGTTTAGTTGTGCTTTTCCCTGTTTTCGTTTTTCCACTCTGTTGCTGTGTTTCTGTACTTTTCAACCCTTTACTTACAGTTCTGGCCTTCTGCAGTTTCTGAACTAGGTGCTCTAGTTCTTACGTAACTGTGGTTGTTCAGTTCTGTGGTTCATGGGCCTCATTTTTGTTATTCGTCCATGTGTTCTGTTACTGTGTTTCAGTGTTTGTCCTGCTTGAAGTTCTCCAGTTCTGTAGTTCTGTGGTTTCATAGTTCTGTACTAGGTTCTCTAGTTCTAAAGTAGCTATGATTCTATAGTTCTGCATTGCTGTGGTTCTGCAGCTGTCTCATCCTAATCATTGTGTTCTTCTGCATTTGCGTTGCGTTTTGCTCTGTGGTTGCACTTCTTTCGATCTTCAGTTCTGTGGTTCTGCGGTCTCATAGTTTTGAACTAGGTTCTCTAGCTCTGCTATAGCTATGATTCTGTGGTTCTGCAGTTCTGTGGTTCTTTAGCTATGCATTTCCGCGATCTATGTCTACTGTTACCGCTTCGTTCTGTTGTGTTATTCCTTAATATTCTCTCCAAACGTATGTCTATGGCCTCTGGTTGTCGAACCTCTTCTTACAGTCACGTTTCTACTTCTTTTTTTTGTCAGCTATGACATGTATTCTATTAAAAAATACCGACAGAGGCCACCTCTTGACGAAGGTAACCCCAGTCATAAACTAAAGTCTGTTATGTTGTGAATCTTTTTGCAAATTGACCGACTGAAAAATAATGACGTATTTTCCACGTGTCTCACGCACAAACAGAAAGATCCTTAGTTAGTTTTCTTGACTATATTCAGGTTGTTTAGTACCTTTAAATATAAAATTGCATGTCTTCTATAAAGGAAAAGCATATTATCAAATTAATGACAGTTCCTTTGGCTTATCACAAAGAAATTACGGTAGTACGAGGGAAAATATGTCGTTTTCCTTTAGTTATCAAAAAGGAAATTTTGACTTTTTTCAGATCAATTAGCTTTAAAAATAAAGACATAATGGCTGTGCTAACAGTCTAAGTCTCATATGATCAAATTATTGTCAAACACGGTAAAAATACTATAACACCAAAACTATGTATCTTGCGTGACCTAGGCAACCCTGATTATAATGTATGGCCTCATGTCGGACGAGATATCTCAAATCAAATTGATACTCGCCATTTTTCGGACTACACCGTGGTTGGCTGGTGACAATCGGAAACTTGTCGGTGCTTCACCGAATACTTGCATTAAAAATAGAGCACTTGTGCCCCCGACTGATCCCTGAAGAGAACCTGCTCTGTCCCCACGTGTCCGCAAATCATAACACATATGAGCAAAAATCAGGGGAGACGTGGTGTCCCTTATAGCTTTCATAAGTATTGAAAATTCCACAGATCCATCATTCAATGATTACTAGTTCTCGAGAGAGCAAAATTGACACTTTGCTCACTTTACTAAGACTAAACGGTGCTTCGCTCGGCCAAAACTGATGTTATGACTTATCTTAAGATATCCAATGGTTGTTTATGAACATTTAGAGTCAACTTTACCGGTTGTTTATCGCAACTGACCTTTCCTAAAAGAACTGAGAACAAGTACCAAAGCACTGTTTTACATTACTATTGCCCAACCAGTTGTAAAGCCATCCCTTAACAAATGAAGAGACAAACTCTGCTTTTGTTTGCATAGAGACTGGAATTTTATTAGAAAATGGATTAGCAAAGGAAGAAAAGGTTGAAAATCTTGGCCAGGTAAGTAAATGTTTCCTGTTTAATATGTCTTTGTCCTCAGAAACGAAAGTGAAGATATTAAAGACTCGTTCTCTATTCAAAGCAACATTTGACTGTAGCAAAATCATAGGTGACAAACTTAGCGCTAAAATTTTTTGATTCATTAGGTATTGAACATTTGATATGAGCAAATTTGTTTTTTGGCTAACTCTCATAAAAATAGCACTGTTGTGCAAAACCTAAGAAGATTCCATTCTCTCAAGTATTTGGATTATTTATACTTTGAAATTTTAATACCGGCGCGCCTCAATTAAGATAATACAAATTAGGTCGAATTAACCCATCAGCAGGCGAAATCTATTTTTTTTCTACAGTATCATTTTTACAGTCAGTCAGATAAACACTCACGAATTTTAAAAGGCAGTCCATTTGTGGTTTTTGTTATCTATATGTAATTATATAACTTCCAGCGGGGGACGAATAGTCTCTAGCCAGCCATGTAAACAGTTCCTTCCCAATGGAAATAATTATTTTTCATTCGCAGAATAAGTCTATGCCTTTTTATGTACAAGAATAACATGTTCTTTTTTACTAACACTCAGTAAGGGACAATTAACCCGTCATACAAGTAGCAAAAAAGAAACGATGTGAAAAAAAATTACTTTAGATACAACAAATCTCAGGTTAACATTGCAAGTTAAATTTTGTTGCGATAATTAGGTCTGAAAACACTAGAAAATCTGAAAGTCTGAGAAAATACGATATTTATCTTAGTTATTGCTTTAACTTTTGTTGCCCTTGGTTTTTGGATTTTTATCTTTAGTTACCGGTTTCCAGTAGTCTGTACATTCCTTTCAAATTTGGTTCAATTCTATGAGCAATGTATGGATTGTGGACCTTTATCAGAGATCAACGTTAATTTTAAAACAACTGAGACGGAAGAATCACTTTAACCCAGTGAAAACACTAATCTAAGGCAGGTTTCCAGGGTCATATCTTAACTAAGCAAGGGTTATTGGATTTCAGGTATATTGTACAACACTAGTTAATTACGCCCTGACGTAGCGGTTTTGATTGTATCAACAGTCTTGTCTATAAGGCGATCACCGAATAGCTAGAAATTAAAAGACCGTTTATGTGAACGCAATGCTCGAATTCTCTTGATGCAATAATAGCAATAAACTCATGGAACTCGCACAAATAAACAGATGTTGGCGTACCTGATTGATATAGAGTGTACATTTTCCCAAATGATCTTTTCTCGTTCTAGGCCAACATGCTCGGCTCTTCCATGTCAACGGTCATCTTGTGTTTGCTTATTGCGTCTTACATTTCTGCTGAAAACGAGAGGACTGATTCTTTAGAGCACGAGCAAAAGAAAAATGGTACACAGGAGAAGCGGCAAAATATAAGTAAGTATATACAGGACTGGTAGGTCCCCAACTCAAATAAGCCCCCTCCCTCTAATGACCCCCCTCTTCAGCGGAAGAAAGTTAATAAGCCCCCCTCCCTTCCCCCTTATTATTCTTCACTAATAAATGATAGACTATATTAATCAATCACGTCGACTGTAAAACTTTGTTTGGACTGATCCGGGATAGTTTATTCACTAACTGGAAGTTCGGATTTGTTTTTGATCCTCGGCTGTATGACCTCCAACGTCTCGTACTTGGGCTTTTCCACTTTGTATTCTAGTTATTTAATGGAAAACGGATACCATCGTCTTTGCTAAATTAAAAAAGCCCCCCCTCTCAAATAAGCCTCCCGTCTCTATTAAGCACCCGCCCCCCCACGACTCAAATGTGTTTGAAATAAATATGCCTCCCGGGTTGCTTGATAGAGGATTTATGGTGTCAGGGGCACCCAACGACGTTTTCCTCTTACATTACCGAACTTTTTTTAAGCTATCCAGAGTATTTTTGGCGGTATGAGAATTTGTACTTGTTCGGTCATCCTAGGGCTACGCGAGTCTTTTCAAAATCACAAGGGCTTCAGGGTTATTTTACTAGAAATATTTAGCCGCCTTCAAGCTATAGAAAATTCTAGACAATTTTGGCATATTTTATATAAAATATATTTTTACAGAAAACAATCGTTCGATAACCCTCGTATATTGATCAACAATTCTACTTATTTGGCATTTATCGAGTGCTAGTTAAACATACATTATGCGTACGTTGGTTCAAATTCGAAAGATATATATACTGTATATTATAACAATACTTTTTTTACTAATGCCACTGGACAAAAGGAAACAGGACACACTTTAAAAAAATTATCATCCCATCGAAAAAAGTCAAAATCTTATCTGGTTTGAGTGAAGTATGTATTTGAAGTGCCATTTGATAAAAGCAAATACTTTTTTAATTATTTCTAATAAGCTTTATTATTCTTATTGTCGTATTATTATCTTTTTAAAGGTTCCTATGAGTCCCATTTCATCATTTGGCCCAGTTTAAAGAAGGGCATCTTAGTGTATAAAATTCTAGACGTAAACGTTGAAAAGTTGAATTATTGGTGATAACATTGCCGCCATTTTTAAAAAATATTTATTACAGAAACTGAGTTTTGATTTCATGAACGCGGAACAGTTTCAACAAGAGACGAAATTAATGATGATGATAGTGATGATGATATTGCTGTCATTGCAAACGATTACATCTTAATCTGAAAATTAAAACTGGCCATGAGAAAAGCTCTGGAAAACATTGCTTTTGTTTATTATTGTAATAGAGTCTATACCATTAATCTGACTTTCATTTATGCTGACTAAACGTATGGCTTTCTTTAATGTTTGGTATAGTTTATAGTGCCCCTAGTGCTGTCCAACAGTATGGTCCAGATGGCTTATCTTGCTGTCCGGCCAACACCTTCTGTCCAGGTATGGTGACTCCACTACATTTTGGTAGTTTGTAGAGGAGACCGGTAATTAAAGGCGGCACGCATCAAAGATAAAAAAGGGCTCAGTTTATGTTGCAAGCTCCCTGACGGTGCAAAGGCCTTTGTTTTTTGTTCGCAAAATGGGACTCAATAAATTATTAATGCCACGTTTTTTGGATAATAAGTATCAAAATCATAGGAATGCTATTGAACGTTGTGCAATGTCAAGTCCACAAAAACGTTTAACAAAGGAGTCTGAGAGGCTTTATAACCATTCCACTCTGTTAACTATGCCTTATGTGCGAGCAAGTCTCGAAAACGAATGGGTTGGACATGGGTTTTTGTACAAAATCACAGATCCGAAATACATAAATTAAACCGTGTACCGGTGCTTCAACCTTAAGACATCTCTGAGCCACTGAAGAAATAATGAGTAGACGTTAAAAGCTACCAAAAGGGTTATGTATCCCGCCGCACCTTACGTAGATGTACGTCAGAGTACGTGACAACATGCAGCGGACAAAAAGAACACAATACCTATCCACATACCTATCAAGTAGGTCTCAGTGGCCCTCTACAACTAATAAATAAGTAAACTAATTAATTAATTAACTAAAAGGGCTTAATCCTACTTTCCTCGATTGTTTATTTAAGAGCAAATACATATTATCTTCATAGGCCCTTATCTGAGTCTCGGCTAGAGGGTACTCCCATAAATTTGGGATAGGTGTGACCCTGACCCTGTTGAAGGATGAGACAAATGAAACTTTTATATTTTTTATTTAGTGTCCAAACCGAAAGATTGACTCCCTATTCAAGGGGAAAACAAAAACTAAGAATTTAAAGGCAACACAGAAACATTCCTTAAATCATTTTCTTACTCTTCAAAGGGATAGTTCAGTTTTAACAGATGTTTTGTTTATCATCTAGATGAGCGTTTAAGCGCTTGAATGTTAACTGATACTACTGAGGTACCCAAACTAAGAATCACATCAGGAACACAATGCAAACAAGGGCTAAAATGATACCCGGCACTTTATCGCGCTATTTAAGAGTCGAAATCCTCAAAAGCCATTACCCTATCGGGCGGCACATACCTATCTAGCCCATATATGGGAGTGCTTTCCCCGGGATCTGAGTCGGGCCAAAATAGATGGCAGGTAGCTATATTTAATTAGAGTAACATACAGAGATGACCCTTGAGTTGTGAATACCTCATAGAGTTGTTCCCATCTGATGTTCAAGAAAGCTTTTGGTGTTGTTTTTGCAGACAAGCCACCATGCCCTTCAAATTTTATGATGTCAGACGCACCAAGTGCACCACTAGATCCCGGACTGTCATTCAACATGGTGCCAGGTAACGCTCAGCTGCCCACCGCCCCGCCACAAACCGCGTCCGTTCTGTCTGCTCCCTATCAGGACAATGCACCAACGCCCACGCCTACGAAAGCAAAGATTTTGTTGCATAATGATCACCCCGAAGAGCCTACAAAAAGTTCGGGTTCCCAGCCAAACAGAGATCAACTCTATCACATAAAAGGCTATCGTAAGTAAATCGTTATTTTGTTAAGTTCATATTTAGTAAATGATGTATTCATGCAAAAATTAACATCAAGCAGTGACGTTGCCCGGAAGATACTTAAATGCGCTGCCGACGAGATAATGCATTTATAGGCCATTTCCAAATAACAAAACTAAAAGCTTTTTTCTTCTTGAGAAAACTCTGGTTTCAATTTACTCATATAGACTTGAATTTTTATTCACGCTCAAATTAAACTGAATGAATGGTTGCACATACCAGGCTAGGGCTCTCCTTGATCAGTAGACTTGCAGCAACTCGGAATAGCCTGGCTTTAATATTTGCTTTCCCTCTGTTTGCGATTCCAGTGATACTTAAACAGACTCGATAGACTCTTCCCTTATTTATCTTTTAAAATATTATCCTACTGCAATATATCAAGGATTTGGAGTTTGTTTTGCAAACCTCCCGTAAAAGACGTTCATTTCAAGTAAAAAATAGAGCATACTGAGACCCTGCTAAACAACCCAAAATTACACATAGGGACAACTAAGTCGTTACCATTTTCCTTGAAGTATTTGTGATACTTTGCTTGACTAAGTTGAGACTCATCCTATCCCCGCCAGGTTTCCAAAGTCTCGGATGCTGGAAAGATACGTGGGATCGAGCAATTCCTCTAATGGAGCACAAGCACCCCTTACTTTATGAAGACGACTATAAAACTAGAACAAACGCCCTGATGAAATGTGCTGAAGTAGCGTTGGACAATAACTTCACTATATTTTCCGTTCAGAACGGCGGGCAATGTTTTTCTGGGAAAGATGCCGAGCAGTCTTATATGGAATACGGTGTCAGCAAATCCTGCAAAGGTTCGGATTCTTACTGTTTTAGTACCAGCAACCCTAATAAATTGCGTCAACAAAATTTAGGGAGTTTCCTTATAGTTGATTGTATCGATTGTATACTTTTATTTAATTTGATCATCACGGTAAATCAGTATCTTTACGCTATGCATGTAGTTCTTTGGTCTTTTTCTTAGGTCTAGTTTGGAAAAAAAAGGCACAGTGGTAAAGGGTTTTTTTCATGATGTGTAAAACAACGGGTTACGCGACGTTTTCGCTCAATTGTAGATAAAGAATGGCGATAATGAAATCTGACCTCTATTTACCAAATTAATTTAATTAAACATGTTTAAAACATTGTACATGCGTGTTTTGTCCTTTAGCTGATGGCGAAGGAGGACCTTGGGGAAACGAAGTCTACAAGTAAGTAACACAAATTATAAAACCTTGTGCTAATAGTTTACTTGTGAATAGTATTTCTCCTCTATAAAGGTGGTTTCTTGATACAGAAATTAAAAGTCAGGTTCGTTGATAAGTCTTGCAGACCTCGTAAATTGTAAAACAATCTTGACTTCTTTTTTCTAACGTCTCCAAAAAGGTTCCAAAGTAACACGTCAGGCCCTGTTAAGTCGCTCCAAATTGACGAAGGGACTTCAAAGGAAAGCATTGCTCAGACTACACCACAACCAATAAAACCCACGATGCCACCAACATCGCGACCAAGTACAGGGCTTTCAACCGATGAGGTCGTCGCAAACGAGACGGAAAGTGCCACGCCTTGGGAACAACATCCCGAGAAAGAATCGATCGAGTCAGAGGGAAGAAGGCCCGATACGAAACCTTTTAAAGATGGCGAGGAGGCCTTCGAAAATGAGTCGGAAAGCAGCAAGAACTGGGCAAAACACTCCGAAAAGGAATCGATCGAGGAGGAGGGAAGGAGGCCAGATATGAAGCCATTCAAGGATGAAGTGGAAAAAGACGCGGTTGTAGCAGAGAATAGGGCGGATAGAATTGCACTGTTGAGCGAAGCCTCTGACGGAAAGGAAAATGATATTTCAGAGGAAGTTTCTGATGATGACAGCATCGACGCTGCCAGCAAGGAGGTTCCTTATCAGTCGGAAGTTCTTAACGCGAGCCCGCTGAAACCAAGGCCGAGACTTGTGACACCATTTAGAGGAAGATGTCCTGTTTGCCGTGAGTATTTCTAATCAAGTACTCAGAGTACTCCAGGGTGTGGATAAGAGGATAAACGAATAAATATAGTTGTCGCTTAAACATAATCTAAAAAGTATAATTCAGCCAGCTTTATTCACTGTCTATTCTGCGCGTCATTCACAACAAAATCGTCTATGCGGTCAGTGGTTTCTGAATGTAGGTCACGCCGTATATGTCACGCAGGTTTCCCGCTTGTTTTGAACCGTCGCGAAAGCATGGCCATCCGTTGTTCTACCGCGTTATAAGAGAAAAAACGCCAAATCAAGAGGGTTTGCAATGAGGAAAATAGTCTTGTGTCAACATGGCTGATAGCACAAGAGATACAGCAAGGAGAGGAAGGTATCTTTTATTCGCCAAGAGTAGGACATGTAGTAAACGTGCGATATTAATTTGTAAGTGTCTAAAACGCGTTGAGCCCGTTGTAGAAACTCACGCCAGCTAAGCTGTGAGGGTGTTTTTTAGTAGGGTTTGATTTCCTGTTCTTACAGTATTTGTGACTGAAGAATACAAGTACCAATTTAAGTTATTAAAATGTGAGATATAGTCGATCGTTTCAATTCCGGCTGTGCTTCTCAACTGCTCGGTTAAGCTGTGAATTAACTAAATTCCCACACCTAACGATACCATTGAATGTCGATTCTCAAATAATTTAAGCTGTTATTGTTGAAATGTACCAGAAGAAATGAAACACACCTACCTTAGCAGTTCTTTCGGCCGGAAAGGTCATGTATTTTACACGTGTAGAAATGGTCCACGGGCTGCTGTTGGAGTGAAAAATCTGTACGTCACGGTGTCAATGTCACGTAGGGACTCTGTCGCAGTGGCGCGAGAGATCATGTTTCACTTTGAAGTATTTTTGGCGTTACTTGACGGGGAATCATGTAACAGAGCATATAAAGAATTCAAGTGTACCGATAAAATAAAATTTAGACTCTATTATTCTATTTCATTGTGAGATTTAAGATTAAGTCAGCACTGGTAGTGCAATTTTTTTTTTCCTGTCAGTCTCTCTCTCTGTATAGCTGAAGCTATCTATATCTGGCTTACTGTTTTTTTTTCTCTACAGCAACGCTGAAACCCACACGTCCAATGAGTAAGTAGTTCCGCAGAAAATAATTTCACACTATTGTAGGTTGCAAGAACTCGAAACTGAAAACGACGTAAAAAAAAGGTCATGCGCAAATAATAAAGTGGTATAAGGACCTATAAGGTATTTGCATTTCAACCGCCCCAAGGGCCGTTTTCCCTTGCCCTGAGGATGAGGTTGAATACATATGACAGATATACAAGGCCAGCAGTCTACTGAACCTGTGATTCCATCGCAACCCAACAGGTCTTGCGACAGTCTATCCATAGACTGAGATTTTTTGTGAGGTTTTTCTAACTTTTTGTATTGGTTATGTATTATTGTCTTAGCAGAGGCTCGATTTCTGTCGCTGTCTCGGTTCTGGGGCTTCCTTCCCGAGAAGGCACGGGAAGAACGCGGGGTCGTTTTGTAATACCCGTAAAAGCAACTGACAATCGAGCCTAGGAAACCATAGGATGATTGTTTTAGTTTTTAGACTGCGATATAGGGATCACTCGCTAACTATTTATTTGGGTGCATGAGTCAAGTCATAGTCATTTTTGTTCTTTTTGTATCCGTAGCCTGCCAGACAGCTATAGATCTCGCATTCCTGATCGACGGCTCTGCCAGTGTGGAGAGATACGGCATTGGGAATTTCCGTCGCTTGATTGACTTTGTTCGAGACGTTGTCCTCGGTTTTCGGGTCTCCCGAAGTAACACTCGCGTGGGAACAGTCGTGTTTGGTACCAAGCCCTACTTACTGTTCGGTTTTAACAGTTACACGAACAACGGGGCTGTTTTCAACAGGCTTAACAAGGGCGTTCGCTATCCGAAATCTGGGAGTCGCATTGGCAGGGCCTTGTTAATGGCTCAGAAACAGCTGTTCCGTAAGAATCCTCGTCGCTCAAGGGTCACCAAGGTTGTTGTGGTTATTACCGACGGTAGCTCTATGGATGACGTTGCAGCACCCTCAAATGCCTTAAAGTCACGTGGAGTACGGATATACTGTGTGGGAGTGGGACGGTACATTAACGGTCGTCAACTGGACATCATGGCGTCTCCTCCTCGAAAAAATCATATCTTTACCGCGGATTGGACTCACCTAGGCGTTGTGGTAAACGAGCTCCGAAACGCAATTTGCTTAGGTAAAGTGAGCTTACGATTCTATAAACCAGGGAGGATTTGACAGATAGTATTTCCGTGCAAATTTATAAAAACCCTGCATCTATAGAAATTTAGTGGAGCCCCCGGTTTTTTTTTTCTTAAAATTTAACGGCCGTGGGAAGCATTACAACCTGCATTAGGTTTTCAAAATTATCGTTTTTCCGAACTCTTTAATAAATTCTCACTTTGGCTATTTTCCTGGCCTTAGAGAAGACAAGATATCGCGTATAATTGCATATCAGAGTAATGTACTGTAATTGAAGAAATGCGAATAGCCTCGTGCCGATTTTTATCGAGTATAAACCAGTACGAAATTTCTTGTTGAGGTGTTAAAATCTGGGAGGGAGAGAAAATACCATGCCTCCTCTCTTCCTCTTGCCGCCCTGAGTGAACAATTGCAACAGGGTCCAAAATGAACTATTCTGCATAGCCAAAACCTATTTGACATTGAAACATGACATTAAGGGTTTAATATAAGAGCTTCTCGTTTGCAGGAACTGGAGGAAACCTTTCGCCAGCAACGCATCGGGTTTGTCTTTGTCCGATCACAAGACCAACGAGAGGTACGAGCTGTACTATTTGCTTTTTATTTAAAAAATGTTTTGATGTATCAGAGCGATAAAGATGAGGTGCCCTTCCCTGCACTAATACCGGAAATTTTCAAAACAGAGACCGCTTTAAAGGTGATAGTACACGGGACAGTTCACAACGACGATTTTTAGCGCAACTCAGCATTACAACATTGTCATCTTTGCGAATTGTCTCCTGTAACATCACCCTGATTTCAAATCATTTCCGGCCACCATTTTTTGACACACGCGATTTAAGCTTGAGCATCAAAAGCAACCGGTCTAATCTGCACCGTATTTTGCTTCTAGGACCAACAACGAAGCCAACTGCAAGACAAAGTAAGTCTTAATGTTGATTGACTCCACTTTGGTAAAATAAATTTAATTTGTCCCGGCTTTGAAATGATCTCATAATTTGACTGGAAAATAACTGATAACTAATCTCTGAACGATACAAATTTTTTTTATATTTTAATGTGACACATTCACCTTCCAAGCCACCTATCTATTGTTTTCGCCCTCGTTACAACCTTTTTTTTCGATACGTATGAAGCAGGGCTGTATTTTTATTAAGAGATCCTTTTCTAGTAAGAAGGATCGGAATAAATCTGTATGGAGACATTTTTTACAAGTGTTTCTTACTTTAAGAGTCATTATCTAGGGTAAACTGAACGCGAGAATCACATTGCTTAAGCAAACTGTGCTATTGTATTAAATGTATTATTTTTATAACCTTTTTTGCGGCAGGGTTTCCACGTATTGTTGCTTTGTATCCTCTCAATAAAAGAACAAGAGGAAAGGACATCAGTTCCAGCGGAAATCCCGAAGGAGAGTTGTACGGAGTACGGCCGGCTCCTGGTCCCGACGGACTTCCCGATGGCTCTTTTTACTTTTCTGGTCGTAAAACCAGCTACATCAAGTTCCCAAACAACGGAAAGCTAGACTCTCGCTACTCACTCACCCTCCTTGCCTGGGTTTACCCTCAGGGTTCAGGGCCAATCTTCCATTTTTCTCCTGGTGGAGTTCGGTTCTGGGTTGTCAGGCCCAACATTCTGCTCGTCCGATTTGTTCGCCGCACAGGCAGACCAACGCGGCAGCTCATAAGTCGCAGATTGATACCAAGGCAGTGGAATTACGTCGGGGCATCTTACGACGAAAAGACGGGAATAGCAACGCTTTGGCGTAATTCTCGACCTCTCAAGTCTGTCTTTATCGGGAGGATTCGTCTTGCTACCAACCGTCCTGTCAGGATGGGTTCGCTGCCTCGAGACATGAGGTACTTCCGAGGAAGGATCTCGTGCATGCAAGTCTATAGTGTACCTCTGTCTGGACCTGAGATAAAAAGAGCTGAAAAAGTCTGCTTCAGAGCACGTAAGTTAATCCTCAACGCTTTTTTATTAGTTAAGATATGTTTTTATTATTATTCTCAACATTAGCTTTTGTTATCATGAGACAATACCTAGGACTGACCTATAGATAATGTTACTTGGTGCATCTTAGCACAGAGTGCATTTTGAGTCAACTGTTCTGTCCTTATATCGAAGCAGGGGATTGCTTAGTAACCATGAAGACTGTGGGTAACTAGGTAATAAATAGTAAATAAATAGTTTGTCCAGCTTCAGTTTTTGACATATGATATTCTCGTTTGCTTGGTATTCTCCCGTTTGTTATTACTTGAAGTGGAATGATAACATGGAAAACGGCGGAGTAAATTTTTAAACTTTAACGGAGCTTTAAAAATGGAATAGCTGAAATGTTAACTTTTGATTCGGACAGAGATAGTCTTGTAGTCACGTTCAAAATTCTAATTTTTGTTTTCCTTAGGTCCGACAAATAAACCAACGATACCTCCACGTAAGTACTTGCCCATGTTTGTTTTAAGGGGCCAACACGTTCTGAGTAATCATCGCAATGTTGTAATTTGTTTCGTCGCAGGAGAGGACCCGGAGTAAAGCCAGGTTAATACCATCTGGTGTGCCTCAGAAGGCCATACAGGAGGGAAATAGATGACTTTGCGGGTGTCTTTCGAGTCAGAGAGAAGACATTTTCCCTGGGTCCTAACAGCTCAAAAATTAGGAATAAAATTGGTGCTTAAAAATCCTTAACTTTTCTTTTTCGTTAGGCCTTCCGGATGCCGTGGCGTTTTACCCTTTAACCATCCAATATCGTGGTTACGATGTCGGTCCCAATAAAAACCCGCCGGGTCAACTTAACAACGTACGTCCAGCACCAGGCCCAGATGGGAGAACAGGTGGGTCGTACAGTTTCCGTGGCTCACCTGACAGCTTTATTGAGTTCCCTAACACCGGGAAGCTGGACACCAAAAACTCGATTACACTGCTGGCTTGGGTGAATCCCAAAGGTGGTGCCGGTCCAATCTTCAACTACAATCCTAGAGGTTTCGGAGTCCATTTGTGGGTTACACGCGTCGGAAGACTTTTCGTTCGCTTTGTGCGACGCACGCGTGTTTATACCCAACCGCTTATCGGTCGCCGCCTTAGACGCCGATCGTGGAGTTTTGTTGGAGCTACGTATGATCAACAGACAGGTGTTGCAACGTTGTATGTCAATGACAAGGCTGTTGCCTCTAAAACCCTTGGCCGAATACGCTTGGCAACAAATTATCCCGCCAGGATGGGTGCAAGAATTGGAGATCGTCGCTACTTCCGGGGCTGGATCACGTGCATGCAGGTCTATGACGTGGCACTCTCCCTGCGGCTTATAAGGATCGCAAAACGACTTTGTTTTAAAGGTATTTAGTTCTCAGAACTATCGTAAGTAGTGTGTATAATGAAGTTTAACTTCCCAGCTTTTTTAATTAAGTATGTTCCTTATTTGCCTTAGGAAACATTTCACACCTATTCTGTACATTATTTTGAGGTTGTCTGACCTTTAACTTTAAAGCGTCTTTCCCAGCAGTTACAGTAGTACCCCGAGTTGTTTAATGTTACCATAAAAAGCCAGGTTACAATCTCTTGCTTTTGTCGGCCACTTGACTCGTAACTGAAGAAGGGACACTTTTTCTCCTCTATTACTTCATATTTTATCTTTGTTAATATTTATCTCGCCTCCTTTCTCAGCTTACCCAACTCCTCCAAGGCCGACTCCACAGCCAACCTTGGCACCTGGAAAAAGTAAGGAAGTCTCGAAGCACAAGTGAAAGCGTGTTTTTTAATTAAAGGGGACTTCACTTAGCCATTATGTATTGTCACTGATCGACCATTACAACAGGGTGTTTCAAAAGTTCGTTCCGATTGTAAATTGTAGTTTGCGCAAAGCATTTAATGCTTCTCTAGGCAAATGTAAACTGATTCAGGTAAGAAATTTATCTAAATAACCGCTCAAAGTAATTTCAAACTAAAATTTGAAGAAATTATTTATATTTTTAAATTTTTGCCCCAACTGTACACCTACGCGAGGTTTTTCCCGCCATACTTTTCCTGCCCATTTTCAAGGTTTTCTATTTTTCTATTTTTAACGTTTTCTTTTAGTTTCTCTACTCCTTCATGAAAATGAAGGCCTACACTGTTTGTGCTAGAGGTCAGGCATCTATTTTTATGGTTTCTGGCCATTCTGAAAACTAAATTGCCAAATTGTTGAAGAAGTCTGAACGATGATCGAACAAGTCGTCAAAAGTAAAGACCTTAGAAGACAAACTAAGGAGTGGATGGCCGTTTTTTCACAAACTGTGTGAGAAGTATTATCGAAAAAGCTGTAAGTTTAAGCGAATAAAAATCGGAACGAACTTTTGAAACACCCTGTAGTTCGGATGCGACTGGCGAAAACCAGGGTCTTTTGTGCAGCATATTTGATGAGATTCTCAATATTTTTTAAGTCATTATTGATTTTCATTCCGTCTGAAAGTATGTAAAAGTGAAGTTTTATCTCATTATGAAACTATTTTGCACCTGATAAGATGTATTTCACGGGACAGTGTAGTCAACGACTTACCAACCTAAACAGTCCGTCTCGAGATCATCTTTAAGTCCCCCCCCTCCCTCCGGAGGCTCTATTCCATTTACGTTTGAAACTGGCATAATGGAGTTTGGGATCAATTAATTCAGTAGCCTGCCTGGGCACACAATCCCGCCAGCTCCGCAGGCTGGCGTAGCTGGCGAGTTACTGGCGGGGTAGCTGGAGGGACTTAGGAGACTTATTCGGGCTACAGGTTAAAATCACACCCCTGGGAGTTTGGCTCAGCACAGCATAAGCTCCTATTGTGACTCTTTTAACATTTATTTTATCTGTCAGTCTGCAGAGCTCGCATCGATCTTGGTTTCCTCATAGATGGCACGAATAGTCGCTATAGATTTAACAGAATCCTCAAGATTGTTTACCAAATCATCCGATATTTTGACATCTCCACAATCTACACTAGGGTGGGCATCATTACGTACTCAAGCAGTGCCATACCCGTCTTTAACCTTAAGCGCCTTACACGGAAATACGACGTGTTAAGAGCGGTAAGGAAGATACCTTTTCCACGAGGGAGGTCCTACACCGGACGAGCCTTGCGTTTTACTGGGACATACCTGTACTCTACTAGCTCACGGTCCCGATCCAAAGTACTTGTTGTTCTTACTGGAGATCAGTCGTTTGACAGCGTCAGTCGCCCAGCTCAGATGTTAAAGCGAGGTGGCGTGGAGATTTTTGCGTTTGGGATGGGTGGAAGGAGAAGTAATAGATATTTGTCTTCCATAGCGCACGACCGTTACCACGTGTTTAGTGCACGCTCGAGATTGGGGCTAAGGAAGGTTATTGAGAAATTAGTGGCAAAAATATGCGCAGCTACTCCAATCAGAAAACCAACACCCACAGGTATGTGTTTTTATTTCTTTTTCTTTTTCTGGTTTAATTTTGTTGTTTTGTTGTTGTTTTTGTTTTGGCATTTTTTTCGGCTATTTGTTTCATTTGGTTGGTTGACTCAGGACTGGGCCCCTCACTCCTGAGCTTCCTTCTCTCATATAAGGCCTGGGTCACGGTCACAGTCACAGTCCGACTAATGTATGTGTTGCCGAGTTACAGGAGATTTTTAAGCTGCCTTTGTATACTTAAAGGTTTTCGGTTCAGTCAGCTTGTTTCAAATTGTACCCTAAGATCCAGAGTTTGAGTGACCCAATGACGGCTGCACGGCGAAGTGTTAGTGAAATATATATCGAATGAGAAGAGGCTCAGCTCCTATATTACTTACTGTATAAATTATGATATTGTGTCTGTTCACTTTTTCCCGTCCTAAAGGTGGATTTCCATTGTCGCGTAATTTTTACACGCTTGCGCCAGTAAATAAAATAGAGGCAATGTATGGAAGGTCGCGCGTAAAGTGAAAGTTCAACTTCTCTCAACTTTTACGTTTAAGCGCGACCTTTGATTCACGCTCAATATATTTATGCGCGTACGCAGGTAAAAATATCGCAACAGTGGAATTCCTCCTTATGTGTTGCGCGTTAAGCGAGTTTTACTTGAGCAAAATTTTGCAAACAGCCAGAAATTTGCTAATGAAGTCAACTTTTCGTTCTAGTCGTAATCGACAGCAAATATAGGGCAATCGTCGCACGGGAATTTGTTCAGCTATTGCACAATTATTGTTTTTGTTTGCTTGTTTACTTACAGGACCACAAACAATACCCACTCGTCCAACACAAAAGCTAGGTAAGGAAAATTACTATAACTGTGATTCAGTTGGGTATGTTCAAATTTAAAATATCTTACCACAATTGTCTTTTTCCAGTTCCGCCTCCAGCAATGGGCATTTACCCGCTGAATGGCATCACCCGCGGGAAAGACATTGGCCCCTTTAAAAACCCAAGAGCTAAACTTGTCAACGTAGTGTCCAAGAACGGCCCCGATGGGCTTCCAGCAGGATCCTATCAGCTCCAAGGATTCGCAAACAGCTACATATACTTCCCAAATACAGGGCGTTTGGATGCTCAGAACTCCATCACCATCCTACTTTGGCTAATGCCCGAAAGTGCCGGACCTATTTTCCATTACTTTCCCCGGGGTATCGGTGTTAATCTACGAATGATCAGCCGTAAGGTCATCCGCGCGGAGTTCGTCAGTCGTAATCGAAAGGTCACAAGGCGAATTGCAAGGAGGATTAGATCGCGAGTGTGGAACTACATTGCAGCAACGTACGATTATAACACGGGTCTGGCAACATTGTGGTTGGATTCCATCCTTATATCACAACGAAATATCGGAAGGATTCGACTGGCGACAAATTACCCGGCAGTGTCTGGACGTAGACCTGGTGATCCCCGGCACTTCCGTGGTCGCATTGCGTGTCTTCAGATTTACAACGTAGCATTGAATTCCTACCAGATAAGAAAACTTAAGAGGTCCTGTTTCCGTGCAAGTAAGTTCACGCTTATCATGCTAACACGTACCTTAATTTTCATTTCGGAAAACAGACCAAAGAATGTCCAATCTTAATTTGTTGTTTGAAGGGCTTGAGCAATTATTTGTCAATTTTTGAAATAAATCTATTTAACGTTTTTGTCGAGCGTTAAAACCTGCAGTAGTCTTGAGAGACATGAGACGTTCATTAGATTTTACCCTGCTGACCTTACTTACCTACTAACTCTCATTTACTCACTCACGCACTTACTTTTTTATTATTATTTTAATCATGCTTACCTTATTATTGTAAACCACTTTTTAGGGCCGGTGACACCATCGCCGACAGTGCCGAGTAAGTTAAACAACTCGTTAGTAATAAAATGAAGTATATTTTGTAGTCGCAGTGTTAGCGAGATCAAGTGCTACCTGAAAATCGAACGGAAACGTTTGTATAAAAATTATGTTACAGATCAAATTTTGCCTTCAGGTTAAAATTTTTTAGCTGGGTTGATTCTCAATTTTCCCTTCTCCCTTAGGACTAGGAGACAAAGGAAATTGAGAATCATCCTAGGATAATTCAGAATTAACCTGCAATCAAATTTAAACTGTAATATGTACATGTAAATCCCCAGGATCGAATAAATGCTGCAGCAGGGAGGGTGGTGTGGACTTGCTAAGAATTGCCGTAGAAGAACATCCGTGGGAAAATTGTCTTTGGCTAGGGATGGGTGGGAAATAAGGTAACTAAATTTGAAAACGCCGCCCAACTTTTTCAAGGTTGGCAGCGTTATCAAGGAAAATTTGATGAAAATCCCTTCCTTTATGCAAAAATGTATTAACTCCGCGGAAACTAGTGAAACTTTTCTCGACGTCTCGACAACATCACAGTTATTTTTTCAAGATTGCAACCTCATTAGGTCACATGACCCGCTGTTCACTTGAAAGGAGTATTGCGCAACGGCAGCGCGACCTCATAGCCTCGGTTGCCTCGGTGTGTACGATGTATCTGGAGTGCTCTCTCTCTATTGCGCACATTTTTCAAAGGCTTTGCGTAGCAGCATATTTACCTCTTTTATTTAAGGGAAGTTTTCGCGAAAACTTGGCGGAAATGATACTTTACTTTTTAAAGTGTACAGTGTGTTTTGGTTTTACTGTGCCACTGATTCCGGCAAGGAGAGTGCTTTTCGGTTTATGCTTCATCTTGAGTTAAATACTCTTAACTTCTTGCTCAGTGGCTCTGTTTTCTTAAGTCTCGCCTTTTGTTATATTATAGGACTGCCTCGCGTTGTTGCTATATACCCTCTGGACGAGCAGAACAAGGGACGTGACGTAAGTGGTCACCGGAACCCAAACGGTAGGCTTTTTGGTGTTCGAGTAGGACCGGGACCCGACGGATGGCCAAATACAGCCACCGAGTTCTTCGGAAGTAAAAACAGCTACATCGAATTTCCGAATAGAGGAAAGCTGGATACTCGAATTTCTATCACTGTTCTCGCCTGGGTATTGCACTTAGGACAGTCGGGGCCTATTTTTAATTATAACCGTGGACCACGATGGGGAGTCCATCTATGGATGACACTGCCACGGCAATTCTTTGCACGGTTTGTGAAACGCGATGGTCGCTTCACCACGCCGCTCGTCACTCACGGTGGAAACGTGCGCTTTAAAGCGTGGAACTACCTAGGCGCAACCTATGATGGAAATACAGGTATGGCGACTCTGTGGGTGAACAACCGACCCGTAGTTCGGACCAACATCGGGAGGTTACGCCTGGCTACGAATCGCCCAGTACGAATGGGTGCAAAGATCGGTGATCGGCGTTACTTCCGAGGCAGAGTGTCTTGTGTTCAGGTGTACAGTGTGGCACTGAATCGGAAGCAGATAATCGATGCTTCCAAGAGATGTTTTAAAAGTAAGTAAACACAACTTTTGTAAGCTGTTAGTATCTAAAAGTGGAATTTCACACAGTAATTTTCTTTTACACAACGTATTCTGTCACTCTTTTCACTGAATGCAGGAAGGAGCTAAAGCATTCCTTGTGAGGCTAAAATAATGGTTTCTCCTTTTTTTTCTTTCCTTTTTTTTGGTTGACAGGAAAACCACCTCCAGCACCTCCTTCACCAGGTATGATAATTATAATAAGTGTCGATAAGTTAGTGTTAGTCAGCTATCGATACACTCTTTTGAAAGCTTTATGTTTGCTAGAATTAGGATAATTAATCGTTGTGAAGAAGTGGGGACATCGGAACTGTCTGTGATAACTAAGAACAAAGCATTTCAGCCAATTACAATACAGTTGCCTGTCGTAGTGGTAAATAATTTCGCTTCTGTTTCCTTAAATTCTCTTTGTTTTCCAAGAGTATTCAGTCAACTCTTTCAATACCTTCATTAGACAGACACCTCAAGTTGGTCCTAGTTGTACTTTATTTAGTTTTGTAGTATTTAATAGAGTAGTGCCGTTATAGCTGCCCTTAAGCCTACGCCATATTTGCGATCTCCAAACGTTAAAAAAGAAGTTGCCAATAGTTTTGCAAAAAGACTCAACTGCAGGTTTCGAAAAATCGAAACAGTTCACAGTTCTTTAGTCCTAAATACGTAGAACTAGTGCTGCTGACTGTCACCCGGCTAGGTGACAAGCACTGCCTCTTCTCTCTTATACGACCATTGTGGAACGTAAAGACCCCTTACGGACCTAACCCTCTGTGGCATTGACAATCTCTAGTGTGCAGCTGTCATGGGTTGTGGGCATGGGTGGGGAGGGCACTTCACATGGTATCAAGGAGTCCTGATTTACCGATCTTCATTGGGCTAGTCTGTGTCTAGTCTAAGACAGATATGATAAAGTGTGATTACTGTAACCTGCCTGGGGTTTAATTGCTGAGAAACAGTTTGAATTGTTAGTTAAAGATTAGTTTCCTTTTTTGTCATTCAATTCCAGTCTGCAAAACTGTGGTAGACCTCGGCTTCCTGATCGATGGTTCTGGAAGCATTGAATACCGCGGCCGGGGCAACTTTCGGCTAATGCTTGATTTTATCAAGTCTATCGTCGTCACACTACCGATATCCAGGACCCAATCACGCGTTGGTGCTGTTCTGTTCTCCACGAGGCCCATACCGCTGTTTAGGTTTGGTCAGTTGAACACGTTCACCCACATCAAGCAAGTCATTGACAACATCCGCTACCCACGCGGCAGCACATACATTGGCAAGGCGTTAGCTCTCACAAGGAGATACCTGTTCAGCGGACGTAGACGCCGTAACAGCAAGCGTATTCTTGTCATGCTTACAGACGGAATATCTCAAGATCCCGTGTCCAGGCAGGCAGCGTTACTAAAGGCACAAGGCGTGGAGGTTTTTGTTGTTGGTATCGGAAAAGCGCTGAAGAGACGCCAGCTGCTACAAATCGCAACCGATAGGCAACACTTTTCTGTTGCATCATTCAGAGGACTGGCTACATTATCGAATGCCATAAGATCTAAAATCTGTCAGATTATCACTCCACCAGGTTTGTGCATAGGGTCATTAATAAGAAAAAACAGCTGCTATTATAGTTGTTCGCGGTTTCGAGATAAACATGAGGGGAACGGATAATACTGAATCGCATTAACCTGATTACCTCGTTTCCGTGCCTTTTTAAACAATAGATTATTTAACCGCGGGCTCAACTGTTTTGGTCAAACAGCTGTCCTGAGACAACACCACCAAGTAATGTTTGTAACGTCATGTGCGAAATGTTAAATACCACGGGCACTAACCAATTTACTCAAGCCATCCGGTTGGAAATCTCGGACCAGAATCCTTCGGGTTTTTTCTTTCTTGTGCAAATTAACGCCTTTGTTATTTAAACCTCGCTGGGATTACCAAATTTAAATGTGAAAGGAAAAGCGAAAAGAATTCTGGTCGTAGTAGTAAAATAACGCCATCTTGCAAATGGCTTTGCGGGGAAGGTCCCCTTACAAAGTCTATCCAAATCAGCTGGCGAAACAAAAGAAAAATTGCATCACCTCAAATCACTGCTCATATCTTTAAAAGCTCCCGAAAGGAAATGGCTCGAACCATTTGCTTTTCCGACCGGAATTCCCAGTTTCCCTATTTAAATGGTAACGCCCTAGTACCCAAAGGTGTTCCAGAGTTTCCTGTAGTATTCGTTATTTTAGTACGTGTGCCTCTTTGTTACAAACTTCCCATCCCTGGAAAACGCCTGTTATTTTAATATTGTCACCCAAAAGCCAGAAAAACGTCTTGAAAATTGTTCTTTTAAACTACCTCTGCGATCCCATAATTCAGTGAATTGGGCAGTGGATGCGGTGGAAGAAAAGAAGCTTTTCATTTTTTTTTTTTTTTTTTTGGAAGCGGGGGCCATCATAACAATTTTATTTAAATATTAAAAACGAATGTTCCGGGCCCTAAAATTTCATATTTACCTCACAAAAAAAAACCCTGGCTTTCTCTCACTAGCAGGAGATTTCGGAGCCCTCCTATGGCCAAGCTTTCCGTCTTTGACGATCATGGCTGGTAATAAGGGTGCGCGAAAATGATAACCGCAATGACATACTTTTAACGTAATAAAATTTTCTTATGTTCCCTTTTCTTAGTTTCTCCGGTTCCACCTAAGCCAACAAGAGGTGAGTTATGGATGAATCCTCCAGAACCCTTTTTCGTTGATATAGCGTCCTACAAATCCTTGATACCAATTCTTCATCCGTAATGTTTGATAAAGGAGAGACTTATTCATCTGTGAATCTAGTTAAGGGGAATGACAGAAATGAACAAATGTATCGTAAAGTGTAATTGTAACTGAAATCAAGATAAGTATCTTCAGTATAAATTATAGGTGAATCTGTACTCTTGCCTCTATTCTAACAAGAGTTCTGTCATTTGCAGCTCCCCTTCCAAGAACACTCGCGGTATATGCATTGGACGGAGTACGTCGAGGAAAGGACATAAGCAGAAACAGAAACCCCAAGGCAATTCTAATCGGCGTTCGCCCTGCTCCAGGTCCGGACGGACGGCGAGATGGGTCTTTACGATTCTACGGGCGACGAAACAGCTATGTGGAAATACCAAACACGGGAAGGTTGGACGCCAGATACTCTATAACCATTCTTGTTTGGGTATTTCATGAGGGAGTCGCAGGTCCTATCTTCAATTATAACCCACGGGGATTCGGTGTCCATTTATGGATGACGGGACGGCGAGAGCTTTTCGTGCGCTTCGTGAGACGCTCGCGCCAGTTCACAACAGCAATTAAAAGTCGACGTATCAAGTACAAGGCATGGAACTACGTTGGTGCAACGTATGACGAAAGGACAGGCAGAGCAACACTGTTTATAAACTCGAGAGCAGTTGCGTACAGAAGGATCGGCCGCATCCAGTTGTCTACAAACTACCGTATAAGGCTTGGAGCGCGGATTGGCGATAGGAGATATTTCCGTGGAAGACTCTTTTGTGCACAAATCTACAGTGTCGCTCTAAGCCGGAAACAGGTCGACGAAGCAAAGCGAAAGTGCTTTTTGCCAAGTTAGTACCAACCTATTTTCCATTTCTAATCTTTATTTCCTGGCTATGTTCATTTTCCAGTAAAAGTGTTGACATAAACGGCACGGCTTTGTATTCGTAGCATTTTTAATTAGTTCCGAGTACTCGCTGTAGCATGATTTGCAAGGCCTAGGTTTCACGATGATTGCCGATTTATTCGACAACGACAGACAAACACATTTCTCTCATCCATAAACAGTCAATCAATCTATGGCAGACAAGGAAGGAGAAAGGGGTAAAGTGAGTCGAGCGACATAATTAAGGCGAAAATGATGCAAAGTTTAAAGTTAGGATGGTTTTAAATTGGAAAATACGCTCTTTCTTCCAGTTCCACCACCGCCGCCATCGCCACCTGCGCCACACCCAAAACCACCACCACGAGGTAAGAATACTTTTACTCCCTATAGCTACTTCAGAGACTCTAGGGAAAATGGGTACAAGCTTTGGGTGGTCAAGCGTTAGTTATGATTGGTCATAAGTAACGCTAGTCCAACCACACGCTCCCAGAAATCGTTGCGCCTAAAGCTTGTACCTATTACCTATATAGTTTCTGGATTGGGGAATTTAGCACCATTCTTTTATAGCCGTTTTGGCAAAATATTATGATAGATAATCAGCACTGTCAATTATCTGAATTATTTGTTTTCTCCCTTTAAATGCTTAGTTTGCAGAGCTCGTATTGATCTTGGCTTCCTAGTGGACTCATCACCTGGCAGATTCAGCCCCCGTGTGATTCGACAGTACATCAAGGAGACAATCAGACGATTTGAAGTTTCAAGGACAAAAGTACGAGTCGGCATTGTGCTGTTCACGTCCAGACCCACTTTAATGATGAGTTTTGCAAGAACTGACGCGCGAGCACAAATCTACAGTGCTGTGGACCGGCTGCAGCTTAGAAGGCGAGGTGGAAGGTATCTCGGGAGAGCCCTGACATACACCAGACGCTACCTGTTCCGAGGCAAGCCGCGCTGTGGGCGAAGAAGAGTACTTATTGTCTTGACAAGCGGAACCTCTCGCGATAGAATAATGCGCCCCGCAAGGCGCTTGCATGCATCTGGTGTTGAAATATACGCCATTGGTATCGGCAGTGTGGGAAGAAGATTTCTGCTGCAGATTGCAACAGGGTCTAGACACGTGTTTAATGTCGGCGCAAGGAGACTGGTGTCAATTACGCGGATTGTTAAGGACAGAATTTGTAGTTCACCAGGTATTATACTACTGAAAGGAGCGAGCGCTAAGTCAAATACAGTAAATACCCGCATATAAGAACCTAGATTTAAGAACCTGTTAGGCTAAGATTGTCCATTTAGACCCCTTTTACATAGGAACCTATTTTAACCTACAATTTTGAAGCAGGTTCCTATTTTGAGAAATTCAGTCAAACCCTGAATATACAAATTTGATAGAACAAGCTCAACTAGTTAGTAAAATGAAAACAAAGCCCTCGCAATGAGACAAATGACATGTAGATCTATATATCCTTGCACTTGCATGCCCACATAGACCCACGTAATAATTGCCTCTTTTAATTGATAATACCATTACCAATACCATATGGCAACAGAACACAAGTGTTATGCATATTATGCATTGAATACCAAAAATAGGCCCAAGTAGACAACACCCACCAATGACAAACTCCTTATTTATTTTTAAGAATAAGAACCTGTTTGAGAACCCGAGTAGCCTCATTTTCCAGTTCGCACCATTTTTATAAGAACCTTCTTAGCCTAGCTTAGGAAAACTTAGGTTCTCTTACGCGGGTTTTCACTGTACATGAGACAGTGTGCGCAAAGTACATCTTTTAACATTATAGGTATTTCTTACACTGTAGTCCCCTTGTGACGTGAAATTCTTACGCCGGCTACCGATTTTAATTTTGCACAAACTGAGAAAAGCACTTCTGGAAGTAGAAGTTTTAGGATCCTTTTTTCTTCACTTAAGAACGTTCTCCCTACGTAATCATCTGAAATTACTCCTCATTCTAAACGTGTTAAGAAATGATTATCATGTGAATAGTCTAGTATTTCTCTAACCTAGTATTTTTAAAACGAGTGCCAAAAGTACCTAGCAATCGATTAAATAGCATAAAACAAATCATTCAATTTAAAGAAACCCAGGTTTAAAAAACAGTCTTTAACAGGGGTATCCTTTTATCTTTTTTCCAGTAATTATTTCCGGAGGAGCGGTTGCTGTGTACCCATTTACAAGTGCGTCTCGTGGAAGTGACGTCAGCAAGTTTAGGAACCCAACAGCTCGGCTTGTTGGTCTTTCCCTTATTCAAGGGCCCGATAGACATCCTCAGGGAGCTTACTTTTTCCCTGGGATAAAAGGGCGAAGAGGAAGACCCAGTTATGCTTTAATCCCTAACAACGGTTGTCTTGATACTCGATACTCCATAACTATTATTGCCTGGGTGTACCCGGAAAAGCCCGGTCCCATATTGCATTACAATCCCAATGGATGGGGAGTTCACTTTTGGTTAACTCGCCCGAACGAACTTTATTTTCGTTTAATGCCAAGACAAGGCTCGCGAAGGAGAGTAAAACCGCTCACTAGTAAAGGTATTAAGCCGTACACTTGGAACTATGTCAGTGCCACGTACGATCATCGCACAGGACTTGCCACTCTCTGGGTGAATGGCCTCCCTGTCTCTCAGAGAAACGTCGGGAAGTTCCCATTGGGCCTAGCAACTAATTACCCCGTTGTCGTTGGCCAGAGGCCGGGAGATAGACGCGTCTTCCGTGGGCGCATAGCTTGTTTGCAGGTTTATAACGTAGCTTTGTCGCGAGCTCAAATTGTTGCGAAGAAAACTCAGTGTTTCAGAGCAGGTGAGTGAGCACAGATAGAATAAACTCCTGACATAACATCATATTGACGAAATCCTTGTCTCGTTGCGTACCTTGGCTCTTTGTCCTCTTATCTACGCATTGATCGTCTCAAACTATGTAATTTCTTCTCTTTATAAACTTCATCATCATGATATCATCATCAAATCTTTTATTTAAAAAAGATAGAAATTTAAAGCATAAGATTTTGTGGTCTTCGTGAAAAATACGAACTCTAAACTGCCTGTAGAAAGGAAAACAATTTATTGTCATTTGCTTATTACCCTTTATGGCAAACATCTACGAACCCTGACTTTCTAGAACTGTGGTTAACACCTGGTAATAAGTTTCATTTTTTTTATCTCTGCAAAACAAAAATATAAATGTTCCACTACCGAGTTGCCATAGCCTGTTTCAAACAGCGAAGCCATTCAAGTGATATGAAAATGATTTTTTTTTTCTCATGCAAATAAAACTGTTTTCACAAGAAAGGTTTTTTCAGTTAGCTTCAGTTCGTTTTGAAAGTGAGAATTTTCGGAACTCGGAAATTGCCTATTGAACGGTGATTTGAAAAGTATGTTGTTTTGGAATGACATTTAGTATTTAATATGAGTTATTTTTATATAGATGGAAATTTTTTTCTAACACCGAGTGATCTCTTTGGTTACTTCGAGATCACATGACATCTAACAGTGAAGCTGTTTCCCGCCAAAATCTCTCAGAGAATCTATGATGTCAGTGGGTTACAGCGAACTGTTACCCTCGAATGTTGACCGACGACTGCCGTTACACCGAGATTTAATGAATTTCCAGCTTCAAAATTTCCGGGTGGGCCGGAAGCTCTAAGAACGGCTCACAGGATTGGTTTAGAATCAATGTTTTCCTCAGCTCCGCCACGGGAAACGTTGAGACTCGGGGAACAAAATTAACTGTTTCCCTCGGGACCAGTCATTAAGTGTTTATTATTACACTTTTTCCGACACTTGAAAACAAAGTCAACATATTTCATGACATTCCTTTCAAAATTGATAATGCCAGATTGTAATGTTACTGCTTTGATGGTCTGTTTTTTAGTTCCCACCCAGCCTACAACACCAGTGACTCCCCGACCAGGTTCGTTCGACATATTTTTATTCAAGATTACTTGGGTACTTTTACAGAAAAGCTTAAGCTAATGTGGCATCAAGTTTATATATATGTCCTTAGTCCGCACGTACGTATTTTGAACGAGCTTAACTCACTAGACGATACGTGGGTAAATTAACGAATATACTTTTCTTTCCTGATCGATTTAATTTTTTCTATGCTTCTATACTAGTACAATTTAAGGAAAAAGAAATTTTATTGTATGTTTTTATTGCTTTTTGTATATGTCATGTATAGTTAACAGTTCTTCTTATTTACGTGTGTAGTTTGTGCAGTTGCTTTGGACTTGAGTTTCCTTACTGACGGATCTTCCAGTATCGAACGTTACGGTCGGGGAAACTTCGGCCGAATACTGAACTTCGTCAAGTCACTGGTAAGCTTCTTCCCGATCTCGCGCCGAGAAACCCATATCGGCCTTATGATGTACACAAGCCGAGCCATACCAATTTTTAACTTCAACCGGTATTATACCAGGGCAGCTATCTTGAGGGCTATCGATAACCTGAGATATCCTCGAGGAGGTACTCGAATAGGAAAGGCACTGTCATTTGCCCGTCGATACTTCTACAGGTAAGGCTTTAAAAATATCTACAGTGGTGGACAAACTCATAAGGGCAATGATGCAATACAATAAAAACCCGCGGCCCGCTGTAATTGGCCACAGCTGTTCCAGTGTCCCTGCCAACGTTCTTTCTGTTTGTCTGTTTGTTTTGGCGAAGCTAATAAAATAAAATAAAAATAGAACCTAAGTTTTTCCACGCTGGTCGAAGAAGGTTCTTATAAAAATAGTGCTCATTGAAAAATTAGGTTACTGAGGTTCATAAAGAGGTTCTTATTTTTAAAAATAAATAAGATGTTTATCATTTGTGGGTGTGGCCTATTTTGGGCCTATTTTTGGTGTTGCATGCATAATATTCTTTAAAAATTCCTTTAATCCAAGCATGTTAAAGCCATTTATGAAGTTTATACAAAGCTATGGAGGTTAAACAGAACAACAACAACATTAAAACATGATAATGTGTCGCTGCTGGGCCAAACATAGTGCTGAACTTCTCAAAATAAGAACCTGTTTCATAACTGTAGTCTAAAACAGGTTCTTCTGTGAAAGGGGTCTAAATGGACAATCAGCCTAACAGGTTCTTAAAATCTAGGTTCTTATACGAGGGTTTTTACTGTACTGTGAGTTATCTTTGTTTTACAACTGAAGTTTGAAAAAGCATTGCTATCCTTTTACAAATGTTTTACTGCTCTTCCACCCCACCCTCTCACCCTTGATACCGCCATGTTAAGGCTCAGACAGCAAATGTTTTTGGTACACATGTACATGAGATGCGAGGAGGGGCTGGGCGAGAGCAGTTTGTTTGGCCTATGAAGAAAAACGCAACAAGCGAAAATTTGTCAATGACTTTAGCTTGATATTCAGTATAAATATAGGTAGCTGTAGAAGCAGGAATGAATGGAGTAGTGGTAGACTATAAAATCCTTACAGTAACTTTTAAGGTGAAATACAAACATAGCTTTGAGTGCGTTTGAGTTTGTGAACGCATTCAACCTGTACTATTACGGCCTCCGTCCACACCTGAACAATGAATCAATGACCGTCCTTACCGAATATTTCGGTAAACGGTCTCCCAATTGGGAAAAAGGATAAACGTTGTTCTCATGTGGACAGCTGTAAACGGTAAGGTTTATAAACGGACCCGTGACATTGATAACCTGAAGTGAATCCATCTATTAGTGCCAAAAAAGTACCCAAATGTTCCTAACAGAGAATCGAGATGGATTTATTTGTCAAAATTAGGGGACGCTCTCACTGGCTTATTCTGAGTTATAGGCAGCTAACAGAATAACTGTTTCTATGACGTCAAAGGGTTGTGTTTCTTGATTGTTCTGTTTGTCCGTTTTTTTTAATCGGAATCTCAATGCGACTGATTGAAAATTCCGGGAAGCAAAATTTTATAAGTGTTTCCCGTGGCATCACTCATAAGAGGGCCAATTTTCCTATCTCCAGAGGAAGAGCTGCGCGTGGTCGCAAGAGGGTGGCTGTGGTTCTCACCGACGGCGTATCCCAGGACTCTGTGAGCGCACCTGCACGCCGTCTCCGTGCCACTGGCTGTGAGGTTTTTGCCCTGGGAATTGGACGAGGATATAGGATATCTCAGCTGAGACAAATAGCTACAGATAGTAGTCATGTATTCACTGTGTCCTTTAAATCCCTTGGACAAGTTATCAACCGAATTAAAACCAAAGCTTGTCAAAGGATACCAAGTAAGCTTAATTTTACAAATCATAATGTTGGTTACCTTTTTTCAGCAATTCGAGAAGTCCCATGGACTTCTTGGTCTAAAACATGCTTAGAGAGCTATGTCAAGCACCTTTGTTTGAATTTTACTTTGGAAATGTAAAGAAATTAAACGTAGTTCAACTGGCTGAGTTCCGATGAAAACCCAGCTCTGGAATATTTCTTAACAAAGACTGTTTACTTCAGTGTCTGCGTCAATTCGAATATGTTTACTTGACTGCAGCGAGGTTAGCGGTTTGGAAGCTAACTCTAATGATTCATTCCAAGAACGGAGGAATTGGCACTAGAAAGAATTCTCCGCATTATTCTCTCCCCTCAACCCCCTTTCTTTCTCGGCTCACTATTGCTGTTTAGGTAACTAATAATCAGTACGTGAAACAAGTTAGAAAAGCTTATCACTTAATGACAAGTCACACTTTCAATTAATACAACAGCCTTGGCTACTAACAGGCTTTTGTAAACCCTTATGGTTTTATGATAGTGAAAGTTTTTAACTTTTTATTCGATTTCTTTTCGCAGCCCCACCACCTAGAGGTTAGTTGCTTTTCTTTGATACCTTGAATTTTTTTAAATGCATAGCCTATAGCTTACACTGCACAACCTTTTGTATGTCTATCCGCCGAAGTTCATGTGTTTTCATTTACGATTTATTTTCTTCTTTTTTTTTTTACATAGTACCTCTCCCCAGAACTCTGGCCGTATATCCGCTAGATCGTGCGAGAGGTGGACGAGACATAAGTCGAAGAAAGAACCCAAGCGCGCGAGTTGCAGGTGTGAGGTACGGCTTGGGCCCTGATGGTCGTCGAGACGGTTGTAGCGTGTTCTACGGAAGACGCAACAGCTACGTGGAAATTCCCAACACAGGGAGCCTCGACGCGAGGTATTCCATGACTATCTTAATCTGGCTGTACCACGTAGGACGCGCTGGTCCTGTTGTGAATTACAATCCAAATGGATATGGTGTACACCTGTGGACAACTGCCCGGCGGGAACTTTTCGCGCGCTTTGTGCGCCGCAATGGACGCATGACCAAGCCTTTGAGAAGCAGAAGGCTGAAATACCGCGCATGGAATTATGTCGGTGCCACGTATGATGAGCGAACTGGGATCGCCACGCTTTGGATTAATTCTCGACCGTATGTCAGGCGCCGGCTGGGTCTGCTGCGGCTATCCACTAACTATCCTATACGATTGGGCGCAATAAGGAGAAGCCGAAGTTACCTGAGGGGAAGGCTATTCTGTTTGCAGCTCTACAGCGTTGCTTTGAACAGAAAGCAAATTTTTGAAGCCAAGAGAAAGTGTTTTCTACCAGGTTAGTGATATTGAAAAAGTAACAAGAGCAAGATTACGTTACTAAGTAAAGTCTGGGTGCAAGTATGCCTTAGAGGTCAAATTTGAAGTTTGAATACAGTAGTGAACTTGTTCTAGGCTGTTCAGTAACGGCGGTTGCTTTAGAGACCTTACTCGTTTTAGTAAGCCTAAGGGTCGACTATTTTTACAAAGTCACTACTTTGATAGTGGTGACCTCAAGTAGTATGGGCTTTATGTGCGATCATAGTTGGACTTTTATTTAATTTTTCATTTATTTATTTTGCCTCAATGCTACTATTATTTATTCGCTATGTACTGACTCGTATCTTTTTGTGAACTTGCAATCACATATGTGATTGCACGCAAAATGACGACTGACTTCGAGCACAATTAAATGAAAAGTTTAGAGCAATTATCATATAGGCACAGGTAATTTTGGCAGCAAGGATAGTTAAGGAACTGGTCCAATTAAGTGGACCAAGACCACCCTGGACTTAAAGAGATAAGGCTATACAAGACAACACCCGTTTGATGTGCCTGATGGAGATAAATTTTTGGCGTGAAATTCTGAGATAAGAACGAAACATCTTGCTTGCATGAAGCCTCCAATGTCAGATAACCTACAATGAGGCTTTTAAATCCTATACGTTTCTCCTGCTAGTCTAGAAGAGGGGGCTATGTGAAACAAACACCAAAGTGTGAAACAAACGGACGCAACCAGTCCCTCTGTGTAGTGGTACATCCTGGCTGTGTACTATTAATTTGAACATTCTTTGATTTCTTGATAAATGACTAAAAGATTCTCAGCTTAGGTTGTTGTCTAAATTTACCTACTACGACGTCCTCAGTCTTCTAAATAAACTTATTATAACGAAGAAATTGTTCTTTAAAGGACCCAAGCCAACGCCACCGCCACCCACACCAGCACCGACGCCACCTCCACGAAGTGAGTACATAAGTGTTGGGTATTGCATTTTGGTACAACTTGTTTGTTTTCTTTTTTTAAAACAAAGGAAAAACAAAACTTAACTTCGATTAAAATTGACTACAACATCACGAACAAAATACAAATATACCAGTTGGTTGGACAAGCCAGAATCACAGAACCGATTCTTGCTTTGCACCCCCTGACGTGGCGGCCATGTTGGTGGTCAAAACAATTATTTCAAAGAATTCATATGAAAATGAATTTAGGTCCAAGAGGAGAGAGATGCTTTTGTTCTTGGCCACCAATATGGCCGCCTTGACGTCTTGTGCAAACCAGCAATATAGGAAAAAGATCCTAATTCAAAATCTTTTTATTTCCTTTAAAGTTTGCAGAGCTCGCATTGACCTCGGATTTCTCATCGATGGATCTAGACAAACTGGTACAGCAACGTTCGTGCGTATCATTCAATACGTTAAAGAAACAGTGAGACGATTCGACGTCCAAAGGACGCAAGTAAGAATAGGTTTGGCTCTATTCGCCTCTCGACAGCGACTTATATTCGGCTTCGCTCGGTCCCCCAGCCGTGCCCAAGTGTATCGTGAAGTCGGAAAGTTAAGACTTCTACGTGGAAGAAGAAGGAGGACAGCACAAGCTTTACTTTATGCTAAACGTTACCTTTTCAGTGGTAAACCCAAGTGTGGTCGTAGAAGGGTGCTTATTCTCCTGACGACCGGTACATCACGTGATAATGTTATCAGACCAGCAAGGATCTTGCATGCTGTAGGAGTGGAGGTATACGCTGTCGGAGTGGGGCGTGTCAGTGTGAGGTATCTTAGGAAGATTGTCACTGATCGGTATCATGTGTTTTCTGTGAGTGGCCGCAGATTGATTACGATTGTAAGAACGATCAAAGACAGGATGTGCTATTCTCCAGGTAAGTTTTCTATTTCAAAGCATTTTTCTATAAAGCGTTTTGTTGATTAGAGTTGATGTTGTTGTTGGGTAGAGGTAAAGGGAGAATCGATCTTCAGCACGTTTTGGACTGAACCTTACTTTAAATATTAGGTTTCATTGTTTGTCTTCACTTTTGTGTATTTTTGCTCATTTCATTGCCTTGCAAGAAAGGTTGTGGTTGTAGAAGTTCTGGCAATCGTCTATTTTAGTCTGAAAGCTTAAAGAGAAATATCTCGGATAGCATCGACATAACAACCTCGTTTTTTCGCGTATTAAGGCTCTGTACAAACAATTTGCACTTTTACGCTGCTGGACAATGGTCTAAAGGGGCGATAAATTTCCAAAAGGTTTTTTTTTTCATAAACAGAAGTTTGTACAGTTGTCTGTCAAGTACTCTGTCTTATTCAAATCATCAATGTATGTTAATTTTTATATCATTTACTAAAAAAAACTTTCGTTTCTTTTTTTTTTTTAACCAGTGATTGTCTCCAGAGGAGCGGTTGCCACTTATGCCTTTACTAGTGCAGCAAGAGGTGGAGATATAAGTCAATACAAAAACCCTCCAGCACGACTTGTAGGCGTCTCCTACATCAGGGGCCCAGACGGACATCCTCAGGGAGCTTATTACTTTCCTGGGAAAACAATTCAAAGGGGAAGGCGAATTAAAAGCTATGTGGTTATTCCCAACAACGGCTGCCTTGACACGCGTTACTCATTGACAATGATATTTTGGGTTTACCCCGAATCTCCTGGACCTTTGATCCATTTCAACCCGAAAGGATGGGGCGTTCATTTATTGATTACTCGTCTAAACCAACTCTATTTCCGGTTGATGCCACGTAAAAGGTCTGGCATTAGAGTGAAAGCGCTGGTTGGTCGTGGACTTAAACCGAGGACGTGGAACTATGTCGCCGCTACTTACAACCACAGAACTGGCTTGGCGACTTTGTTTATCAATGGCTATCCAATAGCACAACGAAATGTTGGGAAGTTCCGAAATGGACTGGCAACTAATTACCCGATAATCATTGGTAAGAGGCCAGGAAGTCGACGCGTGTTTCGTGGACGTCTCGCGTGTTTCCAGATATTTAACGTGGCACTCACTCGACTCCAGATCGTCGCACTGCAGAAAAAATGTTTCCGTCCAAGTAAGCACCTAGAATTTATCGGTTTTATTAAATCTTATAAGACTGCTCTCCTCAATCTGATGTTTGTCGAGGTCGATCGCCGAGTTCGAAAGGCTCCTGGGGACTGTGCAATAATTTTCAGGAGGGGAGCTTTGAAACCAGAGGGGGAGGGGCACCATGTAAAATCGTAGCATAAAGAAGGGGGCAGCATGTAAGATAATCTTTCAAGGAGGGAAGTGTATAATGTTTTTGTGGGAAGGCTGCCTCTAACCATAATACTGATTTCGTATCAAAATATAGCAAAGAGCTAACAATAATAGACCCACCCACGGTTTTTTCAGCATGGCTGAAAAAAACGCTTTAAAATCAGTAAAGTTTGCCGAGTTTGAAAGTGATTCGCTGAAAACTGACGAAGATACAGCTCAGCAAAGTCGATGAATTTTACAGAGGTGTGTATGGTGAGGGGTGGGGTGGGTGCAAGGTCGTGCCCCCCCCCCTCCCCCCTGTAAAATTTCGCGGCTTTGTGGAGCAATAGTTTCGCTCGCTTTGGGCGTACCAACTTTAAAAAAGACAACTTTACTAATTTTAAGGCGCTGTTTCCAGCATTATATATATTAGCTTACTGGCCTTTATCAAAACTTTAAAAACCGTGGAAGGGTGCATTAGTACTAAAGCTATGAACAATTCTGGTTACATGATATTTTAGCTCATTTGTAACTGCACACGGGTGTATCCAGGATCTCGGGTAGGCGGTGTCCCATTACAAGACAAAACGAACTAACAGATTTAATGTCCCCTCAAAAGTAATTACTATTAAATGTAAAGACACCCCCAAGAGGATGTGGCTTTATGCTCCCAAAAATGAGCAGCTCAAAGAAACATTGCCAAACATTGAGTCGAACAACGAGCACCAACTCAGTTCGCCGACGGGCGAATAGGTAAGATAAGTAGCGCCATTAACGATTCAGTGGAGGGAAAGAGGGACTAGTAGCTCGCGTTCTGAGTTATGTTCGTGCTGATCATGACTCAACCAGAAATCGAAGGCAGTGATCCAAATGACTCAGAGTATCAATAAAGTGACCAGCTGGAGGTCGGTCAGAACTAACTTGCCTTTTTTGGCAGGGGGCGCTACGTAATATTACTTCATGCCAGGCTCTTTTTTCAGAGTCCCCCTCCTGATAATTATTGCACGATCCCTTGATTCTTGTGGCGAGCGAAAATTGGGCGGAGTACAAATTACCCGTTAGGGTTGGGGCGAGGAATCAAGAAAAATATTCTCACTTTCTTTCACTCCCAGTCCCCTTGCTCTCTCCCCAGAGTTCGAACAGCATATGAAATCATGATGGCGATTTTTTGAACTCAGGGATCTCTCTCGACAATCACCAGGGAAATGGGGGATTATGAATAGCCTAGTATTTTATGCCCTTTCTCCATGAAAACTAACGGTGTTAACGTTGGTTTTGTTTTCTCTCCAGTTCCCACACGCCCACCAACGCCAGTACCAGGTGATTATTCTTTAATCCTCTTTAAAAATGTTTATAGGGAAGTACATGTATATGCTAAAGCAGTGACAGTTATACTCCGCCATAACTTTCTGCTTGTTTTTGATTCCAGTCTGTAAATCTCGCGTGGACCTTGGAATACTTGTCGATGTCTCCAGAAGTATAATGCGAAAGAACTTCAGAAAGGTCATTGATTTCTTGAAATCGCTGGTTAGCTTCTTTCCGCTTTCTACGCGAGGAACCAGGGTTGGTTTGATGATATTCCATTCTCGATCCCAAGTCGTGTTTGGTTTCAATCGATATGGTTCACGAGCACAACTTGTGAGGGCAATTGGCCGCTTAAGGTTTGTCTGACTGTGGCAAGAAAATATAAACTGGGAAATTTGTTTCTTAACACTAAATGATTTAAACCTACGTTAGGGGTAATATAATGTAGAGTTTTTTACGTCCACTCTGAAATTTGACTAGGCACCAACCCCGGCGGCGTGGTACGTACATCGGAAGAGCACTGCGTAACGCCAGAAGAAGACTTTTCCGCAGGCGATCACCACGTGGACGTAAACGAGCTCTACTCGTCATAACCGACGGTGTCTCCGCGGATCGTGTTCGTCGACCCGCTTTACGGCTCAGGAAAGACGGCGTGGAAATCTTTGCCTTGGGTGTTGGATCTGGTTTTAGAAGACGTCAGTTGCAACTTATTGCCTCAAATCGTCTTAATCTATTTACAGCCGGTTTTAGCCGTCTTGGAAAAGTCGTGAAAGCTATTAAAGAGAAAGTATGCGAGCCTGCTAAACCATCACCTAAACGTAAGTTCTCGTGTCTTTTGCTAAAAGTAGAGAGTAGTTCAATGAATAGCAGTTATTATCAGCAGTATTATTGTTGTTGTTTTAGATCTGTATCAAGATGTCGAGAAAAGTCAAATATTATTCACCAATTGAGAATAATTTTCCCTTTCATTCACCTTATCTCGTTCCAACTTTCTTCTGGCATTTATCCTCTTCATTTCTTCTCCGCCTCCCTGCCCCCGTCCCCCGCTGAATCCTCGCGTGGTGTTCAAAACACTAGTTAGAAACACTTGGAAGAGGTAGGATGGATCATTCTTCAGTTCTTACGAAAATGGTCAGTTTTCTTAAGTCTGTTCTCTTTTTTTGTTTTGTAGCCCCCGTTCCACCGCCAACAAGTAAGTACGGTATAAATTTAGATAGGTTACCTGTTGGTTCAAGATGTATTTTATTTAATATAAGAATTATGAATAGTTTTAGGACAATAATAAATAATTGTGTTCCCATTAAAACTGATCAGCTTCATTTGATCATTCAAAGCTATTTTATGGATTCCGGATTCGTAATAAAAAGCTTTGTTTTATCAGGACCACCACGTGCCGCGGCTTTGTACCCTCTTAACAGCAGAACCCAAGGTCGTGATATTGGTCCAAGAAAAAATAAACCTGGGCGTTCTCGAGGAGTACGTCTGTCTCCTGGACCAGATGGCTTCCCCAGGGGTTCATTTTATTTCCTCGGTCAACGTGGGAGTTACACGTATTTTACAAACCATGGAGGTATCGATACCAGAAACTCGATCACTCTTTTAGCGTGGGTCTATCCCGAGAGTGGTGGACCTATATTCAACTACAGACCCCGGGGCTCAGGCGTCAGCTTGTGGGTCATCAGAACAAGGACGCTGTATGCGAAGTTTGTACGGCGCTCTGGAAAAGGTGCTTTTGTACTGAGAACTCGACAAGCTCTTCGACCGCGCATGTGGAACTACATTGGCGCAAGTTACGACTGTAAGACTGGGTTAGCAACGTTATGGCGGGAGTCTTCGCCCATCGCTCAAAGAAACATCGGAAGAGGGTTAAGGCTGGCCACTAACTATCCTGCTGTTATGGGAAACAAGCCTGGCTCCAGGACATATTTCCGCGGTCGTATCGCATGTATGCAGGTGTTTGATGTGGCTTTGAATGGTCTACAGATGCGCAAGCGCAGGAATGTATGTTTTAGAGGTAAGGAACAAAGCTTAGAAGTTCTCCTAGCTAAAAACAGCTCAAAGTTTTCTCAGGTTATTGAAATCTGCGGAGGGTTACAACCAGCTTCCAATTGCAGAAGTTACCTGACTGCCAACCTTGCGTGGACATTTAGACCTGCCCGAGAAGACTTGTTAATCCGCGACTAGAACTTTGGATCGAAAAATCTAGTAGGGGCTTTCTGATGTACCCCTCTACTTTTTTACCAATGCTGTTGGTGAACTATAATCTTTTGCATGACATCAATTTTAACTTTCTGTGTCGTACTTAGTAACCGATAATGAATTTGATTCTCTTCTTAGGTGGCCCTCCGCCCACGCCACCTCCACCTGGTAAGTATCTTACTGTATGGGCGAATCTTTGTTTACACTTTTTGCCTCATTAATATATGCTTATCACTATCTGGTGATGCTAATAAAATAAAAACTCTGAGTATTGAAAGGGCATAACAGTTTCAGTTATCTCTGAAAATTTGAGCCCAATACACCGAATGGTTTCGGAGAAATTCTCTTCTAAAAACTCGAAGTTTTACAGAGAATGTATGGCTGATATTACATTGACTTCAAGGGAGGGCTTCTTTAACTTGCGCACTTGTTTACAAACTAGCTTGCCCGTGATGTTAAGTCATACGGTGTTTCTTCCTCAGAACTTCCACTTCTCGTGGCCATCTTCCCCCTCGACAAGGAATCCAAGACCAAGGACATCACTAAGAATAATCCACCAGGTATACCATCAAACGTCCACCCTGCTCCAGGCCCTGACGGACGTCCTGACGGATCAACTCTTTTCTTCGGATCAACTAACAGCTACATCGAGTTTCCAAACAATGGCCAACTAGACACCAGGCGTTCCATGACTATCTTAGCCTGGGTTTACCATAACGGGCGTTCAGGTCCAATATTTAACTACGACCGGCGTGGTTTTGGTGTTCATTTATGGATGGTTGGACCCAGAGTTCTTTTTGTGCGCTTTGTAAGACGCTCCCGCGGAAGGACGTCGTCAGTAGCAACCTACTCTAAAAAGCCACGTTATCGCGCGTGGAATTACATTGGCGCCACGTACGATTACAACACAGGTGTGGCGACACTATGGCTCAACTCCAGGCCCGTTGCACGGCAAAGCATCGGTCGCTTTGATTTGGCCACAAATTATCCAGTCAGAATGGGTGCTCGAATTGGAGATCGAAGAGCATTCCGTGGAAAAATCGCCTGTCTACAGGTGTATAGCGTCGCTTTGACAGCAAAGCAGATTCGTGGGGCGCGGAAGAGGTGCTTCAAGAAGAGTAAGTCGATTTGATTATATCTATTGAAGAGGAAGACTATTAAAGGGCTAGTTAAAGAAATTAAACAAGTCTTTTTTTTACGATTTTACATGGTCTTCTGACAATGTTTGGAAGAAGCACTTTTTTGGTCAGGTTTAACAATATTTTTGCTGTCTCATTTAAGTTCTATTTTGTCCATGAATACCCATAATCCATTCAATGCACTGACCATTTCTTTCTCTTTTCCATTTAGTTATTAAGCCAACTCCACCTGGTGAGTACTATTTTGTGTTTTATGAAACCCAGTTAAAGCAATTTCATGTTCTTTTGTTGACAGATGATGTATGATCAAGACAAGATGAAACAGACAACTAGTCACTAGGCTCAATTTGTGTGCTTGGCGTGTGAAAAACAACTAGTTATTTAAGAGGTTAACGCAAGGCTTGGGAAAAATTATAGGTTTTTTTTTCTATCAGATTAAAACTGTTTGTCTTTCTTGCTTTTCCATTAGACTTGAAGACTTTTCAACAAATCATAGTGCCGGAAATGAATTTTTATCCCACTAAAACTGTCGTGACTAAAACTTCCATGCTTGCGTCATGAAAACTACCAATAGGTATCTACTAATGTCTAATCTAGGGAATCGCTACTGGCATGTCCTTAAAAAGGTGGTACATTGATTCCTTTAACCTTTCCCTTTTTTCTGAATTCTGGAGGGGATGGTAGTCTTTCAATTTGTTTATTAATGTGGCGCATTTAGCTTTTAAGCATTACTATGAATATATTTTCTTTTGTCTCGTGTTTGTCAGCTCCAGTATCGCCCTCCACTCGTCGTCCAGGAAGTAAGTTTATGTCTTTTTTTTCTTTTTCGTGGGCATTTTTTCTGAAATTATTTTACTCTTAAAATAACGGTCCCACGTCAATATATATGAGAATGATCCTGCTGTTTTCGTCTTCTTTCGCCCCCTTGTTCTCTTTTGCCCTTATTTATCGCTTTTATAGCAACTAAATAAGTACAGTAAACAAGAATGAATCTGTGGTACTAAAATGCTTAAAAAGGACATTTATTTACCTTTTTAAAATACCAAATAGTTTGAACTGTTAAGAATTAATGCATCAGTTAATGTTTCTTCTTAATTGTACTGTTTCAATATGTGATGTTTTATTTAGTGTGTACACTATCTGTGGACCTCGGTTTTCTCATCGATGGCTCTGGAAGCATCGAATACCAAGGAAAAGGAAACTTTCCTCGTATGCTCAACTTCGTCAAGTCTGTTGTCAGCTTCTTTGAAGTATCCCAAGGAAAATCACGAGTTGGTTTCGTGCTCTTCTCCTCTCATACGATTCCGATCTTTCCGTTTGGACGATATTCGTCCAAGGGTCAAATTCTCAAGGCAATAGAAAGGGTTCGTTACCCTCGAGGAGGAACTAGAATTGGTAAAGCTTTGGACTTTACTCGTCACTACCTCTTCAAGGGCTCCTCCCTTCAAGGAAGAAAGCGAGTGCTGGTCTTACTAACAGATGGTTTGTCACAGGATCGTGTTGGTTCAGCGGCAAGTCGTATGAAAGCTACAGGTGTTGAAGTTTTTGCTATCGGACTTGGAAAGAAGGTTAAGCATCGGCAGCTGAGGCTGATTGCAACAGACCGGAACCACGTGATGACCACGTCCTTCAGCACACTGATGACACTCATACTAAAGCTAAAGAATCAAATTTGCCGAAAACTTGGTGAGTGGAATGTTTTAAGTTCCTAACAAAGTTCTGGGCGAAGTTCATACTTATTTTTTTACTAGGATCCTCTTAATTTTTTTGCACTTTACTTGTCAGTTCCTACAGTTCGCCCAGTTACACAACCAACGAAACCAAGGGGTGAGTCACTTTATTACTTTAACTTTTAATTCAATGACGCAATATAATCTCTCCATATTATTGGAGCAGATTACCGTTGTCAGTCTGTTCAATTCTGTGTAAAGGTTGCGCACTGCTCACTGATGCTTCTCGTGTTTGGCCAAAAAACGTAGATTGATTGACTTACTGGTTGCTTGAACGACTGATTGGTTGGTTGGTTGATTGATTGGTTGGTTGATTGGTTGGATGGTTGGTTGATTGATTGATTGATTGAACGACTAATTGACAGATTGATTTATTGGCTGCTTGGTTGGTTTGTTTGTTAGTTGGTTGGTTGATTGATTGATTGGTTGATTATTGACTGAACGACTGATTGATTGATTGATTCTTCCAAGATTGCTCGGAAAATATAGTTCAGTTTTTTACGACCATTAGTTTAAACTGGTCCATCGGCATTATTAGTAGTTCTCTGAAAAGTAATTGTGTAAAAACTGCTGAATTGTAGCCTAAATCGTATCGAACAATGTACGTTTTTGTTTACCATGATCTGACAAAGTAGCGTTTCATAAACAGCGCTAGTCCTTCGTAGCTTAGTGGTTAGAGCATGCGATCGGTGTACGGAAGGTCATAGGTTCAATTCCTGTCGGGGACTCAGATTTTTTCCTTGTCCCATTCTATGCTTGTGACATGTTGATCACAGTGCTCGAACTTAACTTTTAGCTCTGGTCTTCCACTGGACCAGTAGGCTAAGAATTTACTGGTCCCAGGAGCAAAGTTACTGGTCACCCTTTACATTTTTTTTTGCACGTATTTAATTTGTGTGTGTAGGTAAAAACATGTAAATGCCACACTATGATCAAATAAACACAACAATTTACATGTATCTTTTTAGTGATACATAGCAACAATGATAAGTGTATTACAATTATAATTCTTCCCAGTTACAGGCCATAGTTGCAACATAAATAGAATAGCAGCAGTTTTATCAACTTCATTGCTGTCTTAGGCTTAAGTTAGGTCATCAATCCTTTAAGCAAGGCCTTCGCATTCTTTGTGATGCCTGGTTCCAATGCAAAATTGCCCTTTCAGCTGTAAAGTCCTCGGGACTTGAACCATTGAGGCAGATGTTCATGAGCATGTCAACAGTTTCAACATCAAGTGAGTTTCGATACTCTGATTTGAGTCGCCCCATACAAGAGAATCCCCTTTCACAGCAAGATGAGGACACTGCCATTGCCAGACAAATCTCAACCACCATCAACATGTGAGAGAGTTCAAGTTCATCTGGATGCACCTGATTGAACACTTCTACCCAGAACTCAGCCTGACTTAAGTTTGCAATGCGTTTGTGGTCATAACAGTACAGTTTTAGAGATAGCCACTGATCCTTTGATACTTCCAAGTCGAAAGCATTGCTTCTGAGGACTGCCTGAAAGTGCTGAGCCACAGTAACCAATTCTTCTTCTCCATACAAACCTAGATCATTTTTCTCTCCTTTGGCCAAGACTTATTGTTAGTGATAACACCGCAAGCTTTTTAGTACTGGGGAAGTGAAGTCTTCAAATCTTGAGGCTAGAAATTGCTTAGCATCAGTGATGATTGATGCTTTACTTTGCTCAAACAATCTGTCATCTGTGTTGGTCCTTGTAAGACTGACCCCCTTGAACACTGTTCCAGCTCCTACTTCTTCTTGAAAGGCAGCAAGATGTTTCCCAGGTCGTCTTCGCATGTTCTCTAAGGCTTGACTAGCTCGCTCAATCTCAGCCTTCACTTGCGAAATAGAGATAGAATCCTTCTGAAAAATAAGTGAGATCTTTGACACTTCCTCTAGAATGTCCCACATTAAATGAAGGTGAAGCTGGAATTTGTAAGCCTTGAGCTTCTTTGACAAGTTCCTACCCCGTCCTTGCATTTCTGCTGAAGAATCTCTAGCTTCTGCCGTGTGCTCAAAGTGAGAAACAATTGCTTGAAAGTTTTTTTGAAGTAGAACAGTTAAAGCACGGAGCAAATGAGGCACCCAACGAGTTCCACTGGCCTTTGTTGGTTTTCCCACTTTTATTTCCATTGCCTCTGCCATTTCTCTTAGTTCTCTTAAAGCCTTTGGGGAATACTTATAGTGTTTCCAGCAGCCATTTAAAAGTTCCTTGATGCTCATCATTGTTTCATTGCACTTCAAAGTGTCACTAAATGCAAGTTCTAAATTGTGTGCTACACAATGAATTGGAATAACTTGAGGTGCTTGTTGTTTAATTAATGAAACCACACCACCAATCCTGCCCATCATAACTGATGCACCGTCTGTGCCAGTGCTGATCAGTTTTGCATCCACTGAGGGTCGATCTTATCCATAACCGACTTGATTGCCTTTAGAATTCCTGGTGCCTTTGCACTTTCAACCTCAGCCAGCTCAACATAGCACGTTTTTGGAGCCCCACCTGATACAAATCTCACATACACTATTTCTTCTTCCAAACATGACACATCTGTTGCTCCATCTGCCATTATAGATATAAACTTAGCAGTGCTTAAAGAATCTATGAGATCTGCCCTCAAGGTATCAGATATATGTTTACAAAACTCTTTACAAGCATGATCATTCATGTACGTGTTTCCGAGGTTTAAGCCATTCTTTTTTTGCAATGAACACAACTGTGAGAATATAGAAAATGGAAGTTTCAAATAAGCTATATAATATGCTGTATTAAAAAGATACTCCATTTTCTTCAATGTTTCTTCATCAAGTCTGCTCAATGCAGCAGGCAAAGGTCTTTGCTCTCTTGGACGCTCGCTTGCACGTTTAGCTGCTAAACTCATAGCGTGTCCTTCACTGGCCTCGTGAACCTTTAAGCTGTCAGTTTGAAAGTTATTTGTTCCGACCCTCAAGGAATAATGTGTGTTTTTCCCATTTGGAAATTCCCTGCAAAACTCGCAAAACATTTTGTTTTCTTTCTCATTAAAGTGGAGCCATCTGTACTTTTCTATCCACGATTCCTGAAACTTCCGTGTTTTCTTTATCGGAGTTGCAGCAGGCGGTGCTGGTGTTGTGTTGCTTTCTTGATTTTGCTTTCCTCCGAAGAAAGAACTCAGTGAGCATTGAATTTTTTTTCGTTTGGACATTTCAAGAAGTTGTGTTTTGAAAGAAAATAGAGATTCAATCAACATCGATCATTTGGCAAACGCGGGAAGCCGCCATATTGAATCCCACAATCCATTTAATCTCAGCGTAGAACCCAGACTCTTACCTGCCAGGCCAGAAACGCCTAGCGATTTTTGCTCGACGTTTTCGAAGCATTCGCTTTCAGAAATTCTTTATCTGCTTTGACACTTTTAGCCCCTTTCAGCAAGATACAAAAGCAATTATTTATCGGGGTACTGTAACTTTACTCGTCCACAGGACTAGTGGCAAAAAAACCTACTCGTTTTGGGCAATTTTTACTCGTTTTGGACGAGTGGACGACCGTTAAGTTCGAGCACTGGATCACCTCATTTCTCATTTCTTCACCGAGCTGAAAATTTATCATCATTCTTAATTTAAGTTTGGTTTGTGCCTTCATAGTTAAACTGCCCAAAACTCTCGCGGTGTATCCCCTGGACAGGAGAAGAGGTGGACGAGACATTAGCCGAAGTCGAAATCCCAGTGCAAGACTTATCGGAGTTAGATACAACCAAGGCCCTGATGGTCGTCGGGACGGCTCCGTTCAGTTTTACGGACGACGAAACAGCTACGTAGGGATTCCGAACACAGGACGACTGGACGCTCGATACTCTATTACTGTTCTCATCTGGGTGTATAACGAGGGCAGACATGGCATTATACTGAATTACAACCCTAATCGTAAAGGGTTCCAACTTCGCATGATCAGTAGAAGAGTTCTCCAAGTAGTGATAGTACAGCGCAGGCGCAGGAGAGTAATCACGGTACGAACGCGTGGACGTTTCATGAAATACAAGGCTTGGAACTATGTTGGCGTTACATACAGCGAGAGACGACAAACCATGACGATCAGGGTAAATTTAAAAGTTGTCGCAAGAAGGAGAATCGGACGGCTACAGTTAGATACCAGGAGGTCAATCAGGCTTGGAAGCCAAAGAGGCAATAATAACTACTTCCAGGGTCGCCTATTTTGTCTTCAGTTGTACAGTGAGGCACTGTCTGGAAAGCAGATCAACGAAGCTAAGAAAAAGTGTTTCCTTAAAGGTAAAAATTCACACTTCTGTAATTGTTGCTGCTGCTGTTACAAAATGGGTACTTGAAGGAGACGTTATTGTACTTGTTTAGATACCTAATCGAACAAAATGACGACTGGTACTTACGGCTCTCCCAGGCAATCGTAATTTTCAAATTTGTCCTTTCACTGTCAACATTGTAGAATAAGTAAAACGAATGCTTTACCTGCCCCGTTAATGAAACAGTTTACCTATATCTTAACCAGAATACAGACATATTTCGATGCTTAGACCTCAAAAATCTTGATATTTAGTAGTTTTTCCTAGAATTTCAGCTGTACTTGACCCATAACGTTTACAAGCCCGGCCTATTGCTTTTCTTTTTCTTCGCAGGGCCACCCATTGTTACTCCGACACCCACCCAGCAGCCAAAGCCTGCGCCGAGGAGTAAGTTTTATTCTGTTCCATTAATTTTTTCCTTCTACCTGTTGTAATTAAAATGCCGGCCAACATTGTTTAGATCTTTTCTGTGATTTCGGTACCAATCACATTTATCGACAAGTTGTGTTTATTCTATTGTCGTTACTCTTCCCCGCAGTTTTTAGAATCATATTATTCCGTGATATAATTAAATATTTCATTAATCAGTTACTCATTTATCTTACAGTACTTTTTGTTTCATTTTTCTATTTTTAACAGTTTGCCGAGCTCGTATCGATCTCGGGTTCCTTATCGACACCACCACTAAAGTCGCCCGCTCCAGAAGGCGAAACCTCCAGCAGGTTATCAACTTTGTCCGGGAAACTATTCGTCGATTTACAATCTCTAGAAGAGCAACACGCGTCGGTGTAGTAACGTACGCGTCACGTGCTCGTACAATCTTTGATTTCTCCAGGTCGTACACACTAGGGCGTATTTATAGTGCGATTCGCCGAATTCGGTCTCTCAGAGGTAGAAGACGATTGGGTAGAGCTTTGTATTATGCCAAACGCTACCTGTTTAGAGGAAAACCGCAATGTGGAAGACGAAGAATCTTAATCGTGCTGACAGCTGGGCAGTCAATCGATAGAGTGCGGAGACCAGCGGTCGCGCTTCAGGGAGCTGGCGTCGAGTGTTTTGTGGTTGGGCTAGGACGTGTAAGTCGTAGAAGTCTTCAAAGGTTAACAACTGACAGGCATCACGTGTTTGTTGTCGGATTTACACAACTTTATACTATAGTGCGAACGCTCAAGGACAGGATTTGCTACTCCCCAGGTAAGGGCTCTGCATATTTAAAGTGACCTCAAGTTAATTCAACTTGATTCAAAGCTTTGCACGTGGAAAGAATCAAATTCATTACCTTGGTTGATGACTCATTTTCTCTTGTAAATTAGTACACAGTAACGTAATTCGCTGGTTTCATAAAGGGCATACTACATTCTAAAGGCTCCAAAACTCAAAAAAACTGATTTTACAGGGGAACACAATTACTGGCAAACAAATAGTTATTATTCTGGCCCAAGAGGTTAAGAATCACAACTGCCCGGAGGCAAACCAGTTGGTTATTTAGAAGGGTGACCGAGCAGCCAAGGAGGTGAACTCGGGCTACCGAGAACAAATCCAGCAAGCTTTAAAGGCGGGGATTGAAATCGGGGCCTCCGAATTAAAATTCCAGCGCTCCAAACGCCTGCCACCCTGCTTCCTCTGTGAATGTCGCTCCACCCTCTGTTTTTTTTTTTTCAAATTGAGTCCATGCTCTGATATCTACAATCTAGCTTCGCTGCTATCGAACTTTTATGTGCAGCTTTCTAGCGTCAATGTTCCAGATATTCATTGAAATATTGCTCAAATATTGTTATTTGTTTTTAGTTATTCGCCGTGGCGCAGTCGCCGTTTACCAGTTTACCAGCGAGTCCAAAAACCGTGACGTCAGTAGTTTCGTCAATCCACCAGCGAGATTTGTTGGTGTGTTCTATTCACGTGGCCCTGACAACCACCCTAGAGGCGCCATCTCCTTCAGAGGAATAAGAACTAGCTACGTCCTTATCCCCAACAACGGCTGCCTAGATACGAGGTATTCAATAACAATTATTTTCTGGGTTTACCCCGAGAGTCCTGGACCATTAATTCATTTCAAACCAAATGGCTGGGGTGTTCATGTTTGGATAGTGAAATCATTTAGACTCTACGCCCGGTTCGTTCCTCGTTCTGGTAAATCTGTGAGGCCGCTGTACAAAAAGATCAAGCCACGTCAATGGAACTACGTCGCTGCTACATACGACCACCGGACAGGTTTAGCCACTTTGTGGCTTAGCAGCCTACCCATAATCCAACGGAAGATTGGACGCTTCCGTCTTGGTTTGGCAACTAATTACCCGATTGTGATTGGACGCAAGCCTGGCGATAGACGTAGGTTCCGTGGGAAGATCTCTTGCTTTCAGATTTACAACTTTGCGATGAATGGTGTACAAATTCGCAGCAAAACGAAAAGATGCTTCCGAGCAGGTTCGTATCAGTATTTTTTGGTAAACACTCGCTTTGAATACAATACGATAAAATCGATTTTTTTTCTGTGGATCAGAATATGTGCTGAAAAGCAGGCGAATGTTTGTTTGTTCGACCATCCACGCATTCCCAACATTACACCAGCGAATTCATATGCTCGCGCGCCCTCGGTAAAGCCTGTACTTCTTGAGCAGGTCAATTCTCTCCTTATTTTACGTGATTTCTGTTTTATTTTACTTTAGTTCCAACGCCTGCGCCCCCATCCCATCACCAAGCCCATCGAAGCCTCCAGGTAAGATGCACAGCCTGTGTATTTTAATTTGTTCTCTTCTTGTCTAGGATGAAAAGTAACCTAGAAGAAGAGTAAAGTCACACCCTTATTTATGACCCCCACGGCTCGTAAGCAATATACTATCTATTTGATAACATCCTCCTAGATCTGCACAATTCTTCACATCCTACTCAGCCTCATTCAGTAATAGCTAAAAATGCGTAGTGGCCTAGAAGGGGACAGGGGACCGTTGCTTGTTACTATATTTAAAATCACAGACTCTAAATACACTTTATATAAGTGAGGTTTGCCCTTGGATATAACAGTGGTCTTCTTTGTTTTCAGTTTGTCGATCACGAGTTGATCTGGGCTTCCTCATCGATGGATCGGGAAGTATACGAAAGCATTTTACTCGCGTCCTTGACTTTGTCAAAACGCTCATCAGCTTTTTTCCAATTTCCCCGAGACAAACGCGTGTCGGTGTTGTGGTATTCTCATCTCGGCCATATCCCATCTTTCCATTCAACCGTTACTACTCGAAGACAAGCGTAATCAGAGGAGTTGATCGTATAAGGTACCCGTATGGAGGAACTAGGATTGGTCGAGCGTTGAGATTTGTTTCAAGGTACGAATTTTCAAAAGTGAAGTTTATTTATGGATGGTCGGGGCGACTGTGGGAAAAAGAAATAAAAAATAGGGAACGTTCATTAATACACAGCTGTGAAGATGAATTTAGGCTTGAATTGCGTTTTAACGCACAATCGAAGAATTTTCGGATGCTCAGTACTCCAACGGCTATAGGCATTTCAGTCAAACAGAAGAATATTTCTCACGTCTTTTAAAAGATCTGTTTTTCTAGTTCCTGATCTCTCGCCTAACCGTTTTGAATAATAAGGAAGAGGCCAATTGCAGGATGACATCTTTTTGTTACCAGGACCAGAATTCATTTCGTTTTTACTTTTATATTTGAATTTGGAAATTTCAATGAGAGTTAATAACAAAAGCCCTTATTTGCACAAGAAAGAAAAACCCTGAAGGGGCGGCTTGATAACTCTGCAAGGCCATGTCCACGGGAATCCAGACATTTCTGAAATCGCATATTTTTTATCCGGATTCATGTGGCCGCCGCTCTGAATAGCGGTTTCAAAAACAATGCATCGCCCCATGCAATGGAATTCGGATTCCGGAATGCGGTAAATTTTTGCTTGTGGAATCCGGAATCCTGGGCTTTGGAATCCGGAATACAGCTCAAGGAATCCGGAATCACACTAACGATTGCATTCCAGAATCCAAGTTCTACTGACAAAGACTAGAATCCAGTACCTGGAATCCGGAATCCACAGCGTGGAATCCAGAATCCAGAACTGTCTTGGATTCCCTTAAAGGGGGCGAAATGCGATTTGGGTGTCCGGATTCACCGGTTTCGTTTGGAAAGAACTGACTGATTTGTAGAAAAATAGTATGCGGTTTAAAATTTATCCGAATTCGTGTGGACATAGCCTTGAGTTATGACCCTTATTTCTGTTTTGGCTGTTTGCGTGTCGAGGTTCTTATGCTGCACTGATGAAGCTCACCTATTCTCTATTGTTATGCAGGAATGAATGCACGTCCCAACTCAGAATTAGATTACGCGTGTTGGACAATATAAACGCGCATGTTTAGATTTAATTAGCGGAACTCTTGAATCAGGTTAAACTTCCGACACATACCAGGAGGAAAAGGTTGAGAAGTCTACAATTCAATCAAGTGCTGTTGTAATTTACAGTGGGATCCCGATTTTTCGAACCACCTTGGGAAAGGTTCGACTCATTGGGTGGTTTGAAAAAAAGACTGTAAAGGGCTTGAAAAATCGGTATTCTACTGTATGTATATATTTTGTTGTCCCCAGGTTCCTTTTCTCGCGTGGAAGAATAAGAGGAAGAAAGTCCGTCCTTGTCATTCTGACCGACGGCATCTCACAGGATAATGTTGTCCAACCAGCCAGGAGTTTGAAGGGCAAAGGAATTGAACTTTTCTCCTTAGGGATTGGTAACAAGTTCAGGAGACTCCAACTTCAACAGATGGCGTCAAGTCCATCGCATGTGATGACAGCCGGATTCAGAAAACTGAGCACTGTATTAGCCGCTCTTAAGCACAGGGTTTGCATGCCTTTTGTTCCACGTGAGTGTTTCTTTATAATTACAGTCAAGCCAGGTCAAGCGTATCCCCCTCAAAATTCTATTCATTCCTCTATGCGTTCTTGCATGCTTTATGAGTAGTGAATTAACTCGCGAGGTATCTATCAAATTTCTGTAAGCTTGTCAGTTTTCCTGAATTTGATTTAACTTTCTTCATGGCAATTTTTTCCATTCAAAGATTTTCCAGTTTGACCGAATACTTGCTGCTCATTATGCATTCAGGAATGCAGATTTAAGTCAACTCTACACTAACTTTAGTTGCGGCAACGACTAACGGATTCATGTTTCAAATAATCAGTTCATTAACAGATTCTACAGCGGTATGCTTAACATGGCTTGACTAAGTCAATTTGTGCTATTTCTTATTGAAACTTTCTTGTTCACAGGACAATCGGGAGCTTAACCAAAAATGGCGGTTAATGCGCGTGACTGGCCTTGTAAACCAAGATATAGTCAAACCCCTTTAATACGGACACTAAGGGGGCCATAGAAAGTGTCCGTATTAACGGGGTGTCCGTATAAAGTGGGTTTAATTTAAAGAAAATGTGAGGTCTTACGTTTCCCAGGGACAAGGAAAACTCTTCTTAGTAACGAGGTGTCCGTAAAGCATTATCCCTCTGTAACAAATTTCACTGTTTCTATCCATGCCCAATCCAGGCCCTGATTTTCTATAAATGGATAAACCTTTCACCTCTATCATCAGGATTACGGGGAAACATCAGTCGTGGTTACGATCGTTATTGAAAAAGCAATTTCCTGCGGCTAATTCTTCTTCATCCAGTTGGGCCAGTAAAGGCGCGCGGTGATCTCAGCTGATTAATTATCCTAATTTCCTGGATAGTCTTAGAGATTTTATTTTGTCTTCATTTCGTTAATGCTTGGCTGCTTTTTGTTTCCATAGCGACCAGGCCAACTCGTGCACCTGGTACGTAATAAACGATACCATTGTTTATTAGTAATGATTGGTATCATGTGCTATGTAGTTAAATTTCATTGGCTAGTGGCATTTGCTACTTGATTTTCATTGGTTCTTTAACTTTCCGATTTGACCTGTCTGATTACAAGCTCTTGGTAACCGGACAGTTTTGAAGTTACAATAGCAAAATTATACCATAAATATGGGCTATTAAAAAATAATCAGATTCAAGCATTTTGTTATTGACACAATTAAGTACTATTATTGCTCATTCAAAATATTTCTCCGTTTCTGATTGGCTAAAATCCGACGCATAACTCATCATAACCAGCTACTGTCGACCAAATTTGGAAGAATTCTGCAATATGTGAAAAATGACATCAGTTGTACAGCAAAATTACCAGATTATTGAACAGTTAACCGAGAAGACCTGGGGAGGAGGTTGAGTTGTTTTGGTAGTGGGTACAAAATGGCGGAACATTTAACTCGTTTCACGAGGAAGAAATAGGCAAGCTATTGGCTAAAACAAAGCACGAACAGCAATAAGACAACTCGACTGACAACATGTGCTATTTGGAGAACATTTGCAGAACTGAGCAACCCTTTATCTCCTAAACGTGCCGATAAACATGTATTTGAAAATGAAATTAACATCGATGGAGGTAAGCATATTTTAGCTTGTTTTTAAACCAGGAATTATTTTGAATGAATAATAAAAAATTATTGAATTCGGCTTTCGTATCGTCTGAATAATTATGGAAATCGAGGAGGCTGTTATCCGCCTCGATCTCCATAATTCTTCAGATAATACGAAAGCCGAATTCAATAATTGCTAATTCGCAGTCGCCCGTCGATTGTTTATTTCAGTACGTTTCCTCTAAAAATCGTTCAAAATACAAACGACAACAGTGATACCTGGGGCAAGCTTTTATTTAGTTTGACACTTTATGTTATCATCCTCCCTTAAAACGATAGGTATAATGAGGATGTAAGATTGACAGTGAGGTAAACTGGCCAAAGCATGAGCCATCTGAGCCCCTTGCCACATTTGAGATGTATTTCATACGCTTATCAACCGCTAAGAAGGCAGATATCGTGACTTTTCTGGCCTGCATTTACTTATCAATCGTACTTCTATTTTGTAACCAGTTTGCAGCCTATCAATTGACATTGGTTTTGTATTGGACGCCTCTGGAAGACAGGCTAGACTGCGCTTCAGACGAATCAAACAGTTTGTCCGTCTTCTTTCGCAATCATTTTCAATCTCGCCTAGACGAACTCGAGTGGGAGTCATCGTGTATGGCTCAAGACCCCGAATGGCATTCGGACTTAGCCGCTATACCAGTTTACGCAGCCTTGATCGCGCTACCAGAAGACTGCGCTCCAAGCGAGGTTCTAGACGCACCGGAAGAGCATTGCAGCTTGCTCTTAATCGACTCTTCAGGCGCAGTAGGAAAAAGAGGCTATTAATTGTGGTGACCACTGGACAATCCGCTGATAGCATAAGGGTACCCACCCTACAGATACACCGAGCGGGTATTGAAGTCTTTGCTGTAGGTGTTGGTACACGAGTAAGAAACAGTGAACTGAGTACAATAGCGACTGGCCCTCGTCACATTTACATGGTGACTTTCAAGACGATAAACGGTGCTGTCAAGAGCATAACCAGGAAAGCTTGTAAAGGTATTCGTTAGAGCAGCTAGTTGTATTTTTATATACACTTAATGAACTCAACTCGGCCCGCACCTGAAAAAGAAACCTTTAATTGGACATGTTCTTAAAGAGCGGAGAACTAGTACGACTTACATGTATGACTGTAGAGATCGTTTTGAGGGACAGCAAAAACATGGTAGACAGCAGCAGCAAGCCACCTGTTCAATTCTTTCAGGGTTATTCTGCATGACTAAAGAAGACAAACTTTGTACCTCAGGTGCTTAAGGAATTTTGCAAAGTTAAAAAAAATGTATTTCTGAAACTATATTTGCATTTTTTAACACAGCATCTTTAGTGCGCTATGATTTGTTGACCTTCGTGCTGTCCCTACAAAAGATCCCAAGAAGCTTTGTGACCGCATATTCTACCCAGTTTTCACTTATTTAGAACAAAAAGACAGAAATGATGGCCGTGTCTCGCCCTCGATATCTCTTATCATCTTGCATAGCATAGCTCCAGGCGGGTACAGGTTGTTAACGTCGTGCAGCATTACATGCCTTTTAGATTGTATACCATGTGACACGAGCTGCTGTTCTGTGTCCCTGTATTTGTATTTGCAAGAGAGTCCACTGTGATATTGGGAGTTGTTTTGGTTAAACCTTTTCGTCGGAACTTGATCTGACCTCCGGTGCATAGCAACGTGGCGTTGGACCACTAGGCGGAAGTAGACTGTAACTAGGAAAACATGAGAAAAGGCATACTCTTGTAGGCATGTTTTGTCAACCAGAGAATAATTCTACACGTTATTTCGCATAACTTAAAATCTCTGCATGGGTCTAAGAGACGCTTTCCTTTAAAGAATAAGCTGAACTGCTGAATTACATGCCTAAATTTCAGTTTTGTTGCTTGTTGTTGTTCATTTCTTTTCCCTTCGTTTTGTTATTGTATTTGTCTTTTGTAAACGTACTTAACTAATTATCTATTCTTACTTTAGCGCAAATTACGACACGGCCAACCTCCAAACCAACCAAGGCCCCGACTCCCAAAGCACCAAGTAAGTTTGTTGGCTGGAACTTAGTTGCAGTATCGTAATCATAAAATGGAAAACATATGAAATGATTTATGGCAAATTACACTTTCTAGAAGTCAATGATTTTTCGCCGCTCAAAGGATTTTGTCCTGCTGGCAAGTCTAGGTGCAAATCTCTCTCGCCAGTTTGATGTTTTTTTCTTGTATCTATGACATTTTGGTTATGAAACAAAAGAATAGTGATTAAAGTAATCAAAATCAAAGCTAAGTTTTAAATGATGCTCATGTTATCATACAAGTGTCTGGCCACCACAACAAACTCGTAACTTTTAGAAGATGCAGTAGATTAAATCAAAAGAAAAATCTGAGACTTAAATGTTTCAAACGGTTCTTTGCTAGTTTTGTTTTGTCTTGTTTGTTTGTTTTTTTTTCTCATTTGGCTTTAACTTTCTTTCCTATTCATGATTTGGAAAAAGGTTTGTCTTCTTAACGTTTGTCTTCTTAAGTCATAACGTTAGTGTTGTTTCGTATTTCCTGTTCAGTTTTGAGTACTGCTATTTGTTCTCATGGCCTTCTGTGTTTGCAGGGTTTCCCCAACCTATTGCAATATACGCCCTCGACCAAAAGACTCGAGCCCGCGACATCAGCCCTGGGAAAAACATTCCTGGACGAAGCTACAATATACGGTACGCCCCTGGGCCGTATGGACAGCCCCGCGAGTCCACAGAGTTTCTTGGTCGTCGTAACAGCTACATCCGATTCCCTAACAGGGGCAGATTAGACACTAAAAACTCCATTACTCTTCTAGCGTGGGTCTTACCCCTGGGACCCGGACCCATCTTTGAGTTCTTCCGTGGGGTAAAATTCTGGGTCGTTCGATCGGATACACTGTATGTTCGTTTTATCCGTAGGAATACGCAGCGCACTCGGGCGTTGATAAAACGACGTCTTCGACCACGACGCTGGAATTACGTGGGTGCAACGTACAATCAGCGGACTGGGATAGCTACACTTTGGCTAGATTCACGACCGATTTTATCGCAGAATATCAAACGTATCAGGCTTGCCACCAAAGGCTCGGCTTACATGGGTACAAACTTCCGCGGACGAATTGCTTGTATGCAGGTTTATTCCGTGGCTCTGACAGGGCCTCAGATAAAGAAGGTCAAGAATCTTTGTAATCAACCAGGTAATTCACCTGGTTACACTAATAAGCTTTCTACTCGTATATCTCATTAATGATATTTACTTATACTTTCCACGTCACTCCTTTTGATAGCCGATGACAGTTTGAGCTGAGCTTACTACACTCCTAGGCCAATTATCACTGGGTTAGCCTGCGTAGCAAGCGTTTCCAATCGAGTTATTGCGCGAAAGTTATTGCTCTTGTCCCAGCTTTCTAGACGAACCTCGCGAGGAAACGCTTGCTACGCAGGCTATCACTGGGTTTGTCTTGAAGATAATAGGCATGGAGACACTGTTGTATGCTTTTGAATTGTATTGAAATATAATTGTTTGGTGATGGTATGGTAGGGCTTAATTGACATTCCCATCTCCCTTTTGGTATTTCTTAGCTTGTAGAAGGGACATATATTCATCAAAATTATGCCCCTTCAACATTACCCTGTAAAGCATTATCTTGTCTTACTTTTTTCTTTTTCCTATAGGTCCAATTACACCAACGAAACCTTCCACAAGTAAGCATTGTGCAGTGCTCTGTTATTAAGCCCCTAATTAGTGAAAAACAATCTAAACGGGTATTCTTAAAGAGAGTCATAATTGACTGCTTGGTTCATAAGTCCGAGGCTGAAGTCCGACGCTAATAACACAAACCTAGACAGAGAGCCAATGAGAAGATAGATAGCGAGTGCAATGTCAATAATTCAGGGAATATGTCAAACGCGTTTTCCTTCCGTAATCCAATAAGTGGGAAGAACAAACGAGGCACAGACCCGGTTTTTTTGGAGCGACTTCTCAATACCTGGGAATGGGATGAATCACTGCCAACTGTGATGTAGGTTCTCAAAATTAATGATGAATTATAACTTTTGAAGAAATCCTAAAATGCATTTCGAAAAAAATTATGGTTTTGAGTATCCGACTTTCAAATCTTGTTCAGAGTAGTGATTTCGTTTGTTTGCTCTTTATGAATTAATGACTATTTTCGTTACTGTAGGATTACCGCCCGCTATGGCGTTCTATCCTTTAAATGTTCGTTACCACACTCGTGACGTCAGCAGGAGTAAAAACCCACCGGGGCGCATGGCAAATGTGCGGCCAGGCCTGGGCCCAGACGGAAGGCCTGGAGGCTCATTCAGGTTCAAAGGTCGATCAGACAGTTATATAGAATTTCCCAACAAAGGTCGACTGGATGCCCGTAACTCTATATCAATTCTAGCTTGGATAAATCCAGATGGACCCGTTGGTCCTATTTTCAATTACAAGCCTAATGGTTTTGGCGTTCACGTATGGATGGTCCGTCGACGCGTATTGCTGGTCCGTTTTGTGACGCGAACACGGAGGTTTACAGCACCAATAACAACAAACCTTATCAAGCCAAAGGCTTGGAATTTCATAACAGCTACGTATGATCAGCGTTCGGGCTTTGCCCGATTGTATATTGATTACCGAGAGGTTGCTGGGAAAAGGATCGGCCGGTTCCGACTAGCAACAAACTACCCAGTCCGAATGGGAGCCCGGATCGGTGATAAGCGTTATTTCCGCGGACGAATCACCTGCGTGCAAATATACGACGCTCCACTTCAACCGAGACAGATTCAAGCCGCGAAAAGACTTTGTCTCAAGACAAGTAAGCGACAATTAATTTTTTCTCTGTGTAGCCTAAAGTCAGTCTAACCGATCTACCAAATGAAAGTGTAACCGATCTACCAGATGAAAGTGTAACGGACCTACCAAACAAAAGTAAACGTTGATAAACGACGAGATAACAAAAAACTATTCATACCATGAAGATAAACAATTTATGACCACTGAGTAGTGTGAAAGATAGTACGCTATAAAACTAGTCGGTTACATATTGAGAGAGCAAATATACGTACTGACGGTATAATTAAAGTGACTGCCTGTTAAGCTAGTCCACTGTTTTGAATGAAACTTCGTTTCTTTTGTGCCGTAATTAAAAATTTCCCCCTACCAGTTTACTTTTTTTAGAGGAGGCAACGTGACCGAGCGGTTAGAGCGTTGGACTTACAATCCGGAGATCCCGAGTTCAAGTCCCGCCCTGACCGCTAGCTGGATTTGTTCACGGTAGTCCCGAGTTCAAATCCTCGACCACTCCAGTTAAGTAGCCGACTGGTTTGCCTTCGGCCTGGTGGGATTCATAACCTTGTTATGTTTATTCAACATTTCCACATAGACCAAAATGCTCCTTGTTTACCCTCAAAATTTTGCATAACTATTGTCTTCGATTTTTCTTGGGACGACTGTAATACCCAGAAGAAATTGGGAACAATGGTTTCTGCAAAATTTTTGGGGTGTAAAACAAGGTGCATTATAGTCTATGTGAAAATGATGAATTTGATTTATTTGCCTCTGTCATTTTCTCGGCCTCATTAGCCTTTGCCGATAAATAAAAAACCGTTGCCGAGAGTAAATAGAGGAATTGTTTTTGATATCTTTTGAATATGAACACTGTCACTTTCTTTCTTTTCTCTTTAACAGAGGTTATAACTACACCTACCACACGTCCCACCCCAACCAAGCCAACGCCACCAAGACGTAAGTCACTAAATGCATTCCCAACATTTTTCTGTAATACGTCCTATTTTTGCTCTTATTTTAGGAGGGATTTTAACTTCATATCTCTTTAAACTTTTAACAAGTTAAATGTTTTTTGAGCGGCACGCACGCCAACCGGAAGTGAGGCCTTTTCTCTTTCAATCGAGAGGAGAAGTGTGACGTCACGTTACTATGGTAGAAAAATTTCTGGACCAGAACAATAGGGAGTTTTTGCAACAGCAAAAAAGCAATAGGTTTAAACTGGCAAGAGAACAACTTTGCACGTACATCACGCTTTTTTGTACATCTCTTAGCCGTTGTTGCACGACTGCGACATGAAACTTCCTACTTTCACTCGCCCGCTTTATCGAGTAGATGAGCACAACACAAAAATTTTCTTTCTTTTTCTAAACTTAGATACGGTCCTTTCGGATCCAACCCAGAACATTTCGCCAACATTTGACAAATTGAATGAAACTGAATAAGATCGATGAAGTTTGAAACATCGCGAATCTTAATCTACCTTTTAAGTGACGTTTTTATTTGTTGTCATCCGGAAATTTTGCTACTATGGCAACGTGACGTAACGACTTCTCCTCTCTGTATATACCTCGACGCTAACAAATTTGGTTTGTTAAGTGTTTTTACTCTTTTACAGACGATTTGCCAGAAGGTTCGGGCAAAACCACTGTTCAAGAATGCAAAAAGTCCACTTCGGTTGACGAGTGTCGCTCAAAATCGCCTTTGCTTAAGCTTCCTATTATGTATACAGGACGTGCATTCCAGCTAATATTCAGTCAACATTTACTGAATTCTTACGGTAATCTCTTCCTATTGCTCAAGTCGAAGCTGGCGGAAAAGAATGTTCTTAACTGACCTTCAGCCTGTACTTAGGATGTTTTCATGTTTTTTGTTTGTTTGTTTTTCTTTTTTCATTCTCAGGCTTCTTAGTTGAGTTGACTGGGAAACTTCAGTTCTTTTCCTTAAATGTGACACGTGATCAAGAATTATGCGAGATTATATGATTTTGCCGTATTGTGTTTTTTTCAGTATGCCAAGCGAACTTGGACCTCGGTTTCCTGATTGACAACTCCTATAATATTAGACGAACGGGACGAAGTACATTCAAATTCCTGATACGTTACATCACCAGGATTCTGTATTCTCTACGCATCTCCCGGCAAAACACTCGCGTAGGAATGTTAGCATATGCCTCAAGACCCAGGGTTTTGTTCAGGTTCAACCGGTTCTTTAAGGTTTCTAGAATACTGTCGGTGCTACGAAGAATCCGACTCCGAAGAGGATCTCTGAGGATCGGGCGGGCACTGTACTCTGCTCGTAGGTACCTTTTTAGACGGAAGCGCCAGTGTGGACGCAAGCGCGTTCTCGTGGTGTTTGCAAGTGCGCGTTCAAGAGATCGGGTGCAGAGAGCCGCACGTTCTTTGAGGAGATACCGAGTTGAAATATTCGTCGTTGGTATCGGCACACAAGTTAAGAAGACGGAATTAATCAAAATTGCTTCCGACGGAAGGCACGTGTTTACAGCATCCCTCAGGACATTGCCCGCCGTGTTAAATACCATAAGAATGAAAGCATGTTCAGGTATGTTTTAATTCTTTGTATAGTGTTGCATTTTAGTTGAGTACGGTTTTTGGTGACAAATAATTTGCTCTTTAAGAATTACTTGTCAGCTTTGGGACAAAACCTTTAGTTGTACTTTGGCATAACAAACTGGTCTTGTTTTTACGATTGCGGCTTTTGTAGTAAGTAGGTAGTAAACACTCCGACGATATAGTGACCTTCAATTTTGGTCGGCATATTTCCCAACAGATACCGCCGCAAATCACCATAGGGCTTTCCGTCACCATTTTCAACCATTTCACAAGTGATTTCTCCATAAAATCCGAGCGTAACATCGTTTTGTTTGATATAACAACCAACTGGTTAGTTAGCAGGTTTCAAAATCTCAATCAGTACGCCGTTTACAGCGCTAATCATTAAAATATAGTTTAAACAAAGGTACCCGTAATCACATGCACTCCTGGCTTGCGTATTTTCCACTTCTCCTCTGTTTTCCGTTTCTTACAGTTACTGGATCAGCTGCTGCAAGAGCTATATTCCCTCTCAGCGGTTTAACACGAGGACGAGACATCAGCATCAACCGCAATGCTGCTGCCAGACTTGTAAATGTCAAGCCAGCTCCAGGTCCTGATGGTCTTCCTCTTGGCTCTTTTCATCTGCAGGGCATAGCAAACAGCTACATTTACTTCCCAAACACAGGTTGCCTCGATACCAAAAATTCTCTTACCATAGTTTTATGGGTTTATCCGGAAGGAAGAGGACCTATATTTCATTACTTTCCCAAGGGCTGGGGAGTGCATTTGTGGTTGAAGAACACGCGCACACTTCTAGTAAAGTTCGTGCCCAGGTCTTTGCAAACCATCAGTGTTGTCACCAGCCGAAAAATCAGACCAAGAGCTTGGAACTACATAGCTGCGACTTATGACCACGTCACAGGCTTGGCCACGTTGTGGAATGACGCTATACCTATTTCCCAAAGAAATATTGGAAAAATACAGTTAGCCACAAATTATCCGGCAATATCAGGGAAGAAACTAAGGGATAGAAGGATATTCCGCGGTCGGATAGCGTGCCTGCAGATCTACGATCGAGCGCTAAATGGAAGGCAACTCAGATCCATCAAAAAGAAATGTTTTAGAGGTTTGTGGAGGTTATTGCAGTTGTTTGTTACTGTTATAAAGATTATCTTAAGCTTGACGATTTGTCAACACTAAGGCAACCACGAAAACATCGCACTCAATAATCTTTATCGGTGGAAAGAACTTCAAATGTACGAAACGTTGTTAGTATAACTTGCTCGCATTTCTTAAAAAAAATAATTATTTCCTCTGTTGATTATTTTAAGCGAAACATCAAGAAGGTAGAAAATATATCGGATTCCCACACTGTAAAGCAGTTGTAATTAGTTTTTGTTTTTAACGTGAGCTTAACTGATGATTTTCCCTGTATAAATGACGATTTACATACCTACATACATACAATTAATTTCTATTTGGAGGTAGCACGTACGTAGTGATTCTTCGTGTACCAGTCCTGGTCGAATTGGAATTTGGAAATGTTGGTTTTTGAGAAGAGGGGGAAAACCGGAGTACATGGAGAAAAACCTCTCGGTACAAAGGAGAGAACCAACAACAAACTCAACCTACGTACGGCTCAATCTCGTACTCGTACCCAGAGTCTTCTAGCTTTTTGGTCAGCGGGCAGCGCCAGCGAGGACTTCGCACAATAAGAATGATCATGAATAAGTTTTTCCGTGTTAACCTGTAAAAATTAACATTGTTCTTTTCGTTTCCTTTTTTCAGCGCGACCGACGCCTACTCGTCCACCGCCAGGTCAGATTCTCCTTTTACACTTATTTTATTTTTTTTAAGAGTAGTTGTCTCCAGTTTTGGTTTTACGTTTAGAATTTGAATTTCTTTTCCGCAATCGAGGGTCGACTTTCCAAACATAATTAAATTTGTAGCATAAATAGCCCGATTTTCTCACTGCTTGTGGAATTCTTCCACCCAACGGGATTTAACATTTCCATTGTCCTCTTTCCTCTTACCAGTTCTTCCGCTTGTGGTAGCCATTTATCCGCTGGACAAAATAAATGGCGGACGCGACGTCAGTAGTCGTAAGTGCCCAACTGGACGAAGAGTCGGTGTAAAATTTGGTCCAGGCCCAGACGGCAGAAAAGATGGCGCTACTCAGTTCTTTGGCAATTCTAAGAGCTACATAGAAATCCCAAATAACGGAAAACTAGACACTGTAGCCTCAATTTCCATTCTCACATGGGTGTATCACGAGGGTATCAAAGGTCCTATCGTTAACTACAGACCTGGCCCGGGCTGGGGAGTGCATGTGTGGATGATAGGACCACGTACACTATTTGCCAGGTTCGTCCGCAGGGACGGTGTATTCACTAAGGCTGTATTCATTACGAGCAGGAAGATACGCTACAGAGCTTGGAACTACATCGGTGCGACTTACGACTACAAGACTGGCGTGGCCAAACTTTGGGTGAACTCTAGGCTACTGGTAGCACAGAGTGTTGGCCGCTTCAGATTGGCTACAAATTATCCAATCAGAATTGGAGCCCGTCGTGGCGATAAGCGGTACTTCAAAGGAAAGATCTTTTGTGTGCAGATTTATAGCCGTGCCCTGAACCGGAAACAGATCTTAGCGGCTAGTTCAACCTGCTTCAAACGTCGTAAGTTATTTAAATTTGTGTTCAGGATAGACCTGTAGTAGAATGGACCGAATGAAATAAAAAGCAGCACAAAAATATAAAGCAGGTGCTATTGACACTTTATGATGTATAATTTTGCTTCTTGTTCTCATCAGTCTCTCGAAAAGTCGCGAAAAGTTTGAGGTACATTTTTTCTACACATTTTTTGAAGAAAGTAAAGTTAAGTGAAAATTTCTCACCTAAGCAATATGGCGCCAACGAGTGATATTTCTGTTCATCAATGTAACTGTTGTAATAAAATCCGTTCTGAGGTTAAACCATCATCCTGCTTATGAAGATAAACTTTTTCCAGAGTTCTATCCCCGGTAACATTTGTAGGCTGAAAAAAAACGTTTTTAACCTGGGAACAGATTTTATCCACAACACAGCTTTCCGATCGTAATTCTATCTATACCTGCCCAATTTGTAAATTGATAGTTACTCAGCTTAATATTTAAGATGCCTTCTTTGCAGTGTCTCCAGTCACCAAACCAAGAACAACACCGACCACACGTCGTCCCACCAGACCTCGGAAAGGTGAGATATAAATCATGAAACCCAGTAATTCATGCAATAGTTATTTACAAGGTTCGCACGCACCTTGTCCTTGAAAGTCCTTGAAAATTGCAGTCGGTGCTGGAAAGTCCTTGAAGTTCAACGCTAACTTTAAAGTTTAACTACAGCTCCAAAGAAAAAGGAGCAAACACAGAAAGGCCTCGGGTTAAAATTTACTCATGTTGTGGAAGAACTAAAAAATATGTAGACTCAAGGCTCGTTTCTTGCACTGAATGGAGTCCTTGAAAAATTATAAATGTGTCCTTGAAAGTTAATTTAATTTGTTTGTGTTGGAAAGCAGTTGAGGTAAGGGAAGTGTTGAGTTTTCAAAAGGGCTTGGTTATGCCCCGGCCTACTTTTGTCAAAACTAAGAACTAATTAACGGAAAATCGAGGTGACGGTAGTGAATATGGACCGAACCTTTCCATTCGCTAGTGAGTACACATCTTGCGAACTGATTGCCCATTTAACACTTCTATTTAGATTTAAATATAAAAAACATCGACCTTCTTATTTCATAAATGATTTTGTTTGCAGGACCGCTTAGAGCCTCTGCATTTTATCCTCTAACTTCTAAAACAAGGGGCCGAGATATGAGCATGTTCGGAAACCCTCCAGGAAAACTTGGCTACGTTCGGTCAGCACCTGGTCCTGACAAGTTACCTGGTGGCTCGTACCAGTTCTATGGACGCTCAGACAGCTTCATTGAGTTTCCAAACCGTGGAGAACTTGATACAAGAACATCGATCACAATTATTGCTTGGATCTATCATGAAGGACGCGCGGGACCTATCTTCAATTACATGCCGAACGGCTGGGGCGTTCATCTTTGGATGGTGACTCCAAACACGTTGTTCGCGCGCTTCACACGCCGTCAAGGGAGAACCTTCACGGCGCCGCTTTCTAGTCGTAGGATAACACCGCGCAAGTGGCAGTACGTCGCTGCCACATATGATTACTTAACGGGTTATGCCAAATTGTACCTTGACAGTAGAGTAATAGCGCAAAAGAAGCTTGGAAGGATACGGCTTGCGACAAACTATCCCGTGAGGATGGGGGTCAGGAAAGGAGATCGGCGGTACTTTCGGGGGCGAATTTCTTGCGTAATGGTGTTTGACGTGGCGTTGAATCCTAATCAGATTGCACGCAGAAAGAAGAGATGCTTTAGACGTAAGTTTGCTGTCGATACGTTTATCGGTAACACCACTTTATTCGTTTCGATGGAAAATCTTTTGTTTGAAATATTCGGCTAAAGGACCCGAAAGATTACCTCTAAAGGCATTCAAAGATACAGATATTTGCCTGTCTGTGTCTTCTCTGGGGTCCTTTTTTCTCACTTTTTACTGCTGGCTTTGCTTTTTTGTAGCTGTTTATGTGTTACCCACTTCATTACTTTGTCAGCCTTTAGCAGCACTCACCTTGTTTATACGTGTCAAAAACCTAAAAAATAGTACTCTTCTTTTTCTACGTTTTAATTTTATATTTCTCTTTGAGTTATCCTCAAGAATCCTGTGCTTCGGGTTAACATGTTTAAGTAAACCAAGATTAAAGAAAATTTGCCAATCGAAGACTGAAAGATTTCATTTTACAAACGATTCAAGTAAACTTAATCTTGGTCTTTTGCTTTGTATAAAACGTGTACTTGACCCAGAAAAGTTGGCAGCTTAAATGGAGTAAACAATTTTAAACCATGCTTAACTTGATACCAGATTCTAACCTTGTTTAAGCTTTGGGTGCTTCTGGACTGAAGCTCTTGGTTCTTGACTTGCATCCTTTTAACGCCACTGTACCGTATTTATCCTAGGTGGACCACCCGGACCAAGCGGAAAAGGTTAGACCATTTTATGTTTAACAAGTTTGCAGTGGTTGAGCCACCATTTAATATCGTGAAGAACTAATGTATATGATTTAATATTTAATGTTATTAACAAGACCCCCATAGTGGGGGTTCATTGGGCTGCCGACTGCGTTTTTTAAGCTGGGGCTGTATAGTAAATTTAACAACAGGCAAGTTAGCCTCTTGAAGAAAGAGGCGATTGGCATTATTTTTAACAGGGACATTTCCACAATGCACACCCTTCCCTTATCCCTCAGCCCCCAAATATATAGCATCACAGTATAACGTAACGTATTTGATCTAATCGGAAATTCCAAAAATTATTGTGTCGTTCTATGCTTATAAAACGTGACGGGGTCAACTTCTGATGTGTTAAATACTGTTATATAACAGTAATTTTCTGTTTATTAAAACTCGCAAAGGAAATTAAGTTTCAGCTTTATTTCTGTTGGATATTGCATTTACATGTAAAGCCCTTCTGATGATCCAAGTAAATATGTCTCTATTTGATGGGGCGATCTACAAATAGCGTATTCCTTTCTTGTGAGGAACGAGCTTTCACACGCAGGGAGAGAATTCTAACAAGTTGAAGCTTTTCCCGTGGGGACCGTGGGAGGGAATTATTTCTGCAGCTCCCGCGCAGGCTAACCACATCATCGAATACTATATTTAGATCATCATTCGGCGAAGATATAGGGCCAATAACTCCACGCACTAATTCCGTGTTCGTTCCAATCGACTTCCAAATCTGTTCGCCAGACGACTTGAAATGACCTGTCCCCTCCCCGGAAAAATCGGCGCTATTTATGGGGAAGTGGACACCCAAAGCCTTCTGGGATATCCCTCCGACATTTTGTCTTTTATCACCATAGAAAGAATGTTGCTTCTAGTTTCTTGATTGGGCATTACCCTCACGGGTAGCGCAAAAATGATAAATGCAAGACTGACAAATCGGTTCTTTTTTGTTTTGTCTTGTTTTGTTTTTTTCCTTTTTTTGTTTTGCTTTGTTTTGTTGTTTTTTTCCTTTTTTTCAGGTGAAGTCGATACATTTTTGTTCGCGCGGACTGTAAAAAAATAAATAATGCCTCACTTTACAGTTGCCTGCTGCAGGAATATCCAGGCCTTGTTGGGAGCAAGGCTGTTTTGATAAAAATTTCACCTCATCTTTAAATGTAAATTATGCTCTTGTGACAAAAAATGACGCTGAGGTTTATTTTATGACAACAAAATCAGTGCCAGCCTCACTTCACCCAAATGCTAGGTTCCTTAGCACCATACAACTGAAAATTATTCTGTGGAGATGAAAAAATTGGATGGCGCATAAATAGCCACCAATGCAGAAGATAAATGTTACAGTAATGAAAATCATGGCAGTTGAAATGACAACTTATGCAATTTCGAAAATAAAGCCTCAACTGCATAAGTTACGTTTTCAACTGCGACGATCTTCTTTACATATTTCTTCATCCTGCAGTTCAAATATATGAAATTCATAAAATTAATTATTTCAATACAGAAATGGTTTATATAAAATGCCTCAATGTTTTATTTGTTAAGCATTACGTTTTGTTTTTACAGTTTGCAAACCCAAGATCGACCTGACTTTTGTAGTGGACGCCTGCAGCGAAAACGTGCGTTTCACAAAAGCAAACTTCCTTCGAGTTAAGAACTTCCTAGTGCGTTTAGTTGGCGAGTTCCGCCTATCGATCAGAAGCGTTCGAATAAGCCTAGTACTTTACGCACAGGCTCCCAAACTTGTCATCAGGTTCAGCTTGAAAAAGTCCTATGTCATCAGGCTGATAAGGGCCATGAAGCTTGTGTGTGGTGCGCGATATACCGGAGCTGCCCTACAGTACTCTTACACGAACATCATACGGCGGACCTCCAGAAAAAGGGTCCTTGTTTTGTTAACAACGGGGGGCTCTAAAGACGACGTTCGTAGAGCAGCTGCTCTGCTACAACGCTCACGAACAGAGACATTTTGTGTGGGAATAGGAAGACGTTACAGCCTGAGCGAGTTGCAATATATCGCCTCCGACAGAAGACATGTTTATACAGCGGCCTTCAGAAATTTAGGTTCTCTTGTCAACCTAATCAAAAGGAAGATCTGCAAATCAGGTTTGCCAGAGCTTTTCCATTATCCGGTCAGTGATAAGCCCTTTTTAACTTGTTGTAGAGGGTTTATTAATTTTTAAAGAAGTCTAGTTGTACCAAAAGTACCTCAGTCATCCCGTGTTACTAGAAACACATTTATTAGTATCTTTGCACAATGCTCAAGGAGAGATTACAAGAAAGCAAAGCAAGGAACGTTAAAGTAGAGAATTGTTTTAAAATGACGAAGTTGGTGAAGCAAAGAGTAAAAACTCGCTAGTGTTGCTGGTTTCATTTTTCATCATGATCGCTTCTGCTGTTTCGGCTAGAGTACGCTTTTTCTGAAGCGCATCAATTCTAAGGCCTTTGTCACATCAAGCCGGCTTCGCAGTATCGCTTCATGAACAGTCAACTAATTATTTTCAAAGACATGTCTCGTCTCGTCCCCCACTCTGCGATTGCCGACACAAACTCGCATTCTCGAGCATGCCCTCGATAACGGGAGTTAATTTTGTTCATTATTTTCCTTTATCGTCTTAAATATGTTGTTTAATTATTTTATTTTATAGATACGTTCATACCGCCGACTAAACCAACTCAACGACCTATGCGACCAATTCCTCCCCGACCACCCAGGCCTACTGTACGACCTACTAATCGTAAGTAATAATGTTAGTTTACTGAATTTTTCCTTTCTGGCGTGCATTACCGCGAACATTGCGAATAAAATTGCTTTTTTTGAAGGTTTGTTGATCTTCAGTTTTCTTGAGCCTGTGACTTGAGCGCATTTTTATTTTCGTTACTAAAACCATCCGAGGAAACGTACGTTACTCCATTGCTGTTGTGTGATAGTTCTTGGAAACTCCTTTTTTCCATCGATTCTCATTAAAACACCCACATGATAAGAAAATAATTCTGAGCATTTTGAGAGGAGTCCCCCCGCACATTGTTTTATTTTTAAATTACAACTTCTCTCTCTTTTTTGGAAATATTGTAGCACCTGTGCGGGCTCTGGCTATTTATCCTTTAACGAGAGTAACCAGGGCAAAAGACATCAGTCTTAACAGCAACCCCGCAGGAATTATGGGAAAAGTGGGAACTAACACCGGACCCGATGGTCGACCGGACACCTCCCACGAGTTTTTTGGTCGCAAGAACAGCTACATCATATTCCCTAATAAAGGGCGTTTGGATGCAATGAGAGCAATTACGTTACTCGCATGGGTGTTTACAAAGGGAGAAGGACCCATCTTTAGTTACGGAGTTGACTTCTCAGTTTGTCGTCAAAGCAGTATATGTATGGAGATTTTTCAACGTGGCTCACAAAGCGGTGCAGTTGATCGACTGCGAGCACCAAGGGTAATCAATTATCGAAGTTGGCAGTTTGTTGGCGTCACATATGAGCAGCGAACGGGTGAAGCGAAAATCTTTGTTGACAGAAAGTTTGTTGCTCGTAAACAGCTGAAAAAAGTTCTCCTTCGTACCAATGCACGTCAGGCGTCTATGGGAGCTGTTGGTCAGCGGTATTTCCGAGGCAGAATCTCTTGTATGCAAGTGTATGGACATGCTCTAACATCGTTACAGATTATTAGGCGAAAATCAAGGTGCTTTAAAGGTAAACAATGACTGATTTGTTAGTCCCCTTAGGATCAATTTTCTGGCCAGTTCGATAACCAACAACTGGTAGCCAGTGTTCAGTATAGTCTATTCGTTCTGAACCTTTTGACATATTATAATACTTTACTGAAATTGGGAATCCAACTGGAAGGAAACAAATGCGAAGGGTACCATCTGCTGTTTCGCGAGGTTTGGGAGTGTTGTTTTTTTTCGCCACAAACGTCATCCTTGCAACTGAATCTTTATACGGTGATAAACAGACTTCATCAAATGAGTTAATGAAACTTGAATTTTGTATTTTACTCCTCACCGACATCAACACCAGATTTTTGTTTGTTTGTTTTCGTAATTAACCCCACCCTCATTCCTTTCATAACACCAACCGCTACTTTTTACTTTCTTACTTACGCTGTCTCACAGCTTCCTAGCAAACAAACCTGTTTATACTACATATTCAAGTCAGTGGTGTGACTTTGTCTTTACATTGTAATAATAATAATTAATAATTTACATTTATATAGCGCAAACCTCTATATGAATATATTCGGTTGCGCTTTACAATATTGTTATATTAAATTTATGTTAAAGGTGACTAAAGCATGAGCAACTATTAAAAACTACAATAAAAAGTATTAAAAACTATAAATAAAAATAAATAAATAAATAATGATAATAATTAAAAAAAAAAAAAAAAAAAAAAAAAAAAAAAAAAAAGCTATTATAAAAGCCAACAATTAAATCTATTTAAAAGCTAAATTGAAAAAATGAGTTTTAACAGCAGTCTTAAAAGTGTCCAATGTCTTCATGTTGCGAATTTCCGAAGGTAATGCATTCCAGAGATAAGGTGCAGCTGACTGGAATGCACGATCGCCAAGAGTTGGATGGGTCTTAATGCATGGTAACTCGAGGAATATAGACTCATTTGACCTTAGAGAGTACTTGGATTGCTTTTTGGTAGTAATGAAATCAATTAGATAATTAGGAGCTTGACCATATAAGCACTTAAATGTCAAAAGTAGAATCTTAAACTTTATACGGTAACTTATTGGAAGCCAATGAAGGTGGAAAAGCAATGGTGTAACATGGCAGAATCTAGGTGTTCCGGTGACCAACCGAGCCGCGGCATTCTGTATCCGTTGGAGTTTCATGATATGTGAATTCGGGAGGCCATATAGTAGACTGTTACAATAATCTATTCTACTGGTGATAAAAGCATGAACTAATGATTCGGTGACTGAACGACTTAAATATTTCCTAATTCTACGCATGTTATAAAGATAATTGAAAGCGGATGAGCAAGTTTTGTTGATATGACTTAGCATACTCATTTTAGAATCAAACCAAGCTCCTAGGTTTCGAACTTCAGAAGATGGAGCAATTTGGGAGTCCCCAACCGATAAGGTACTAATATTACTGACTTTCTGAAGTTGTTGTCGTGTTCCAATCAGAAGACATTCTGTCTTATCGGAATTCAGTTTTAACTTATCCGAATGCATCCATCTACTGATATCAGCAATACATGATTCCATGGCAGTTATAGCAGCGGTCTCCTCCAAATCATTTCCTGATCTAAACGCGATGTACAGTTGCGTGTCATCTGCATAACAATGGGAATTAGGAAGATGTGATTCGACGATCTTAAAAAGTTTACTAGCATAGAGGGAAAACAATAATGGCCCGAGACAGCTGCCTTGTGGAACTCCAAATTTAAGATTAAAATTACTCGATAGAACTCCGTCTATATAGATGCGCTGGGTTCTGTTAGAAAGGTACGATTCAATCCAATTAAGTACAGAGCCTGAAATTCCAAAATCAAACTGAAGGCGATCTAAGAGAATCCTATGGTCCACGGTATCAAACGCGGCGCTTAAATCAAGAAGCACTAACAACGTGACCTTCTGATTTTCCATGTTCATCAGAATGTCATTCTTGACTTTAAGCAGGGCAGTTTCTGTGCTATGGTGCCGTCGATAGGCTGATTGCAATGAAGGAAAAAGATCATGCTCATTTAAGTAGGACTGAATCTGATCAGCTGCCACTCTTTCAGCCAATTTTGAAACAAAGGAAAGATTGCTGATCGGTCGAAAGTTTTTAAAAACCAAGTCAAGACCTTGTTTTTTTAGCAGTGGTGTAACAATCGACTCTTTCCAAATGTCAGGGAAAAATCCTGATTCAAGCGACAAGTTTATCGTAGTAGATAATATCGGAAGTAACTCATCAAGGCAATCTTTCAAGATATTAGTGGGAACAGGATCAAGTACATTGTAGGGGTATATCCACTTCCTGCTCCTGTTCAACCCACGCGTCCAATGCGTCCCCGTCCAACTTCTACCTCAAAACCTGGTACGTACTTGATAATTATTCGCCGTCGTAATAATCTTATGCAGTGCTAGTTTGTAGTCTCCGGGGTTTTGTCTTCAACGCGAGACCAAGTTTGCTGTCCTCATTTTCCTTAGCTATTGGACCAGTGCAGACACATACTTTCCTTTTCACATCTGTAGAAATGAAAAATTTCGTAGCGGGTACAATGCCACTTTCGCTTTGAAGTTTTGTGAGACTTAAAGGCCACTTCACGTCACTTCTCAAAACTTTGAGATGAAACCACTTGATTATTGAACATTTTAACGTCATTTCTACGGTCTATTAGAGAATAGATCATGGAAAATTGTTGTCTATTTGTTAAAAAGACCATAAATATGATCTAAAAGCAAGTGTTTATCTGGATTTTTTCAAGGGAAATTGTCTTAGGAGTTTGTAATTCTGTATTATTTTAGACATACAAATATCAATTGTGGAATGAAATGAGCTCTTTTTCGCTTGATAGCATTCTTGTGAAATAGCTCACCACCAACAGATGGTTCTTCATTATTTTTTGTTTAGTTCATCCCCGAGCACAAGCTATTTATCCTCTCTCTCAGCGGACTCGTACCCGTGACGTAGGCTTGTATAGTAATCCTCCGGGAACTGCTCGCAACATCCGATACGCGCCGGGTCCTGACAGGAGGCAAAACACTGCAACACAATTCCTTGGAAGATCAAGCAGCTACATTGAGTTTCCCAATAAGGGAAGACTGGATACTAAACGTTCCATTTCCCTCTTGGCATGGATATATCATGAGGGACGCGCGGGTCCCATCTTCAATTATATGCCCAATGGCTGGGGCGTTCACTTCTGGATGACGTCTCCTAGAACGCTGTTTGTTCGTTTCACGCGCCGACGCAGACGGCGTTTCACTGCAGCAGTGTTCAACAGGAGAATTCTGCGTCGCCAATGGCAGTACGTGGGAGCAACCTATGACTTTAGGAAGAAAACTGCTAAGCTCTTTATAAGCAGGCGGTTTGTCGCACGTAAACGTATCGGGCGTATACGATTGGCAACAAATTATCCTGTTAGGATGGGAGCCCGGATAGGTGATAGACGTTACTTCAGGGGACGTATCTCTTGTATGCAAGTTTACGATCAGGCGCTGACGACATCGCAGATTTTGCGGCGAAAGAAGAGGTGCTTTACTCGAGGTAACGGTTTGATGCAGATGACCTTTTTAAGCCTTATTTGCACTTGATGCTTCATTAGGATATCCACCTCATTCTGTGGTGGAACCATAAAAATATGAACTCCAGACTTTGCCATAGTATAGCACAGCACCTGTTCCCAGTTTTTCTTTGGTCACTTCAATTTGACGAAAACGCATCGCATCAAGAGAAGGTCTGGGACGAAAATCGCGAAGTGTATCATGAACTGCTGCTTTGTCCTTCCCGACACTTCCCGGACAAGCCTAGTAACTTCCTTGGACTTTATCTTTATGGGAAAAAAAAGTAGGAACTAATAACGCGTTTCACATGGTACACTTAGCTATTAGAACGTAGCGCGAGTACTTGCCCTATATAAGTGCTATTGGGTAGCTATGAAAAAATCTGTATTTACGCACGCACTTGCGTAAATAAGATGACGTGTTCAGTTTTGTCTATGAAACTCGCATTTTCGTCTCTTTTTCTCAACTAAGTTTCCAATAATCGAAGACAATGATGAAGGGTTTTCTAAAAGAAAAGAAGGTATGGTAAATTTGCGCATTTGCCTTGCAACAATTCTGCAGTTAATATTATTATTTTAATTGTTGTCTTGTAAAACTGTTTTGCCAGGTCCTGTTGTTGTGCCACCAGTTATCCGCCCAGCTGGGCCAGGTAAATATCAAATTATTCTTCTCGTTTATTTTCTTCTCCGTGGCAATAGAAACCTCTATAGTATAGTTTGGAGGTAAATATTGGGGCTTCAATCAATTTAACCGTTGAATAATTTGTCCTTTCCTTTACATGTAACGTCTATCCTTCTAGCCATTAAGATACATCATTTTTCATGTCTGAAAGGAGGGAGGTTGTAAATTTTAGGCGAGCTATCTACCCCAGTTAGTTGCTGGCTGAAACCGAGGGACTGGGGAGACGCGAGAAAAGACGTTATCCTTCGTAAATCACTGCTCCTTAGCCTCGTCCTAATTCTTCTCGTCCCCATGTGTTCCCACGAGTATGGAGTGATAGGGAGTACTTCAGGAGGGAAATTCCAGAAAGAAACTGACTGCAAGCACTCGCTTGCATGCATACCTAATATAGAGGATCAAATCACCTGTGAGATCACGTCATCTACATATGCAATAAGCTATCAGTAAAAGCTAATAGGACCTATTACTTTTGCGTAGGCACAAAGTAAAAAAGAGCGTAACAACATGTTTTTGTTCTCTTACCCAGTTTGCCAAGCATGTATTGATCTTGCGTTTGTAATTGACGCATCTGGCAGTATCGAAGCCTCAGGGCGTGGAAACTTCAAACGTTGTCTCAACTTCGTAAAAAGATTGGTTGCTTCCTTTAAAATTTCACCCCGGTACGCGCGCGTCGGGGCGGTCGTGTATTCCTCAAAAGCGAGAAGGATGTTTGGTTTCAAAAGATATTTCAAGAAGAGGGAACTGATGAAAGCTATTGACCGAATTCCCTATCTTCGGCGTGGCACGAGAACAGGCTACGCCTTGTGGTATGCACAGCGGTATCTTTTCAGAGGTCAGCGAAGGCGTTGTAAGCGTGTATTGATTGTGATGACTGACGGAAGATCCAGTGACCGAGTGCGTAGCAGAGCAAAAGCACTACATCGCTCAGGCATCAACACGTTTGCCATTGGTATTGGCAAAAACTACAATATGAGACAATTGATACAGATTGCGTCTTCCAAGAGAAATGTTTATGTGGCCAGATTCAGAAACCTTCCAAATATTGTACGAGTCATAAAGTCAAAAGCTTGCAAAGGTAAGGTATTAATATATTAATACACTCTAGCGTGTAGTAGTATAGTAGGCACCGATCAAGTCGCTTTGCGCAGGATTTTCCCTCCACCACCACCACCACCACATTTCTATTGTTTTTCCTCCACCACCTCTACCACCACATTTCTATTAGTTTCCCTTCACTAATACTACCACCACCGCATTTCTATCGTTTTCTTTCCTTTACCGCCACCACCTCTTTTCTATTGTTTGTCCTCTACTACCACCACCACTACCGAATTTCTATTGTTTTCCGTCCACCACCCCCACGACCACATTTCTATTGTTTGTCCTGCTCCACCACCACCACCACCACATTCGATTTGTTTTCCCTCCACCACCCCCACGACCACATTTCTATGTTTGGGAATATGTCAAGTAGAATAGTCGTTTGACCTTTTCAAAACAAAACCGCAAGCATGCTAAGAAATGTGGGTAAAGAGCAATAACGTAGTTAAAATACTCTTTTAACCTCTCTTTTTAAATGCCTTTATTAAACCTGATTTCAGCCGCCAGACCTACTCCTAGACCTACCTCCAGGCCTCCTGTTAGACCTCCGATCAGACCTCCTGTACGTCCTCCTGTTCGACCACCGGTCAGACCTAAGCCTCGACCTCGTAAGTGTGCTCTATATATTTAAGGTTACATTGCTTTTTTGCATATGGCTTAATATGTTTAACGGGTAATCATAATTTCTTGAGCTTTTATTAAAAGCTGACACCAGTTGCTCCATCAATAGTTGCAGACTGTCATCCGTTATGCATAGTTTCTTTTGATCATGACCGCCAACGGTAATGGTCGCTGGAAATCTACTGCTAATAGACCAGAGAATGACACGATTTGCTGACCTAAACTACGTTTACATTACACTGATAAATATTGCAAGTGCATAAATGTAGCCAGGGTGACTGTGTGGGCGAAAGTGTGTTTGTGGGGGCGAAAGAACCTTACCGGAATGATAGTTGGATTTGTCCATTTGTTTTTGTCTGTGGATCATATTTTGATGAAAAAGCAATTAAATATTTCGCAATGTTGTAAATTAATTTTTGCCTTGTTACATACGTTAATTAGTAACACTCTAAAATGCTCTTATTGAATATTTCAAAATGTTGTAAGTTAATTTTTCACTTGTTACATACGTTAGTAGCACTCTAAAATGCTATCTTTTTATGGCAGTTGAGTAAGTAATGCTCTGGCAGTTAAGAATTGTTATCCTCCCTGTTCAGGTCCAGTGCGTGCATCTGCAGTCTATCCTCTGACGTCAAAAACACGTGGTCGAGATGTCAGCCTGTTCGGTAACCCACCAGGAATCATCAGGGATGCTAGACTAGCCCCAGGTCCTGACGGAAAGCCTCTAGGCTCCTATCAATTCGTTGGTCGGTCAAGCAGCTACATCGAATTTCCCAATCGAGGGAAGATAGATACAAAGCGCTCCATCACTCTCTTGGCCTGGATTTACCATCAGGGACGTGCGGGGCCCATCTTCAATTACAAGCGAAATGGTTGGGGCGTGCACTTTTGGATGATCTCTCCCAGAACGCTGTTTGTGCGGTTCACGCGTCGTAGAAGACGCCGTTTCACTAAAGCAGTGTTAAGTAGAAAAGTGGTACCTCAGAGATGGCAGTTTGTCGGTGCGACGTATAACGGACGGACAGGACGAGCGAAATTGTTTGTCAATAAAAGATTTACAGCAAGTAAATATCTTGGGCGAATACGACTCGCCACTAACTACCCAGCAAGGATGGGAGCTCGTATTGGTGACCGGAGGTATTTCCGTGGTCGAATCAGCTGTATGCAGGTGTACGACAGGGCTCTCACTACAAGGCAAATACTGCGCAGAAAGAGGAGATGCTTCAGGAAAGGTATACGTTTCTTTATATTATAACCCATTTTAGGAATTTGAATTAGTTTTCTCTAGTGTTAAAAGCGAAAGCCAGGGATAGGAGATAAAATGTTATATTTTCTTATTTTCCAACTCTACACACATTTACACTCGAATGCATTTACTAAACATAACAAACAACGTCTGCTATCAGCGGGCTACTATTTCCTCATTTGTGTCTAAAATACTTTTTTAGATAGCTCTTTCGGACTGACTATCTTCCTTATCTACTCTTTTCCTTTTTTAGGGCCAGTTGTCGTTCCTGGAGTTCCCAGTTTACCAATTCGTCCGGCGGGAAAAGGTACTTAAATTTTTCACTTTTATTTCAATTGAAAGATGTTCCCCTTGTACTAGTGGGGAATGGCTGAAGGCCTTCTAAACGTAGGCAGGCATCAGGGTCCCATCTCTTTTTTAACTGTACCTTTTTACTATCAGAGACGATAATGGAGCCAAGCTCTAAATTGGGCCATTCCAATGAAACATTCGGCTGTGTGTGTGTTAGGATTTTCGCCCTTAAGAGCGAAAGGATGAACTTATTAATAGGCCATTTTCACTATGACGACATTTGACTGCAACTGCCAGAGTTCATCTCGTTTTTGCTTTCTCATTTAAATTTGTCAATCCCTCAACGGTTTAAAACATAACAGCCCTAATTTCTGCACTTAAGAAAATAACAGCAACTGAAGGATTCTGGTAGTCGTAGAGAAATGACATCATCGTGCAATTGTCCTATTCTAGGCAGTCTCCTTTGATGTCTCGCTTAGAGAGAGTTCAGTATACTGTTATATGCTCATTTTCCAGTTCTCTACATTAGCGTTGTATATGGCTAGTTTTAGTAGTTAAACAGAATAGTTTTCCTCACTGGTGGCCAGACTTGCCCAAGCTAGAATAATGTCATTACGCTGGGGTACAGTGCAGGGGTAGCACATATTATTTCAAAGTTCCTTTCATATTATCGCAATTTGCTACAAGTAAAAATCAATCAACCAAAACAGACGTTCAAAGCGTCAGGACTGTTGAGATATCTATGTCTTTTCAGTCATTATCATTGACGGAAGTAGTAGCCTGAGAAATTCGCGACACCACCACTGGTTTCTCCGCGAAGTGACATCTGAGTAAGCACTGCAGAAATTCCATACTGATGACGTGTGACAACCCAGATCTGTGTGGTGCTTCTGATTGGTTGAAGCAAATTTACCACGCGGAACGACCAATCAGAAGCACTACCCTGATCTGGATAGTGACACACCATCAATATGGAATTTCTGCAATCATTTCTCAGACGTCATTTCGCGATGAAACAAGTGATGGCGTCGCGAAATGTCGGCTGTTTTTTCATGCTACGGAAAAAGTCCTTTCTAAATTTATCAAAGATAAGGACTTGGGTTAAAAGCTGTTTACTGTAAGAAATGGCACACACAAAACTCTGATTTAAAATTTACTGATGTTAATTTACAGTTTGTAAAGCAAAGGTTGACCTGGCCTTTGTCATCGACGGTTCTGGGAGTATTGAATCCTATGGGAGAGGAAATTTCAAGCGCTGCCTTAACTTTGTGAAGCGAATGGTTGTGTCCTTCAAGATCTCCAAGGGACTCACGCGTATAGGGATTGTTCTATTCTCATTTCGCCCTCGCCTTATATTTAACTTCAATACGTATAGCAGAAAACGAGATATTCTTCGAGCCATTAACAACATCAAATATCCAAGCGGAGGCACTAGGACAGGATTAGCAATGTCTTATGCACAGCGGACTCTCTTTAAGAGCAGGAGCAGTAGTAGTAAGTGTGTAATGATCGTGATGACTGATGGCCGTTCCCAGGACCGGGTGGGCAGACCCGCATGGGCGCTGAAAAGGCGTGGTATCAAGATATTTGCTATAGGTATCGGAAAGCATTACAACTTGCCGCAGCTCCTCAAGATTGCTTCATCCAAAAGACATGTTTATACGGCAGGATTTAGAAATTTGGCCTCAATTGTAAGAGTTATCAAGAAAAAGGCTTGCTCAGGTAAAATGTGCTTTGTCAGTTAAAAATCATTCATTAGACTTTTCTATTCCGCTTGTCGTGAAAAAGGGATCATAATGGTTAATCTACTAGTCTGACAAAATATCTGTTATTGCTGCTACTGTTGAAATTATTTTGTTGGAGAAAAATTGACTGACCGAGATTTGATCAACCTGACGTCATGTGATTATCATGCCAAGTATAAGACAAGATATCTCTTGTATCTCCAGGTGCGGGGAAGCCAAGCAAACCAGCAAAGCCCAACCGTCCATCACGTAAGTACCATCAAATTTGTCTTGCGTCTTTGCTATCCCGCAACGTGACCGCATGTGGAGCCTGGGTTTGCGCGCCAGATAAACTCTCTTTGTTTCACTCAGTGGCGCTAAAATGAAAATCCAGCAAATCGTACAATCAAAGATCTCTTTAATTTATGATTCAAGTTAACTACAAGTTCTGCATCACATTTAATGATCATTGAACGATAGCTCATAACCTGTTGAAATAGCCTTTATGCATGATCAGGAGTAAAACTTCGAAACTTTACCAATTTCAAAACGGACGCGAATTAGGGCTATAAGAGATGAATTATTGGTTTAGTTCCTAGAGGCTGTGGTGTTGCATCGGTTGGGATAAAATACGATGAATTGGTTTTATCAGTTAAATTGATGCAGTAGATTGTGGGCCACCGTAGGAGGGTTGTGAAGCAGACGTTTGGAGCCCTCGAATCGTCAGCCATTAGTCAGTTATTGAGACAACCTCCCTTCGGTGGCGAACCTACCTAGTGAACTCAGTTGATAAAAGCAATTCTTTGCTAAAAGTACAAGCTGTTTATTTCAAAAATGAGAGTAACGATAATAATTTATGTTGTTGTGGGTTCGATTCTCGTCGAACTTGAGCTTCTTTGTCCCACTATTATTCGTGATGGTGTTCATAACGAATATTACGTATTTCTCTAAAGTGAAGTATGGTGTAAACTATGTTTTCCTTTGCTTCCTCTATCTTTTATATGTACTAAGTAGTTAAAGACGAGCCACTAATGAATGATACTAATTTTTCAAAGGTAACGTTCGTGCCATAGCCATTTACCCGCTTTCATACCAAACCAAGGGAAAAGATATCAGCGTTTTCTCAAACCCATCCGGGAAACTAGGGTATGTCAGATTTACCCCAGGCCCTGATGGACGACCGAACACTGCGACCCAGTTCTATGGTAAACCGAACAGCTACATTCAGTTCCCTAACAATGGGAAGCTCGACACTAGGCGATCCATCACTCTGCTGGCATGGATATACCACCAGGGAAGCGCTGGTCCAATCTTCAACTACATGCCAAACGGATGGGGCGTACACTTTTGGATGGTGTCTCCAACAACGCTGTTTGTGCGATTCACCCGTCGGCAAAGGCGTCTGTTCACGCGGCATCTTCAGTACCGAGGTGTTAGGCATCGAAAATGGCAGTACGTTGGAGCAACATATAGCAGTCGATCTGGTGTCGCTAAATTGTATGTAAACAATAGATTGGTGGCAAGAAAGCGCATTGGAAGGTTTAGATTGGCAACAAATTACCCTGTCAGAATGGGGGCAAGGATTGGTGACAGCCGCTTCTTCAGAGGAAAGATCTCTTGTATGCAGGTTTACAGCGTGGCCTTGAATTCGAGACAAATTGCTGCTCGCATGAAGAGGTGTTTCTTAAAAGGTAAGTTTTTTGCTGATTCATGCTTAATATTCCATCGAGTGTCAAATAGAATTTTAGGGGACACTAGTACTTGAGGTTAACGAATGATTGAGGTAGTAATTTATTGTACCATTGTTATACAAGGCATACTTTGGGGGGCTCAGGTAAGGTAAGATCTAGAGTTGACAGTTTGATGACGTACTCAAAATGACACTTCAGCTGAACTTACGAAAGACCAAAGTGCAATTAACTAACATTTTGCAACCTTTTTTCATTTTCTAGGTCCAAGGCCTGGACGCCCTGTTGTTCCAGGTGGAGTGCCTCTTCGCCCAGGAAAACCGAGTACGTATCAGGCGGTTTGTTTCCAGAATGCGTTCCCGGAAACTTTGGCCAGGTTTTAAAAGTATTCATCCCCAGTAAAATAAAAAAGCAAACTAGAATATACCTTAGCTTGAAGGCCATTTTTTATCGTTGCATTACTTACAAAGCAATTTTCGTTTTCGGCAAATTCTGTTGCACACTTTAGCGAATCAATGTTTATGATATTCATCATTACTTACATTAACACTGTTATTAATATATTTTTCTTTTTTAATTCTATCCGGTTTCCTAATGAAATGTTTTGGACCCTGCAGTATTTCAGTGCAAAGAATACCTTGTCGTAGACGAGCGAGATTAGTTCGCATCCAGAGTAACACTTGCGTAAAACCACATCTTCGTACTTCCGTATATTTTTCATAAACTATATTTTACTTCATTGTTTTTCTGTTTATTATCATTATTATTATGGTTATTGTTATCATTATTATTATTATTATTATTATTATTATTATTATTACTATTATTTTTATTATTATTATTATTTTTGATCATCACTTCCGTTTATTTTTCAACAGCATTCCAGTTTATTTATTTTCCATCATTAATTTCAGTGTGCAAAGCAAAGGTCGATCTTGGTTTCCTTGTCGATGCATCTGGAAGCATCGAAATGTACGGTAAAGGAAACTACCAACGCGTCAAAGACTTTGTGAAGGAGGTAGCTGGGAGCTTCATTATTTCCAGACGCGGGACGCACGTTGGTGTGGTCGTGTTTGCAAGCAGACCGGAACCAGTCTTCCAGTTTAATACGTACTACTCACGTCGTGGCGTCATGAACGCTATTCAAAAGATGCCTTATATCAATGGAGGAACTCGAATAGGATTAGCTATCCGAAGAGCAACCAGGTACCTGTTCAGGCCCCAACCCTATCCTGGGCGAAAAAAGGTCTTGGTGGTTTTGACGGATGGTATTTCCTATGATGATGTCATCGTCCCTGCTAGGAGGTTGCGTCGTACTGGCGTCTCCATCTACGCACTTGGCGTCGGTCTCAAGTACAGCCGGCGGCAGTTGAAGAAGATAGCTGGTACTCCAAGGCATGTGTTCACGTCCAAATTTGCCACCTTAAGATCCGCTGCACGTAAAATCGTCAGTCGCATATGCTCAGGTTGGAACCCCATTTTTATATGAAGTATTAATTATGTACGTATAATATCAAAATAATAGCATTCATTGATATTCAAACTTCGTGCATTGTGTGAAATCCTAGCGGCTCATTTGATGATACGATACCATTTTAAGGAACGCAAGGTTTAGCGACTAGTTCGTTATCTTACCAGCAAATAAACGCAAATGTTGTTCATCGAGATTGCGGTATATAGTAAAGATAACACCGTTTAAAATTTTTGTATTTATTTTGTCTTCTAGAACCTGGAGCGAAGCCTGTAAAGCCAACAGGTCCTGTCAAACCACGCCCACCGCGTATGTGGTACCCTTTTTAATGCTAAAGAAATTATATTGAAGGCAATGAATCTCCATACCCAGCCAGTGAGGGGGCGGGGGAGTGGTTACCTTCGCAAGTTTTGTTGAGTATGTTTTGCGTACTTTGACACCTACAGAAGTGGCGTCTGGCGCTGGTTTTGAAATAGACGGCTGCCAGGCGTCCAAACCGTCAAACGATTTTTTCTGGCTATGTTTAAAGAACTATTTTAATTTTAATTTATTTAACCTTTCTTAGCCGAATGAATTTCCTCGAGAGAAAAACAATCTAAACAGTCCTATTAAAGTTCATCTCTTCTTCCTGCAGCCACCGTGCGAGCTGTTGCGATCTATCCCCTTAATGGTGGAGTGAGAGGCCGCGACATAAGTCTTAGTAGGAACCCTCCTGGTATCTTAAGAAATGTCAGGACTGCGCCTGGCCCTGATGGAACACGTGACGGCTCGTTCCAGTTTCTTGGTAGATCCACCAGTTATATTTATTTTCCTAACCGCGGAAAACTGGATACTAGACGATCCATTACGTTGATGGCATGGATTTACCACGAGGGACGAGCGGGACCTATCTTTAACTACATGCCGAACGGGTGGGGCGTCCACTTTTGGATGATTACACCAAGAACACTGTTTGTACGGTTTACTCGTCGAAGGGGACGCAGCTTCACCAAAGCGGTAATAAGTAGAAGAGTTGTGCCTCGGAGATGGCAGCTTGTGGCGGCAACATACAATCACAGATCAGGACGAGCCAAGTTGTTCGTACAAAATCGATTTGTAGCACGCAAGTACATTGGAAGAATACGATTAGCAACTAATTATCCTGTCAGAATGGGAGCGCGTATTGGTGACAGACGGTACTTCCGCGGAAGAATCTCTTGCATGCAAATTTATCCGTTGTCACTGAAAGCAAAGCAGATCAATGAACGCAAAAAGAGATGCTTTAGAAAAGGTCAGTAATCAAATCTGACAAAAATACTGTGCATTCAAATATTAAGTACTATTTAAAAAACGAGCAGGAGTGTATTATCAGCTTTTTGAACGGCTTCAAAATCCCTGATTTAGGTCATCTCATTCTTGGACTAATATTTAGATTTGGGGTTATTTTGGTCTATAAAATTGGACGTAAAGTTTAGCTGTGTCTTTATCAGATATAAATTTCTTTTTAATTTAATTTCTTTTGATTTTTAATTTCTTTTGTTTTATCATTATGAATTATTAATGCGTTTTGAAGTTTTAAAACTTCAAAAACTTGAAAGTCTTCCCAATTTAATAAATTCAGCAAGGTAAAAGCCGCTTCGCTTCACTGCATGTAGTCCCAAGTAGTGAAGGAGGAGCACTTCGCAGTTTGCAAAGCTCTGACAGGGGATAAAGTAATGTGGATACTTGCGGGGTTATTTATTTATTTTTTATTTATTTACTTACTTACCAACTAACTAACTTACTCATCTTTTACAGTTATTCGACCTCCAAGACCGAGGCCCAAACCTCCACGTCCAATTAGACCTGGTGGAAAAGGTACTGTCACTGTAATCTTTCCAGATCCTTTGTCGTGAGCCGGTGTCCAGCTACGTCTAATAATGCCCTCAGTTTTGTAATTTTGTTAAAATCATGATAATAAATTCATCATCGTACGTCCAGACTATCAGATTGCAACATATGACGGATAGGCAGAAAAAAGTAATGTTCCTTTCTTTCTTAAAGAATAGCCTGCGAGCAAGCTCTCCGGGGCGCTGTGGCGGCGGGACGGGAAAAGGAAGGAGAGCTTGCAACTATGTCTCTGGAATTTGAATATCTGCATCGAAAAAGTCCATGCGAAATGCTGATGGGCGGAGATGATATTAGTAATGACGTCATTACCCTTGGCACGTATTTTTCAATGTTTTTTTACATTCGCGCTCGTTTCCGCTTCGCGCTGAGTGGCGGAAATCTGACAGCTCAGTCGACGGGGAGTCACTGGGAAAGTGGAGGTGGAATTCAAATTCTAGAGACGTAGTTGCGAGCTCTGATTCCTTTTCCCGCTCTGCCACCAGATCGCCTCGGACAGCTTGCTCGCAGGCTATTAAAGAAAGGCCCCAAGTGTTACGAGACACAAGGAGGATGGGTGAAGGTGAAGGTCTTTTTTGAATAATAAATTAAGGCATTATCAAAATCGCCATCCGTGGGTATTATCCTCAAACTATGCGCTTCGGCTTTAGCATATTGTTGTTACATAGTTTTTGAATATCATATTCTATTTCAGTTTGTCGTGCCAGGCTTGACTTGGTCTTCATTATTGACGGTTCTGGGAGTATCGAGCATTACGGCAGAGGAAACTTCAAACGTTGCCTCCGCTTCGTCCAAAACATGGTTCGTTCATTTACAATATCAAGAAGTTACGTTCGCGTAGGCATTATCCTTTTCTCTTCGCGATCAGAGCTAGTTCTCCGCTTCAATCAAAACCGTGGAGTCAACAGCATACTACGAGTTATCGGCCGCATCAGATATCCCGGACGAGGCACCAGAACAGGAGTAGCTCTCCGTTATGCCTACTCCCGTCTCTTCTCTCGCGCCAGCAGAAGGTGCTCAAAGGTCGCAATAGTCATGACTGATGGCGGGTCACAGGATTCGGTGAAGAAGCCCGCTCAGTTGCTTCGTAGACATGGAATCAAAATATTCTGTCTCGGTATCGGTAAGAAGTACAACATGGGTCAGTTGCTGCAGATGGCAGGCGGTCAACGTTATGTATTTACAGCTGATTTCCGTAACCTTAGATCTGTGGTGAGAGCAGTGAAACAAAAGGCTTGTGCAGGTAAGCAACGGAAAGGAATAGTCCATTTTACAGTCACGGGTGCAAACAAAGCTGGAGTTGACCTTGTTTTGATACAACTCTTCCTCCTTTATTATGTTAATCCATGTTATTCTTATTTTTAAGCATAATTTTCTTCAGAAAAGGAAAGAGGTTTGTATCAAAACAAGGTCATCCTCACACTCACATTCACTCAGAGGCTAGGGTACTAAGCTCATAACTGTAAAATGGTCTATTATATAAGGATCTCATTTTATGCAAAGTAGAAGTAAATTGATCAGTCAAAATGGGATCCTTAATCACCCACGGTTGAGTTTCGAGAGGTTCAAAATTACAATTAAACAAAGATGGAAAAATATGGACCGATATTAATTTGAAATAGTACAGTTATACGGGTTGAGGCAAATAACTTGGCGGGTCGACCATTTCCACCAAATAACGTCCATGCTCTGAAGAATTTCCACTAGTATCCAAACTTTACGGTGTAATTTAAGTTTTTATATTTGTGTGTTTTGCAGTGTAACAAATCAGTAACTTAAAGTATGAAATATTTGTCGTCTGGCTTACGATCGTGAGGCAGAGAAGAATGTGATTCTTAAAAGCAATACGAACCCAAGACCTCCCATACACCCGTCATGCGCACTAACCTCTTAGCTAAGGAGAATCTCATGGCGCGCAGGACATTTACAAGGCTCTTATCACACTTATACAACTCTCTACAAAGGATATTTAAAACTCCTCGTAAATTTGAACCTAGATTTTAACCCCATAGGTTGGAAGGGTTCTGAAAGGTTCCCAATCCTCTTAATTTTACTCTTGTTCGTTCATCAAATAATGACAATCGCGGTCAAAGGTACAACACAACAAACTGATAAAAGACATACACAAAAACCAAGGACCTAATACATAACCCCTGATTCATTTGTGAAGAAGATGAAGATCTGGCCGTATAATTGTGTTGCAGTGTCCAAGCCACCACGACCGACTAAACCAGGAAAACCTACAGGTGGGTTCTTTACAGTTCTCTCGCCAGACAGTCTCCAACCACTCCCCCGGGCCGCCGTCTGATCCGACGACGGCGACGCCGAAAACGTCAAAAAATCAATAGGCTTAATAAGCAAAGCAAAAACTCCGCACAGCATCGCGCTTTTTTGCACACTCTTTTTGCCCTAACTGACGACTACGACAAAAGTTTGCTAATTTCATGTCTAATGGAGAACGTAAGCAAGCGACGACGTAATTTTCCGCGATGAAGATTGACAAAACGCGCTGTACCTTTTTAAGTGACGTTTTCGCCTCTGTCACCGTCCTCTGATCTTTACGCGGGAAGACATCTGGAGCCAGTTGCATAAGCCTTAACGTCGGAGGCAATCGGTAACGGCTGGCGTTAGGTTTTATTTAATTGGCACCTGGCTTTTTAGACTTAATCTTCATCATTTACGTCATTTTATCATATACCAAAATTCTTAAAAACTCTTGGACTATTTCGACAGCTGTGATATATGTGATTTTTAAGCTGCGCTGTCATGTTGAATTCTGAGCCAGGAGGATGATTGCCTTTTTTTTTTCCAAAAAATTACTCTTGCAACCTGACCGTGTTCCAATTTATTTGTTTGGTTTTTTGGTTTTTGTTTGCTTGTTCTGATTATCTTGAATTAAGTTTACTTATGTTTTAATTTAGATCTGTTTTTTTTGTGATAACCTCGCTTTTTTAGAGTAATCAGCTCAAAATATTCTCTAAAATCGATAACGATATTTTTTATTAGCTGTTGGACGCGCAGGCGCTGTATATCCGCTCAGTTCTTCAACTCGAGGAAGAGATATAAGTATCAATGGCAACCCACGAGGACGTTCTGTTAACGTCAGGTACACACGAGGTCCTGACGGCGTGCGAGGGACGGCAACAAAGTTTTACGGCCGACGCAACAGCTACATCCAGTTTCCTAACCGTGGTAGACTGGACACGAGGCTATCAATAACCCTTTTAGCGTGGATTTATCATCAAGGTCATGCTGGTCCCATCTTTAACTACATGCCGAACGGCTGGGGCGTGCACTTCTGGATGGTGTCTCCTAAAACATTGTTTGTACGATTTACTCGGCGACGTGGACGCCGCTTCACAAGAGCAGTTTCAAGTCGCACAGTTCGCTATCAAACTTGGCAGTACGTCGGTGCTACGTACGATTACCGAACTGGTATCGCAAGGTTGTTTGTTAATAAGAGATTTGTTGTTTCTCGGCGAATTGGCCGCTTTAGACTGGCCACTAACCATCCCGTAAGAATGGGTGCGAGGATTGGAGACAGGAGGTACTTCCGTGGTAGTATATCCTGTATGCAAGTTTACAAAAAAGCTTTAACTGCGGGACAGATTATCGCGCGTAGAACGAGGTGCTTTAAGAGAGGTACGACTTTCTTACTCACGCACTTACGCACTCACTCACTCACAAACTTACTTTCTGACTTATTTAATGTATTTGATTATTTGAAGTGCCTCGACCAAGACCCAGACCGAGGCCCAGGCCCAGGCCCAGACCCCGACCGAGACCTGCTCCAAGGCCTAGACTTCCTGTCCGTCCCCGCCCTGGTGGTAAAGGTACTTGTGATTATAAATTGTCTTTCCTCTTGACGGAAAACAACACTCTGTATCTAAAGATGCAAGTTTTCTGGTTTAACTTTCTCCTTTTTTTCAGTTTGTCGTGGAAAGATTGATCTCGCTTTCCTCATCGATGCATCTGGAAGTGTTGGTCTCCGTAATTTCCGCCGCTGTTTGGCTTTTGTCAAAAACATGGCTCGCGTTTTTACCATCTCCAGAAGTTACACCCGCTTCGCTGTCGTAGTTTACTCGTCACGTTCGACCAAGATCTTCGGCTTCAATCGTTATACCAATCGTCGCTCCCTATTGCGAGCTATTGGCCGCATACGGTACACAGGCGGAGGGACCAAAACAGGCTACGCACTATCGTACACCTATCAAAGGGTCCTTCGCTTCAGCAGGCGAAAAACTAAGGTGCTGGTTGTCATGACAGATGGACGATCCTACGATAACGTCAAGCGACCAGCAAAGATTCTTAGACGTCGCGGTATTAGGATACTATCCTTTGGGGTTGGAAAGAGATACAGCATGAAACAACTATTGCAGATGTCTTCAAGTAGAAGAGATGTGTTCACTGCTGACTTTAGAAACTTAGGATCTGCTGTCAGGTTGATAAAACTGAAAGCTTGTAAGGGTAAGTTTAATCTGGGGTAATAATGCATTAGCATGCAGATAATGAAAAGCCGCTTTTTATTCTCAGTTTCCCGCTTTTTTTATCTCAGTTTGACTAGTTCAGTCCGAATTGCGGATTCCAGATTTTTAACTTCGGAAGAACCTTAAAAAAACATGTTCTATCTACTTTTAAGCGAGTGTTATGACTTATCATTAGAAAGTGTATCAGAGTTAGATTCAGAGTCAGTCGAAGTCCCTGAACAATAACTTTTCTTTTTCTCGCCCTCCGCGTAAAAATGATCAGTTTTAGTCAGTCCTCTAAACTAGTTCCGTTCTCTATGTCTACCCAAACTTCGCAACGAAAGGTTATAATTGCTCTCCATTACCCTTACGTCGTTTTGCTGATGATATTTTTTCTGTTTTTTCAGCCGGCAAGCCTCAGCCTCCAAGACCAGTACGTCCTTTGAAACCAGTAGGTAAGCAGGCCGAGAACCTCTAACCTTTTTATAACACCCACTTTTCTATCATTCCAACAAGTGAATTTCATTCTTTTCAGTCAAATTCCATAAATGCATTCGAGATTTGATGTAGGCAGCTCCATAGTTCACATTTCGAGGGATTAGCATTTCGGATTAGCTCTGCATATTGCAGTAACTCTTCTCTATACTAGATACCAGAAATCCCTACCATTTATAGAACGAACTGGAAATTTATTCCCCGAAATATTAAAAGTGATTTTCTGAGTATTAAGTATAGAGTCTTGTCGTTTTAGGCAGTCAATCTGACCTGGAGTACTTTTTAACTCTTGAGCAAATGCATTATTTCTTGTTACTAGTATTATTTGTGCACCAAAACCGCATAATTTTAGCTTAACCAGATGACAAGGGACCTGAAAACTTCAACCTTAGGGGTTTCAAACCCTTGCCTTTGCCATTTCTGGAATCAAAGCGTGTCAAGCAAAGAGAAACCGCTGTAGGGTTGTTAATTGTCACTTGGCCGCAAGAAAGCCTTCTTCAAATAGATGGATTACCAGGAGGCTAATTATTTACTTTCCATGCACGTATAAGGATTGCACAAAGCTCACAGTTTTAGCTTTTCAAAGATAACATCTTGTGACCTAATATTTCCCATCCAGTTATCAGGAGAGCTATGGCCGTTTATCCACTCAACCGTAACACGAAAGGGAGAGACATCAGTTTCTCAAGAAACCCCCATGGACGACTGAGGAGTGTCAGGTACGCCTTAGGTCCTGACAACTCGCGGGGAGGCTCCGTTGAGTTTTACGGTCGCAGTAACAGCTACATCGAGTTCCCCAACCGAGGGAAAATTGACACTAAGCGCTCAATAACGCTGTTAGCCTGGATTTACCACATTGGACAAGCGGGTCCCATCTTCAACTATATGCCGAATGGCTGGGGAGTCCACTTCTGGATGGTGTCCCCAACAACGTTGTTTGCTCGGTTCACACGTCGAAGAGGAAAACGCTTCACGCCAGCTATTTATAGCCGAAGTGTACGACGACAGAAATGGCAGTTTGTCGGTGCAACGTACAATTACAGGACCGGTATGGCGCGACTCTTCCTGAACTCAAGGTTTGTTGCTCGAAAACGCATTGGAAGATTTAGGCTGGCGACAAACTATCCCGCAAGAATGGGAGCCCGCATTGGAGACCGGAGATATTTCCGAGGTCGAATCTCCTGTATGCAGGTATACAATCAAGCACTAAACAAAAATCAGATCCTGGTTCGTCAGAGGAGGTGCTTCAGACCAGGTAATAGTCACTTAAGCAGTATATCGAAAGATTTCTCAAACAATCCACAGTTTTTACAGACCGAGACATTTACATCTTAAAGTTGTTCTCTGTGCATTTTATTAAATGCAGCTTTCTTAACAAAGGTGCTATTTGAAAGCCTGAATGAATGTATTCTGACTTATGGAAATACAAATCTACAGTTTTTGTCATTTTATTTGTAGTGTTTTCATGGTGAAGTTAATCACACTCTAATCGTCTGATCTTGACGTCTGAAGAATCTTTCTGCTTGCGCGATGTTCTGCTTGATGTTATTTCTTCTATAAATGACAATGGCATTTCTTTTAATTTTTTGTAAGTTATTTCTTCTCTTTTTCTATCGCCCAATGTTTAGTTCCCGTTAAACCCAAACCAAGACCCGTCAGACCTATAAAACCAGTCAGGCCACCATACAGGCCGAAAGGTAGGTGTGATACTGCTCCTTATTCTTGTTATTTAAGCTCGGAGCGGACTTGAAAGTGTTGGTATTCATTCAAAGCATTTTTGAAATATCCGTTTCTGACTTACAGTTAATCCTCCGGCTAATTCTTCATAAAGAGCTTGTGCTGGCCAAATTTGGAAGATGTTTGAGTTCACGGCTATGTGAAGCCGAAATAGCCGAATTACTGACTTAATATGATAGTAAGAATACGCACGAATTTTTCTCGATGAATGTGAATTGCTTTTTTGGTAGTATCAGCACAGAAAAGATATCACCCCCCATTTATTTTGAAACTGCCGAGGAACAGGTTTCTTCAAGTAAGGATGTTAAGAACTGGGAAATAGTTTAAGTGAATGATAAGACAGTTCTTGAAATCGGCTTTCGCATTATGTGAAGAATTATGCAGATTCGGGGGGTGTTATTCCCCTTGGCCTGCGGCTTCGGAAGGAAAATACTCTCCCCGATCTGCGTAACTCTTCATATGATGCGAAAGCCGAATTCAGTAACAATTAAAGTATATCTTCATTTTCAGTCAAAACTCAAGCCGTGGCAATCTTTCCACTTAATGGTGCTATTAGAGGCAAAGACATTAGTCTTCGTCAGAATCCGCGTGGAATACTACGCAACGTAAGACCGGCCCCAGGCCCTGACCGAACCCGGGATGGATCATACCAGTTCTACGGAAGAAGCAACAGTTATATTCTTTTCCCTAACAGAGGTGGAATGGACACGAAAAGGTCCATTACCCTTCTGGCGTGGATTTACCATCAGGGGCGTGCGGGACCAATTTTTAACTATATGCCGAACGGCTGGGGCGTGCATTTCTGGATGATTTCACCTAGAACGCTCTTTGTACGATTCACGCGCCGCCGAGGACGCCGCTTCACCAGAGCGGTAATTAGTAGGACAGTCTCGCCCAACAGATGGCAGTTTGTTGGTGCCACGTATAGTCAAAAGACCGGCGTTGCAAAATTGTTTGTAAATTCGAGGTTTGTCGTGCGAAAGCGCATTGGAAGAATAAGACTAGCGACCAACTATCCCGTTAGGATGGGGGCACGCATTGGAGATGGGAGATACTTTCGAGGACGAATATCCTGTATGCAGGTGTACAATGGCGCACTATCTCGCTTTCAAATCAAGACTAAAAAGCAAAGATGTTTTAGAAGTAAGTCATTATTTTAAAGACATTTTTTTCCTTGCCATAGTTTATAGATTTAAGTTACTCTTTCTTTTTTTTTCCTCTAAATTAAAGGAACATAGAAATAAACACTGATCTCAGGTACTGCTGGCCATCTTGAATATAACTGCTCAAAAGACCTCGGTACTTTATTTTCGCCGTTTGAGTAAAACGGATAAGCCGCATGATCGACGATGACCAGTACAAAATATGGATCTACAAGCTTTAGCAGAAATCCCCCTCTCTGTGTCTTATCGAAGCTCTATGCTGGAATTTTGTACAATAACAATGTTTTCGTTCTTCCTTGCTGTGATAGAACCCACACGTCCTCGCCCCGGGCCCAGGCCTAGACCCAGACCACGACCGAGACCACTGCCAAAGCCAAAGCCGAGACCCAGACCTAAGCCTGGACCAGGTGACAATTTTAATGTTGAGTCTTTTTAACCGTTCAATCACTGACGTATAAGAAACTCTCCATTTTCTTTTTTATCGTCCTTTGTTTTGTTTAGTTTAGTTTAGTTTAATTTTAGGGCGTTGGTAAATTATATCATTTGCCTTTCAGTTAGGACGCCCCAAAAATGAAATTAAGAAACTGGCACTGTTAACAGAAGTCGAAGTCTTCTTTTATGTTTTCCTGTTGATAGCGTCATGGGTGGCTCTCCCATTTTGTTTTTACTTCTAATTTTTTTCATTATTGATATATTTTGTATTAGTGTGTAGAGCATCAATCGACCTTGCCTTCCTGATTGATGGTTCTGGAAGTGTCGGTGTAAAGAACTTCCGCCGCTGCCTTGCATTTGTCCAGAACCTCATCCGAGGATTTAAGATTTCACCTCGCTACACTCGCGTCGCAGCAGAGGTTTATTCTTCCAGTCCGCGTAGAATATTTCCTTTCACACGCTACAGAAATGTGTACCAAGTGTTAAGAGCCGTTGGATCCATAAAATATCCTCATGGAGGCACCAAGACAGGAAATGCTCTTAGGGATGTCAAAAGATATCTCTACCGTGGAAGATGCAGGCGAAAGAGGGTTCTCATTGTATTGACTGACGGACGATCACAAGATGCTGTCCTTAAACCATCACGGGCGTTAAAACGCGCCAAAGTTGATATTTTTGCTGTCGGCGTGGGTCGGGGCTACAGTGTGACGCAGTTAAATGAAATAGCGACCGACCGAGGTCACGTGTTTACGGTTGATTTTCGAAACCTCAACTCCATCATTAAGGCCATTAAAAAGAAAGCTTGCAAAGGTAAGCAATGATGCATTTTTGCGGGCCACTTGATATACTAACTGATAGTACTGAAAATGTAAGGATTACTAGCGATGCGAAGTTCGTGATTGTGAAATACGACTTCACTGGCTTTTTAATCCACCAAGCGGCCGGTCAGAACACAGTTTTTTGCGTTTTTTGCATCAGTATGACACTTAGTAATTCCTTCGTTTTGCATTCTTATTTTGTGTTTCAATTAATACTTTGAATTCTTCTCTTGCTATTTTAAGGAGGACGAAAGCCACCAGCTCCACACAGACCGTCAGGTATGGTTCGCTGACAATTTTCCTTTGGTTTTTCCTCTTTTTTCTGTTTTTTTCTAATGGGAGTGGCAGGATGTCTGACGGAGGAGGCTATATTCCCATTCTGAGTAAGAGAACCAACTAAAATATTAAAGGCTTTCTAAACTTCTCAAGGGCTTATAATTTCTTTTCAGGAACACTACGAGCCGTTGCTGTGTACCCGTTGAACGTCCTCACTAAGTCACGTGACATCAGTTTTAGCAGAAATCCACCAGGTATTATGTCGAATGTTCGACCTGCTCCAGGCCCTGACGGACGGCGTGGGACGAGCTTTGAGTTCCAGGGACAAAGGAATAGCTTCATAGAGTTCCCAAACAACGGTAAACTAGACGCGCGAAAGTCCATTACCATCCTAGCTTGGGTGTACCATTTGGGTCGAGCAGGACCAATATTTAACTACCATCCAAAAGCTTGGGGTGTTCATCTCTGGATGATTGGCAGTCGGTCTCTCTTTGTTCGTTTTACAAAACGCCGAACGCGAGACTTTACAGCTGCTTTGGTGAGTAAGACTGTAAAACCCAGCCGCTGGCAGTACGTAGGCGCGTCTTACGATCATTCAACTGGAACTGCCAAGTTGTTCGTCAGTGGTAGACTGGTGGCGAAGAAGCGTGTCGGAAGAATACGATTGGCAACAAATTACCCGGCGCGGACGGGAGTGCGGATTGGTGATCGCCGATATTTCCGCGGTAGAATTTCATGTATTCAGGTGTACAACGTCGCGCTAACAGCACGACAGATACAGGCACGAGCCAAGAGATGTTTTGTGCCAGGTTAGTGTTCTGTCAACGGAGAAAGCTATTTCATTTGAATGCAATGCAGGGCATTGATATTATAAAATTCCTTTTGCATGTCTTTTATACGCCCGTTTAAACTTAAAATGCGTTACAATTACTGACTTACTTACAAATATTAAGTAACTAAATTAAAATTGGTCAAGAGTTAAGTGGTCAACAGATGCAAATGTCTTTTGTAAATAGAATATTAAAAATAGTTTACAAAATGTTTAGTGTCTTTTTTGTCCGTTATTTTACCTGTTTGCGCAGGGGCATTTCAATAATTCATTTGATGATCTCTTAACCGAAAAATTGAAGATAATGTTGTCATTTGAAATCAGCATTATTGCGCTTTAGTTGACATTTTTTTTTTCTTTACTGACCTTTTGCGTTCCTCTCAATCCAAATCCACCACAGGGCTCCCAAAACCTCGTCCACCTCCTCGCCCATCAGGTAACTTGTATAAGAGCAGAGGATGCTTCACAGACAAGCCGCGCAGAGCCATGGGAAGGCTTCTTGGCAACTTGCGTCGAAGAAGAGATGCGATTATGCGTTGCTTTATGTTAGCGTCCAGAAGAGGGTATCGCATGTTTGGTGTGCAGGATGGTGGAGAGTGCTGGTCAGGTCCTTTAGCGCACCGGACATTTAAGAGATATGGACGCTCAAACAGGTGCAGAAATGGAAGAGGAGGTCCTTGGGCAAATGACGTATATATCATTATCACTAGAAGTGAGTAAAGCGGAAATTAGATGTAGAAATCCTGATGACTGTTTTGTTCTTTCTGTAGTTTTTCTTATTTTATTTTTTTTTTACCTGATTTTGAACCCAGGCCCTAGTTGTTCGAAGGCCGATTAGCGCTAACCCAGGGTTAAATTTTAACCCAGGTTTCTTTTTCTTTTGTTCAAAAGAATTTTCCCAGATTATTTTCTCTATTCTGTTTAGGCCATCCAATCATCAAACTGTAAAGAAAAAGAATAAAAGTAATTTTGCTTTTTGAGCTTTGATATCTGAATTCAAATTTCGCACTAACCCTGGGTTATCTTCGGTTATCTTAACACTGCTTTAAACAACCCTGCCCAGATGTTCAAGTAACGTCCGTGTATTAATTCGTACACACCTCTGTTCGGGTAGACATTTTGATGATAACTGCGCGACAATGTAGTGTTGGTTTTAATTTTAGAAAAAGCTAAACTTTCTCCGAAGATTCTGTGTTCTAATATGTCAGTGCTCATGTAAACTGCATGTGAGGGTGACAAGTAGCCCGGACCAAATTGCAGCGTTATCTCTATCTGAGAGAACAAAAATGGCTGGCTATATTTAAAAATTGTTAAGTTAAGCACAGTCCTAACGAAGATGAATTGTAATTTCTGATGCATTTTTGTTTTAATTTATTAATTTTTTTTTTATTTTTTTTACCGTTTGTCATCTTAGGACCTGTTCCGCGACCGCTTCCTCGTCCCAGACCTCAGCCTCGTCCAGCCCTACCAGGTATCACTGCTTTACATACATACTTGCTGAAGTGATATTCAACCTAAAACTCCTCAAAATATATAAACTTTAAATTGCTTTCCAATCTTTTTTCTTCTTTATATACATGGCAAATTGCAAAAACAAATGACGATCTGTGTTATTTTCTTATATCTGTAGGATTTACATTACCTGCAGAATTAATATTTTTCTTGCAACCAAGGCTGCTTAAAAATGATCGCTTATAAAAACATCACCCTTAATTTCTAAGCGGTAAATAGAGGATTGGGTTTAGGTGTTAATTTAATCAGAACTTGTTGTTGGATCAGAAGGGAACATTAATCCGCGTTCGACTCGATAAAAAACATTGTTTATAATGCCATTTTTTTCTAATATAGTCTGCAAGGCACGTGTAGACCTGGGCTTCATTGTGGATGGTTCCGGAAGTGTTGGCCGTGCCAACTTTATCAGATGTTTGAACTTCATCAAAAACTTGGTGAGCTCGTTTACTATCTCACCTCGATATTCAAGGGTGGGCATCTTAGTATACTCTCATCGCGTCATCCCAGTATTCTCGTTCGGAAGATACCAACGTCTCGGCGACGTACTGCGTGCTATCAACAAGATCAAGTACCCTAGCGGAGGAACCAAGACAGGTCGCGCGCTATCATACTCAAGAAAGTACCTGTTTGCAAGGAGTAATTACCGAAAGGTCCTCATATTGATGACAGATGGCAAGTCGTACGACAAAGTGAGGCAGCCAGCCGCGACGTTACGAAACATGGGTGTGGAGGTTTTTGCTTTGGGCGTTGGAAAACGTTTCAGCATGCGGCAGCTCATTCAGATAGCAAGCAATCGCCGGCATGTTTTTACCGCAGACTTTAAAAACTTGGGCTCATTTGTGAGAGCGATTAAGCAGAAGGCTTGCAAAGGTAACCGCTTTTTTTTAGCATACGTATTACCTTGAAGTAAGGGAGATTTTATGTTCATAAAGGTGTTGATGCGAATGTGGTGTCATGAATCCAGCGTAACCTGCATCGCACAGGTCACATTCAAATTTTTTAACAAGACACTGTTGGATCTTAAACAGCAACTCCATGTTCGTAAATTTTGAAGGTTACTTGATAAATTGAAGTGGCTTGTTTATAAAGTTGAACGTGAACTATGCCATGTAGGTTGGTGTGGCGTCCGACAGGGCGAAATGGGGTATCTTCTTCCCCAACAGGACAGCATCTCCTTAACTATGTACATAGTTATATATCGGGTAGTCAAGGTGTGAACATTACACTTTTTTTTTAGTGTTGTTATTGTTATTGTTATTGTTTATGTTGTTTCCGTGTCAGTGGTGTTTTTTTTTTCGGGGGGGGGTATGCTTTGTTTTTGTTGTTGTTCTTTTGTTTTTGGTTTTTTGTAGTACCCTATGCTCTTCCACTGTTACGATTGATGTTAGTGTTATTCATGTCTGAAAGTATCTTCTATTAGAACAGCATTTCAACAATCTATCAATTTTTTTCTCTCCTTTTTAGGTTTGAAAAAACCCAACAAGCCACGTAAGTAAAAAAAGTGTTACACTTTTGTACTATAAACATCTATCTTAAATTCAGCTTGTTTCACGGTTCATGTTTTTCGAAAACTGGTCCCCTCAGTTGATATCAGACCACTACACAGACAATGGGCAACGGTTTAAGTAATATTATCTGAAGAAAATATGAATCAACAAATCGGTGGCCGTATGGATCGTTTTATTTATTGGGTTAGGGGAGACATGCATAGCTGAATAATTAATATCCATCTTTAGACAGATATCTTTTCTTTGTTTCCTAACAGACGCCATATCGTCTATCGCCATATTTCCGTTTAGTAAAACATATAGGGGAAGAGAAATACGGAACAGAAACCCAGCTGGTCGTCCCTTCCGGGTCTTTTTAGCCCCAGGCCCTGATGGACTGCCATATGGCTCTTACTACTTCCCTGGCCGACGAAGTAGTTACGTGGAAATCCCTAACAGAGGAACACTGGACTTAAGGAACTGTGTGACCATATTAGGGTGGATTTATCACCAAGGAAACGCGGGTCCAATCGTGAACTATAAACGCAACGGATGGGGAGTGCACTTATGGATGGTAAGTCCTAAGACGCTCTTTGTACGGTACACGCAGCGTCTTGGCCGGCGCTTCACGCATGCTTTGGCGTACCGCGGTGTCAGGCCGCGATCTTGGCAATTCGTGGGAACGTCCTACAACAAAAATACGGGTGTTGCCAAGCTCTATATCAACGGCAAGATGGTAGCACGTCGCAAGATTGGCAAGATATCATTGGCTACAAATTACGAGATCAGAGTTGGAGCACGACAAGGTGACCGACGCTACTTCCGCGGAAGAATTGCCTGCCTGCAATTTTACAGTGCGGCTCTGACCACAAATATGATCCGACGGCGTATGAAGACTTGCTTTAGAAAAGGTAGGCGCTTGTAAAATGACATATTTTTTTGTCGTAATGGTCAATAATTACATTGGCGGATCCAGGGCCGAAAAGACATTTTTTTAGACCGCCCCCTCCCCTCTTATCTCATGGTCTGGATGACCGCCCCCCTCCCCCTCATTATCTGAAGGTCTGGATTCGCCACTGAATTATGAGCTCCAAGTACTTCATTTAGCCTAAAAGGGGCTATGTCACGAGGATATTAATGTTTTAGATAAATTCTGTGTTGAAGTCATTACTTAATGCCTTTACTTATAAACAAAATGCTCCTGTAGAGTTAAGAAGAAGATGTCGAACGAATTTCACTGGGGAGTACTAACTATAATATTTTTGGTACTTTTTGCAGGCATAGCTTTAAAAATTGAAAACATTGGCCCAACTTTCAATCCATATTTATCCAGGCCATCCGTTTTCAACAAACGAAAGGAAACAGTGTCACTCCCTAAATATAGTATTAAATAACAACTCAACCGATACAAAGACATCCTTCAGCTTTTTTAAAAGATACAAAATAGCGTGACGTAGCCACTTTAAGTAAATGACCCAGTATTAGAAGTAATCTCAACAAAAAAAATGAAAGTCAAACGGTTATGGTTACGGGTGATTGTATACACAGTAGCAGGGGCACTCAACGACAGTTTCCTCCTTATACATTGAAAACACTTTTTAGGCTGTCAAGAGTACTTCTAGAAATGCATTCTAAGTGGCGCTATAAAATTTGTATCTGTTCGGCCACCGAAGGGAAACTCGAGTCTCTACGAAATTACAAGAGATTCAACTTTATTATTCCCAAAATTTTAGGGGCAATTTGACGTATTACGAAAGTGAGAATTTTTCTAATTGCTCCCTCCATCACATTTTTGAATCCGAAAATTTTAGGTTTCCTTTTTTCTGTGAAAAATGGCCTAACCTAAGGAGTGAAATATGAAAAAAATAAACTTAAGAAAGTCGTAGGGCATTTATTACAGAAGCTTCGAAAATTGTACATGAACGGCACGGTCATTTAGAATTTTTTAGCCGTCCTCTAGTAATGGAAAATCCTAGGGAATATCTACTTCTTCGAACAACGATTTTAGAGAAAGCAGTCGTTGGGTGCCTCTGACATAGTTACCAGCTATATTTGTCCCAAAAGGAACTCGCACAAACTAACCAAAGATGACTGATCGTAACCAACATAGTCAAATAAAGGTGGATCTTGAATATATTGTCGTAGGGCCGATGCCTGTTCCTGTGCCCAGACCAAGACCTGGTGGAAGAGGTAAGTATATAAATTAGATTTACAAGAATTTAAAAAACGAGTCCTTTACACAGTTTATGGATAACAGGTGAGTGATTTCGGTCGTTTACCAACGTGCTGTTTAGTTCAGCAGTACATTGGATACAAAAACCAGCTGAATACTCTCTGCCAACAATAGACAATTATAATTGACTTCGAAAAACCTTCTTGCTTCTACATCCTTCATGGTGGTCCTTTATTTGTCAAAAATACGCCTCTAATTTATTATTTACGCACAATGCAACATGTAATCCTTTTCAGCGAGGGATTAACTTGGAAAAGAAGAAGAATTTCATGGCTTTAACTATTTTCTTTCATATTCCTGTACATTTCATTTTTGTTTTTTTAGTTTGCAAAGCTAAACTTGACCTTGGTTTTGTCATTGATGGCTCTGGTAGCGTGGGAATCAAGAACTTTAAGCGCTGTCTTCAGTTCATAAAGAACATGGTTCGCACATTCGTCTTGTCGCGACGTTTCACACGAATTGGCGCCGTTCTGTATAACACCAGGGCTTACAAGATATTTGGATTTAATCGGTATGGCAACAAAAACCAGGTCCTTAAGGCTGTAAGCCTCATACGGTACCCAAGGGGAGGGACCAAGACAGGCAGGGCCCTTAGATACGCGTACCGTTATCTCTTCCGTCGAAGTAAGAGACGAAAGGTATGTATGATTTGACTGCTGTAACGTAACGTATATAAGATGAAAAATCCATAGAATCATAGTTGTTCCTTCCCTTTCCACAGTACTCATGTTATGCCCGTAGCACTAAAGCTACTGTAAAACAAACAACAAAACGTACAACTTTTTTTGTAACATTGCTACAAAACGAGTTGAAAAGCTACGTTGTTGCGCGTTTTACTGACTTCTGATGAGATAAAATTACGCGGGAGTCCCGCCATACATGGATCTTACGTCACTTGCTGCAAAGCAAGTTTGCCTTAGGCCGGTAAAACGCGCAACGTGTACAGATTTTTTTGCAAAAAGTAACATCGAGTACTCTACTTTCTGCAACAACTTTTTGCCACCTGCAACAACGCGATTTGTTGCAAGACAGGTTTGATTCTTGGGTGGTTAAACGAGCAACATCGGTATTCAACTCGTTTTGCAGCAATGTAAAACAAAATGCACGTTTTTGATAGATGTGTATGAAATAAATCATATAACAACCAGCTCCCAACATCGGTGGCTTCATAGCTTAGTTGGTTAGAGCATGGCACCAGTAATGCGAGGTCACGGGTTCAAATCCCGTTGAAGTTATGAATTTTTTTCAGGCTTCTTACGCAACTGCATAAATTGCTTTCACAGCGGCGAAGATCATTCTTCATTTGATTGGATGTTTTTGTTACCCGTTTTAACGTATCGTAAAGAACGTTCGTCAAGGCACATGCATGCAATTGATGAAAGTTAACATGGGTGACCCCAGCCTTCATCTGGCACCTTTCAAGTCTCTCTAACAGTGGTTGCTATCAAAGGATCGAAAAAAAGAAAGAAATTAGTGTGTTGAATGTTTAGGCTTGGAATTGAATGTTACCTTTCCACGTCGCTCGATGATGTAGTGTAATGATCAAACCGGTCACTTCAGTAAGTTTTTCAGAAAAGGTCTTCTGATTCGCATTCTCATTTAAGGCCGTCAGGGGCTAAGTCGCGTCTAACCATGGGGCGCGAAAGAGATCCAGTGTTACTAACAGAACACGTACAGTTGAATACGAGAAGGCCTGGCTTTGAAAAAAACAGAACAATATCTCAAACAATGGACAAGCAATTTGTTATGTCACGTGCATAGACCATACAACTAATCTGATCGATACAATTTCCTTTTTCGTCTTCTTAAGGTGTGTATTGTCATGACAGATGGTCGCTCGTACGACAGCGTGACTGCACCTGCGCGAACCATGCGCAAAGGAGGAGTTGAAATGATCTCGTTGGGTTTGGGATTGCGTTACAACATTCGCCAATTACGACAAATGGCATCCAGCCGTCGACTCGTGTTCACAGCACGATTCAGAAATCTGAATTCGGTTGTGAGAGTGATAAAAAGGAAAGCTTGCGGTGCAACAGGTCGGTAAACACTGAAACAAACAAGGTATTCAGTATTACAGGGTGTTAAAATGTGAGTAGCGTGTTTGGCAGCCAAGGCAAAATAACCCTTATGCTTTATAGCTAGTTTCGATAGTACTGTATCTAAAAGGAAAGACATTTTTCCTTTTGCTTTTCTTTTTTTTAAACCCTATCCTTTTAAATTTTTTCCTACCTTAGGTGTAAAGCCAAGACCACCTCCTCGACCCAAACCTCCACGTCCTGGACAGGCTACTTACTACTGGGAAGGCTGTTATAATGACAAAAGAAGACGAGCTATTAAATCTAGACTCGGCAACTTCCACAGGCACAAAGATCCTATCAACGCATGTGCTATGGCAGCCTTAAGGCGAGGTTACAAAGTCTTTGCAGTTGAGAACGGTGGAGAATGTTACTCGGGCCCACGGGCGTATCAGACATATAACCGATATGGACCGACCAATCGCTGCAGGCGAGGAAGAGGAGGATCATGGGCAATGGATGTGTACAAATTTGGAAAACGTAAGTCTAGTTAAAAATTACTCGGCATCTGTGGCATGAGGTGCCTTGGACTGGCCGTCTTCAGAATTAAGGATATTCTAAATCCGTTTTTACGCTAAGATTACTCCTTGACAGTTACAACCCTGATTGGCTGCATGACAATAGTTGTTTTTACAGTTATTAGCGTGTTTGATGTGGAAACAAGTCGAAAAGGTCATTCTGCATTGAAATAACCCATTAACCTCGTTTGATCGTTTGTATGCCTTCTTGGGCAAAGGAATATTTGACCGTAGTATCAACTGTGGTTATATATGTAAACAACATTTCAGTTCTTTCAACACCTTGGGGAAAAAACATTTCCAACTTCTTTGTCTATCCTCATTCCGAACCACTTTTAATTGAAAGAGCTCAAGAATCAAAGTAGAGAGAACCATATGTGTTCACTTTCTTTTCTTGCCCCATTCGTGCCTGGAATTTTATTGGGCCTCAGTATAAAACTGACCATAGATTTGTGCTTCATCCAGATGTCAGCATATTGCTCCTGCCAAAAGCAAAAAAGTTCAGTTCAGCTGGTGGTTTCCACTTTTGGTCTGCCAAACCTTTTTCATGCACAAATACTGTAATGATGGTGTGAACAGAACAAAGTGGTAGAGGTCTCTAAGTAGATTTAACCAGGAGCCTTGATATGTCGAATAAAAACAACAACAACAACAACACCAAAGGTCTTGATGAATTTTTCTTATTGATGACCAAACATTAAACTTAGTCATGTAATAGAAATTAATGCCACATACTAGTATTTTGCTTTTGTCTAACCATCCTCTGTTATATTCTAGTTCGTGGCTGGTCCAATGTCGTTATCCGAAACCTTGGCTGTTTTAGAGACAAACGAAGGCGATCTGCAGGAAGTATGGTGGCTAACTTGAGAGGCTTGAAGTATGCTGTCAGAGACTGCGCGCGCCAAGCGCGAAAGAGAGGTTACAGAATCTTTGCCGTACAAAACGGTGGCGAGTGCTTTATGGGTCCGAGAGCTAAAATCACATACAAAATGTACGGTCGATCAAAGCGATGTCGAGGAGGGAAAGGAGGTCCTTGGGCAAATGATGTTTATATCATTATCATAAAAGGTACACTCCGAGACCTGTGCAGTAGTGATTTCAGAAAACATCTGATGACTGAATAGACTTCTTGTCTTTAGAGTTTTGTGCGCATGCCCTGTAGACTTAATATGGTCAATGGTGTCCACAGTCCACACTTGTGAGTGTAGTGTCGTCCAAATCAACCCGATTAAGGTTAAGCTAATGGAACGAGGAAAATTCCAATTACCAGATCGGAATAATTCCTCTCTTAAAACTAAAATCGCTCAGTGCGACTACGACAAGTATTCCCGTCATTGGACACAAAACTGTCAACCTCTGAAAACATTATCTCAGTTTTCATGGCTCGCACAAACTCTTTCTCCAAGTTGGCAAATTGGTGAATTTAGAAGTCAAATACTCATCTTTGTCCATCAATTAGTTGTTTTGTACTATGTATACTCTAGGAATATTTAAGTTGAAGGACTAAAAACAAAAATCGGAAGATGTTATTAGTTACGATTACTTTTGTGGAAATGTCAATCTTTGTCATTTAAATGCAGCTGAAGCTTAAGCTACGTGCAAACGGACGAAACAACTCCCAACAATGTTGGGAATTGTTGGCAAACAATGTTGCGCCCGTTTGCACGGGGCTAAAAGTATGACCGGTTTCAAACTTTGCGGAGCAACACGCAACAACATCCAACAACATGCATAAGGGTGTGCAAACGGACGCAACATGTAACATCCAAGAATGTTGGGAGTTGTTGGCCAACAATGTTGCGTCCGTTTGCATGTAGCTTTAGTCATTTTGGTGTTCTGTGTTCTTTAGGTCGACCACGGCCCAGGCCTAGACCGAGACCAAGGCCACGGCCCAGACCTAGACCAAGACCGAGGCCACGGCCCAGACCTAGACCAAGACCGAGGCCACGACCCAGACCTAGACCAAGACCAAGGCCGCGACCCAGACCCAGACCTAGACCTAGACCACGGCCAATACCTGTTCCCAGACCGTCTGGCAAAGGTAGGTACATAATAAAGAATGTGCCTAATTGTTTGAACCGTGGATTTAATGTTGCGTCCAATTTGCGCTTGGAAGACATGGCTTCAGACGTGGCTGCTGTAAAATTGCACTGATCTATATAAAACCTCCAGCTCATTGGCATGCATTTTCATGGAAGGGTTTGCAGAACCTTAAGAGCTAGGAGTCAAACACTCTAATCGAATCACCTGTATACGGTCGAATTTGTTATTATTACTGCATCACGCGCTTAGTGTTATTTTAACCTTTTTCTTTTTTCTCTCAGTTTGTCGTGCGCGTCTGGACTTGGCTTTCTTGATTGACGGTTCTGGCAGCATTGAGCGTTCAGGCAGAGGCAACTTTCGGCGCTGTCTAAATTTCGTCAAGAGAATGGTATCTTCCTTCAAAGTGTCACCCTCCTACACCCGGGTTGGCGTAACTCTCTTCTCATCTCGAACTTGGCTTGTTTTTGGTTTCAACCGTTTCAGAAATAAGCGACAGATCTACCGAGCAATAGATAGAATCAGGTATCCGAGTGGAGGAACAAGGATTGGAAGCGCACTACGCTTTGTAAAATACAGACTTTTCCAAGGTAGCAGACGGCGAAAGGTGGGCATTGCAAAGTTAAATACTTTACGTATTTGCTTAGGAAAGGAATCATTTTCAGGAACTTAGATGTCGCTCATTAAAAACTGAAACTGAGCATTTAAGTTCAAATGATTCCGCCATTGAATAAATGATGTGAAACTTGACAACAGCAAACAGGACACATTCATTTTTTTGTTATTTCTTTTTCCCGTGGAAAGCAGTCTTTTTTGACAGCGACATTAGAGTTTAACGGTGTAATTCTGTTTATCTTACAATGCAGCAACTAAAAAACAATATTGCAATGGTAAGCTGTCTATATTACAGCTATAATAATCAATTTACCCACATACTGCCTCCGATTTAACTTTGATGACGTTAATGTTCTGGATTTATTTCTTTTATTAGGCCCTTATTTTGCTAACGGATGGCATGTCGCAGGATCGAGTCTTAAGGCCATCTCTCGCGCTTCGTCACAGTGGAGTAAACACTTTCGTAGTTGCAATCGGAAGAAGAACGAGCCGTCGACAATTGACTCAAATCGCGTCCAGTTCGAAGAATGTTCACAGAACAAGCTTTGCCAGGCTAAACTACCTTGTACGGTCCATCAAGACACAAGTCTGTGCAGGGAAAGGTAAGATTGAAACTCAGTTTACTTTTGCTCTGGTAATTATATGTGGGACAACGTCATGTTTTTAACACAAATGAAAGTGAATGTCAAGGAAGGGGTTTCAAATTATGAATTATTAGTGCCATATTTCTTACTGTGCTTACTTCTCCAAGACGTAATATTCCCCTCTACTTGAGCGTTTACGATTTTTGCTTGCTAGATAAGTATAAGGTTCCTTGGAAATTTTCAAGTTGAACCAGAAAGCTTCGTTGTGATGATAGAATTTTTGACATATCGGGACCTTTGGCTTATTTCTGCAAAATTGCAGTTTAGTTGTCGACGCATCGATTCGAACTGTTCGGATGGCAGTCTGGGTTCGAGCCGTAGCGTTCCCATAGCGAAACCCGGTGATGGACAAGTATCTTGTTCAGTGGGTGGAAGTTGTAACACTTGTGGGTGGTTTATACTACAAGGGAAACTTCTAGCTCTGTGTACCTTTATGGTTGTGAACACCTTTACTTTCCCTGAATTGTTACAAAAATGATTCTTCATTGCGCATAAATAATAAAATGCATAATATTTATTTCTATCACAGTCCCAGCTGGGTCCAGGCCTTCTGGTCGAGGTAAGTCAATGCCTTAATAGCCCATTTTGGAGTTCTCTATGACCGCTGAATTGAAGAAGTGAAGACGCATTTTTTACAGCCTTAGCCTCAATCTGAAAAAATATATTCACAAATTCCATAAGAAAATGACCTGTTTATTACTCTGTCTATTGTGTATAATCAAATTTCAAACACTTACTTGCCAGAATTTCTGAATATTTTACTTTACGTCGAGGCTAACCCTGTATGAATGTGTCGTTAATATTTGTATTCAGCGGTGATTTTTAATTCGAAACTGGACTATTTCAAAGTTCTATTTCTTGTGTTCTCTTTCATTTACTGATACTTTTATGGAACTCGTGCTCTCATTTAAATTCCATATACGTCTTGACTTCACTTTTCTATTTTTTTTTTATTCAGTGTGTCGTCGACGACTAGACCTGGCTTTCTTGATTGATGGATCTGGGAGTATCGAAACCTCTGGTCGTGGTAACTTCCAACGATGTATTGAATTTGTCAAGACCGTGGTGTCCTCATTCAGTATTTCCCCCAGCCGTACCCGTGTGGGGGTAGCTTTGTTTTCTTCCCGTGCTTGGCTAATACTGAACTTCTATCACAGCACGAGCAAGGCAAAAGTGTTGTACACCATAAGTAGAATCAGATACCCTCATGGAGGAACCAGGATTGGAAAGGCTTTGTACTTTGTCCTGAATCGGTTGTTTAGACGAAGCAGGAGAGCGCTTAAGGTAAAACTTTATAAAGGGATGAGGCTTTAAAATTTTCTTCCCAATAAAATGTTTTACGTTATTTCATTACTCGCGCAAAGGAATCAAATTCTTTTATGTTACCGGTGCATTTAAACCATAACTAACGGTCCATTTTCTCTAATCTCCTACGCACTGTATCAGAATTTCGTTTCCTCTGCAGGCTCTTGTCGTTCTGACGGATGGCATCTCACAAGACTCAGTTCGAAGACCCGCACTTGCTCTACGGAGCAGGGGTGTATGGGTGTTCGCTTTAGGAATCGGCAGACGGTACCGAATAAGACAACTTCAACAAATAGCTACAAACAGGCGATTAGTGTTCACCGGCAACTTTAGACGGCTGACCCAGGTGGCTCGACGAATCGCAAGAAGATTGTGCCGAAGTAAGATCCAAATTTAGTATCTTTGTTATAGATGTGAGATACTCGCCCTAACTCTAGGATTTCTGGCCCGTCAAGCAGCCACTATGGTAGCTTCAACGGTTTTGCTGTACTTGGCCCACGCCTCTTACCTAGGATAGCTTTATTTATTTAAGTCCTTGAATTACTTGTTGTTAATTGCCATCCAAACTGCTTGCATCTGATCAATAATAAACCTGTTTGTGCCAGGTCGCCCACTTCGTTCCAGGCCTTCCCTTCCAGGACCCATCATAAGGCCAAGTGGCCCCGGTAAGTCATTCGAATGTTGTATTTCTTGCATTCGATTCGTTTCTCAGCCAATCACAAACAACCAGATGCCTTAAAACAAAAATTTCTTTTTAATTTTGCCCGACGAAAGTGTGAAAAGTTTGTCAAAAGACCTGTACTTCGCATTTACAAGGGAAATCCGGAAATCTGGTCGGAAATCAAATGGTTCGCGCCATTCCCTTCGGGGAGCTTCAGAGGACATGGGTTGTGATTTGAGGGGATGCAATTTTTCTACTCTTTTTAGGGCCTGTTTACACGGAGTGGGGGACCCCGGTCTAGTGGGGTAAGTTTCTTTTGTTTTGTGTCCCCCAGAGCGTGAAAACAAAAGAAACTTACCCCACTAGACCGGGGTCCCCCACTCCATGTAAACAGGGTCTAAGTCTGTTTAGCTGATTTGGATATACATTATCGGTAACGGGTCGTTCTACCACCACGTCAAATTTCATAGTTTTATATTTATGCACAAGATTTCCAGCCGTTTGGTTTGTGTCAATGCTAAGCACCACAGGTGAAAAAAGAAACTGAGGAAAACCCTGTACGTAGTATTAGTAAAAAGACGTCGTAAAACAACGCCCAACGATGAGAACTGGGCAAACCCCGCCACTCGGTGCCCACGTAAGTTAGTTTCACAGCAAGGTCGGCAAGTGAAGACCTGAGAGTGAGTTAAACGTTGGCAACATGAATACCATAAACAATCAGGCAATCAAAGAGTGGCAATAAATCATTGCCGTGCTTATTATATAGCTCGGCATTGCGAACCTTCACGCGAAAGCTAAGCATTATTAGGATGATTTTAATAAAACTAGACCCTTTTAATTTTCAGTGTGTCGCAGACGTCTTGATTTGGCTTTCTTAATTGACGGATCTGGAAGTATCGAGGCGTACGGTCGATGAAACTTCCGTCGATGTCTCAATTTTGTCAAACGAGTAGTGGCGTCTTTCCACATCTCCCCGAGACACACCCGAGTTGGCGTTGTTTTGTTCGCTTCCCGTGCATGGCTAGTGTTCAATTTCAGACGCTTTAGAAGCAAACATAGCGTTTTATACGCTATAAGCCGCATCAGGTACCCGAGAGGAGGTACGAGAATCGGACGCGCGCTAAAATTTGCCAGATATCGGTTGTTTAGAAGAAGGAACAATAGGCGGAAGGTAAGTGTTGAATATAAAGTCCTTCATTCAGAGCCATTCCCCAATTGAGTCGGATCCAGTAATGTCCATCCCGTGGAAAGTGTTGACGGTCGGACAGTTTTTGCAATTGCTGATTTATGACACTTTACAGTTGAGTATGATGAAAGTTTTTGAAAGCAAAGGTAAATTTAAGCCTTCTTCGAAATCTTAGATTCTAAATGTCTTAGAATCGTGCCCTCAAGTCTTCGAAAAAGAATGCTTTTAACCAGACTACCCTGTTAAGAAGCTATCAAGAATCCAAACACATTTTTGAAGCCGGTTTAAGGTTGGGTTAGGTTGCGCCTTGTCGCCTGAAACCACTCTGTGTTTGGAAACCTGATGAAAGACTCCTTCTTGTGTTTAAGATAGCATTAAGATTCCGAATTCCAGGAAGAAAAATAAGTTTTGCTTGTTGGATAGCTCTAATATCCATTTTAACGGACACATCAAAGACAAATTGCTCGTGGCTTGTAACAATGAAATACGTCATTGACGCAACAATTGTCACTTCCTTGATGTTACTATACATGTATATGATCTACGATTTCCACTCCAGGTTCTTATCGTCATGACTGATGGTATTTCACAAGACAGGGTTGTAAGACCGTCACGTGATCTCCGAAACACGGGCGTGCGTATTTTAGCACTTGGAATCGGCAAAAAATTCAGACAGGTTCAGCTTATTCAAATGGCAGCGAGTCGACGATATGTGTTCAACGCTGATTTCAGAAGCCTGAGCCGAGTGGTGAGGTCCATTAAACGAACAGCATGTGGAGGTAATTAGAATGGGTTATGGCGCCATAAACCAGTGGTTTGTTCAATATAACTAGTGAACACTCTTTTTATAAAAACCTTTTTGCAAGAACGTTCAGCATTAAGTTTGCCAAAATATTAAGAACATGCTAACAACATACCCGATGCTCAGAGACAAACAATTTATTTTTCACTGCTTTTAAATCGTACTTTCCTAAATCCAGAAAATCTGTTTTACATAATGGTCCACATGGAATCAGAGTGCAAGTAAAATTTTGTTTTTTCAGCACATTCCTATCGTGCATGGTCAATGATACATTTACATTGTACTTGTACAATTCATTAATGTGAAAACTATACTCATTATCTTGTCTTGCCTATATGTACCTTAAAGTTATCAGATTTCCGTTACTGAAATTTAAGAACATCCGTAAGGACATGTCCAGGCTGAAACTGCCCAGAAAATAAGAACGGAAAATAAGAACGGTGCAGGCTCGACTCAAAAAGTGGACGTTCTTATAAAAAAGAGTGTAGTACAAGTGTAATGTACAAGTGTAGCTGTAGTTTTCAAACTCTGAAGAAACTTAATAGTCACTTGCCTTGGTTCGAGATTCCTTCGGGATTGAAATATGATATGCTTTCATGAGACTATGTACGTGTCTTGCAGAAGCTGGGCGAGGTAAGTGAGAAAAAAAAATTGGAAACCCAATTTAGTTTAGTCAAATCGTTTATTTAGCAATAAAACAATATCAAGTTAAAAGGGCAACTTACGTAAAGATTTCACCTCGCCTAATATGCGCATTGTCATGCCTGGAATAGCTAATAAACAATCTTGTCGCTGTGTTGTAGCCAAACGACTGGGCCGAGCGAAAGGAAGAGGCCGAGGGGGGCGTCGTATACGCTGGAGAGGATTCGGACGTAAATTGCGACGTGGCAGACGAATTCGTCGAATAATGATGAGGCGACGTGGACGACGAATTCGTCGTATAAGGATGAGACGACGGGGACGACGAATTCGAGGTGTACGCCGGCGTCGCAGGCGAAAAATGTTGCGTGGACGACGGATACGTCGCATAAGGATGAGACGAAGGGGACGACGAATTCGTGGAATACGCCGACGTCGCAGACGGAAAATGATGCGTGGACGACGGATACATCGCATAAGGATGAGACTACGGGGACGACGAATTCGTGGAATACGCCGACGTCGCAGGCGAAAAATGATGCGTGGACGAAGGATACGTCGCATAAGGATGAGACGACGGGGACGACGAATTCGTGGAATACGCCGACGTCGCAGGCGAAAAATGTTGCGTGGACGTCGGATACATCGCATGAGGATGAGACGACGGGGACGACGAATTCGTGGAATACGCCGACGTCGCAGGCGAAAAATGATGCGTGGACGACGGATACATCGCATAAGGATGAGACGACGGGGACGACGAATTCGTGGAATACGCCGACGTCGCAGGCGAAAAATGATGCGTGGCCGACGAATACGTCACATAAGGATTAGACGACGGGGACGACGAATACGCAGACCAATCAGACGAAGACGAGGAAAGCAAAGTATGTGGAACTGAAAATCGCATATTTTAATTTATCTATGTTGTTTTAAGAAACGGTCTAGATAAGAACGATAGCAACAACGGCAACGAACATGTTGGAATGCAAAAAAGGTGATAACTTTTCTACTGTCTGTACTTACTTCTGATTGGCTTAAACAGCAAAAGTTAACAAAACTCCGTAAAGCAGTACATATATTCATCCTTACTTTCCAACCATCTTCCATATAACAAAATCTGGTCTCAGTTGGAATAACAAAGAAATGCTATGTGGGGAACATGTAAAATTGTAAACTTTTTTTGGCTATTGTTTTCAACTCTTGTGATTGGTCAAAATCTTTTAAAACAAAAAAACACCTTTTCAAAGTGGAGTGTAAATGCATTTTATTGCGTAAACGGCCTTCATGTAGGTTTATGCATTCTCTGTGTAAAAATGAGAACGTTCCTATGTGGGGAAAGCACCGTTGCCGCATAACAAAAGAAATTACTATCCACCTTACCCGGATCATTACTTAACTCTACAGCAGTGGTGCATAAAACGAGACGTAAGTAGCAATAACCTCCTTGCGACTCTTTTCCGCAGGGGCCGGAAAGAAACGAAGCTTAGTTATTAAAATACCCAACCATAACGATGGCATTGGAGAGTCATCAGGCAATAATCTCCAAATGGCGTGGGGCGAACGAAGCACAATAGCAAGGTCCAAGAATTCAGGTGAGTGACTACAACGTCAGCCCTGATTACGTCTGTTAATAGAGTGACTAAGATTAGACCCATGAGCCCTTGTATGAGATTATCTACCCCTCCCCCCCTCCCCCGCTTCCGCCATCGATTTCTTCTTCCAGGAGCCAGATTCACAGGCGCCTCCTGACGTATCTCCTAATTATAAACAACAGATTATTGTTAAGATGGCCAAGCAATAAATTGAATTGCTTCGTGATGACAATATGACACAATCTTACATACGTTGTGAGGATCTAATACAATGAAGAAGAAACCATCACAATGATGAGCATGGTTAAACCTCTTGAGCTGTGCTGAAGTTTCAAACTCGATCATGACCACCTTTCCTACATCCAATATCCTAGGCGTGTGAATTTGTCAATGCCATGACGAAGCAAGGCTTCTTAAAAGGAGCACAAGTTTGCAAACCTTGTCATAATCTCATCACTAGAATGTTGCGCAGTCAGTGTCATTTGAATATGCCTGTGTCCAGACTATTGCATGGCAGTTACCTTCGTCCATTACCTGTTACAAATCTGGCTAACGCAGACTACCTATTTGCAAACCATGATAATTCGTTTAGGCTCCTGCTTATCATCGGTATTTCATCTTACCATCGCTGTAATACCTGTACAGCATCAAGGACAGATATGAAGGAACGCTGTAAACTGTGATAACTCTCTTAGGCTCCTGCTTATTATCGGTAACTGATATTTTAAGTATTTCATCTTGTTATCGAGAGATATCTTACTATTGCGGTGTTTTCTCTACAGTATCAACGACAAGAATGGACGCAAGCTGCCTGTGGCTCTTCAAATCGTCTGTAAACAATTCTGTTCTTAGTGATGAAGTAAGTGGTCGAAACATCCATCTAGAGGGCGGTGCCCTTATTACAAATACAACAGAGAGGGGTCTGGTTGTAGATACCAATGGCGGATGGATTTCTCTGAAAGAAACTAATGGTAAGTTCCGTAGAAACGACGTTAATAACTGCAACAAACGCGTCAACAGTATAAAAGAGAAAGTCTATCTTTCCCAACTCAACGATTGTGAAGGAAGAAGGAGAATATACTGAAGAAGGCCTTTTTTACTTCTAATTGTGTGAAATTCATTAATTGAATCCAATTTTGTCCTTCCGAGAGGATATAAAGAGGACTGAAAAGGAAGAATGTTCATAGTCTGAGAAATGACATGGATAATTATCATTATTTTATTAGTTTTTTGCCAAGTCAGTATCGCTACGATTTTGCAAGACTGTATACAGAAAAATCCTTACATTCGCGAACAAAGATTTTAGTCTTGAGGCAGTAGGCGTTGGCCGCATGTCATTATTGCTGGCGTAGTGATGAAATACATTAGCGTAAAAACGCTTTTTTTCCATATCTGAAACTTTAAATGCTTTTATTGCGTTAAGCGCTAACAAAACTGAATTATTCGTTCAGACACCTGCTTTAGTGATCCCGGACGCTGCGCAGACAACGGCATAACGGTCATGTCGTGGTTAAAACTCAACAAAACGTCGCTCAACAAGAAGACAAGCTCCTACATCATGTCGAGTGGCGGCCAGTCTACTAAAGCGCGTGGTTTTGCCGTTTTGTATTTGCCATCGAGGTACATCGTGATACTAAGCATAAAGAACAAACAGTGGAAACTGGACACACCTGTTCTTCCCAGCGGTTGGTTCAACCTCGCTTTCACTTGGCGGGAAAAGGGTCAACTCAAGCTTTTTGTCAATGGTACCTTCGTAGCCAGCGCTAGTCCGGCTCTTGTTTCCAGACCTCAGGATTCGTTCACAACATTTGTAATTGGTCGGCCAAACAATTCGAATCAACTGCTGTATGACTTCCCATTAAAGATTGATAACTTAGCGTTCTGGGAAAGAGAACTATCTGAGCGGGAAGTCAAGACTGGTATGTGCTTTTGCTTTTTGACTGAATTAATTTAAGGACATTGCAATCAGTGTTAATTCTAGCTATAATTCAAGTTTAGTAGTTTGCCTAACATTATGGAAGCAGATTATTTCGAAAAACACCAGGAAAGTTGATTTTACCAAAAATAATATCCAGCCCTTGAAAATAACCTGTCAGACTGAATTTAATGAACTGTTTTTTTATTTTACCAGCAATGCACTTTGAGTCAAGCAAACTGAGTAAATTTCAAGGGAAAGACCAGAATAATTAAGGTACGGTATTATTTTACTGTGATCTTACCATGACAATTGCTTCAATACCATGTTTTGTGATGAGACATTTTTATAGTTACGTTTGGAGAAAAGTGGAGATTCCTAAAGTGCGCGGCTGGTTAAGAACCCTTGGATCGGTAGCGCGACGTATAATTGATTAAAAATCACTTTCTGCTTAGAAGCGAAAAAGTTCACGTTCCGTTGACATCAATGAGCAGAAATTGTAGACTGGAATAGAAGTGAATGCAGGACTACATAGCACTCACGTGACCTCAGGACGGTCACGTGACAAGAGAATTGCATCAAAGATGTTTGATAGTTCAAGCCCGCCATCACGGTTGCAATTCTCTTGTCACGTAACCGTCCTGAGGCCACATGACTGCTGAAAGCCAATCCATTTTTACTGAAATCAGGAGCGAAATATCTAGAAGCAAACGTTTTATAGGTTCCAGTCTATAATTTCTTCTCATTCACTCTCTGTTTGCCTTTCTACTCAGAGATACCGCAACCCAAGATCATGAAACGACAGATGGTCGATAGACGTGGCAAGATATGTTGATATAATATTTTGGGATTTGCATTAGACTGTGTCTAAACTTTTACTATGCATCAATAACGATGAATATTGAAAAATAAATTATCATTGTACTTTATCACGCCTCATTTTGTTGACATAAATATTATCCTGGCCCCCAGTTGTTCAAGAGGTGGATGACGCCTCAGAATATTAATTCCTTCCACACGAATTTGAAGCAATTCGCAAAAAGACTCTCACTGGGGCAGGCCTCGTCTCTACATGAACGTCGACAAGAATTCACCGGCAATCAGAGGTTAATGCGTACAGTGACGTTATGGACAAATTGGTACAGTCAACTCTCTCTTAACGGACACCTCTATAAGACGGACACGTCTGTAAAACGGACACTTAGAGTTGGTCCCTGCCTTTCTTTACTCTCTTTATTTGACTCTCTATAAGAAGGACACCTCTCTAAGACGGACACTTAGTGCAGGTCCCAAAGGTGTCCGTCTTAGAGAGAGTTGACTGTATCTTTTCTATCATTATAACATAGAATCGTAGACTTTAACATCCTCGTTCTATTCGACTGGGTTTCTAAACTTGATTGTATACTTGGTTACAAACCTAGCTTCTGCAAAGCGAAATGGAAGGCTTTATATTGAAAGAAAAAAGGTTAATGCAATTCTATATTAAATGGATTGGAGGCTTTCGAAATGTTAGTTTGAAAACATTTTTATTTAAAGGTACTATGCGTTACAGTTCGACTGTAGGGTTGTCAGATACATCATTCTTCTTACAACGTAGGAAATGTCTTAAAGGGTGCCATAATAAGAACCTCTGAAATCATAGCTGGCACTGTTCAAATATCATTAGCCTCTAGAGACTATATACAACACAATACTCTTCTCAGCAATGTATTAGAAATATCTAGGTTGGGTTCCGAAGTTTTCCAAACAAGTTGCTTTAAAATCTGAAAAAGTTGCTCTCAACACAAGCAGACCACCTTCTGTTCTTGGGCCGAACAGAGGGAGATCTGCCCTTGCTCTCAAAAATTGTTTGTAACCAAATATTGACTGGATCATATTCGAACTACTTTCATTTTCATTTCAGTCTTGCTTATTATTATTCCATTTAAACTCATTCCTTCATTTACTTTCAGAGTGCTATTCATTGATTTACCTGTGGTCGTTAAGAGAGCTTACATTAGCATGTTAAAAACCTATACAAATGGATCAACTCCTAGCTATGGTGTAAAACTAGTGATTTTCAACATTTGTCTCTATCCTTTACGCTATATATATGCACATTTGCACTGTCATATATTGCCAAGAAAAATAACTTTTGCGTATCTCAGACTACGTACCACAGTCAAGCGTCGCTGTCAATCTGACAGCTCCCCAGCGAAAACGGATTCATGGAGATATTCGCTCCTGTTGGTATTCAGTTTCCTCGACTGTCCATAAAGTAGAAACTCCCCTAAGACGGACACTTAAGTGAAGTTCAAAACGTCGAGAGCTTGTTTATGCGTTAACTACCAAACGTGTAGTTAAGGTGGCTAGATTGGTCAAGTTTTTGAATGGATCGTTCCTTAGACTAAACTAAATAACGTCAGTCACCAAAATTACTTTAATTAAGTTATTTTATGTTAGGTTATTATTATTATTAGGGGCGTAGCTATCAGTATGCACGGTGCGCACGTGCGTACCTGATCACGAAAGCCAGTCGAGTGTAAAAAAAAAATCGAATAAACTGATAAAAGATTACATCAACGTAGAGTGCTTTTGTCAGTCAAAGACAATATGGCAAATAAACAAATCAGTCAATTGTAAATTAAAGACTGAGATACTTAAGCGCTAAAGCGATTGATGATAAACCCAAAAAGTCGTCAAAGAAATCTGCGACTTACTAATGTCATTTCATAGACAGTAAAAACGCTTTGGCTTGTAGTGTAACCTCACCTTTCATCAAGGGGTAATAGATTTGGGACTTAGGGAAGGGAGCTGGGAAATTTGAAAACTGAATTGTGTGTACCTGTGGAAAGAATCCTGGCTGGCTACGCCCCTGCCTGTCTAAGTTATACTACAACGCCTACTTTCCAACTCCTGAAATTACCGTTGTTTAAATCAATATATGGCCAGTGCAAAGCTGTGATGCCCTCACTTCAGGCATGCCCTAAGATTACCTCAACTTTTGGCTTGGTTTTAATTTGACTTTTCTTGGTGCGGACAGAACTGATGACTTTCTACTTCCATTGGCTTCTATTAAGAGCCTGCAAATAACAATAAATAGTATAAGTAATTCAGTCTCAAAAATGACTTCAGGTTAGACTGCGAACAGTCTATTTTTTTTTCTTCAAAGTTAATCCACGCGTAACCTATGCACCCAAGCAGCGAGCTGTGAATCCGTGAGCAGCAATAAACGTCTTCGTTTGCAAACGCGCTGGCTCAGATGAGAACTCGGTGGATAATGAGAGAAAAGGCGTAACTTCTGTAACTTTAGGTGTACTTATTGAGAGAGGGCTTATACCGTCGTGTATAGTGATTATCGTGACAAAGTATTGCTTTTTTAAGCCATTAAGACGATTACAGCATCCCATATTTATATTCGCAGGTATAGAAATAGAATATATTGAGCGAAGTTATCACAGAACGTTTTCAGTGCAGCTGTTCTGGATTTGGAAACTCGGATGAGGGATTTAGATCTGTAGGAAAAGAAAGGATTAAAATGTACTTCATCAGCGAAACGTTTGTATAAGTGAATCTTCCATATTGTCTAGCTTCATGTAGATACAGTTAGTGAATGGGTGATTCCCGGGGAAACCCCATATATACATTTGACGGGGATGCTAGTCGGAAAATTAAAATTAAATCTTTAAGGGAGACCAGTGTGAGTGTGGCTCAAGCTTAAACTGACCCCTAAAGGAGACTATAGTAAAACAGACATTGCGGCATTTTTTGTAAATGTCTTAATGCAGAGCCCTGAGCGATACCTGAATAGGCAAATATAGTGACCTTTGGTCCCAAACACCCTAAGTGAGACAAAAATCTGCAATTTACACTTCTACGGGAGACGACCAGTATCCCCGTCACTTGCTCATGGGAGTCCCCCGCGAGGGGTTATTGCACGAGCCACATATTAACGAAGAGAACTTACAGTTGTGTTTTGTTTTTTGAGCCCTTGTTACCAGGCTTTATCCAGTAAAACTTGGCAGGGCCGTGCTTTGACACAAATGATATCTCAGAGGCCATCCCGTTGATCATGCCTTTATGGAATGACTCATCTTTTAAATGATCTGCCCTATTTTCATCAGTTTTATTGTCCTTTTTATCGTGACTTCTAGCCTTCATTAATCTAGGTACGTCTTGCTTTGAGACTGCATCTTCATCATCGACATCATCTTCCTCGTCCTCGTGGCTACTTTTGTGTAATTTATGTTTTTTACGTCTATGCCCATGGCTTATTTTTTCATCATCGCCTTCATTATCACTATCATCATCATCATAGCTTTCATCATCGTCGTCATTATCATGATCTTCGTGGACATCGTCTTTGTTGTCCTCATCTTCATCGTCGTAATTTTCTTTTTCTGACACGTCTTCTACATCCGGGATATCATCATTGTCCGAGTCATCTTTCGAGTCGTCTTCATCATCGTCCTCTTTAAAATGAACAGTCAAAATGTATTAGTTCAGTGGTCCTGCTGGCACCCAGCTCTTGTTTCAGAAGCACTGATAAAAAAAGTTGACTGCACTTCGCACTCCCCCATGTAAGGGTCTTAACGTATTACTCTACTACTAGGTTGTCTTATAGATGAAGGCGGTACTAGGCGCAAAAGGACTTCCCGGAAAAACTTCTGGGTGTGAGTTAATTGTCCAGTGGAGGTTTAGAGATGTTAGTCTGCATCAAACCGCCAAAGCTACCTTGTTCCGTCTATTATATTGTTCAGTAGGTTTTTCTCTTTTTATTTGTCAACAAGAATTTGCAGTTGCTTATTTCTAACTTGGAGGAGGCTAGAGATCAAGGAGTGCCTTATTATTCGTTATTGATAAAACGTTATTTTGACGGAAAATGTAAGAATATTTCTTATAATCAAATTATAGAGTTGAACTTGCCAGAACAGTGTGCGTATTGATCAAATGCGTCTATAAATCGAGTGCACACCTAGGCATATTTGCCTCCGAATTAACAGTTTCAAACCGTTTCCAAAGCTGTTTTTCCAGCATTATATGTAATACAGAAAGATATTTTAGTTTCCTGTCCATTTTAATTCTATTTTATCGCTCGCTCTAGACGACTTTATTTTGTGAACCAAATTGCACTGAAAGCTGTTTTACCGTCAGTTTTCATCACGCGACCAGGCGGAATAAAATGAGTCAATGATGACTTATGTAAAGCAGCGGTTCGGGCCAGGTGTGATGTTTTATTCTTTTTCATCTTTGCACAACTTTGCCAGTGTATTAATGCTTGTTATTTACCTACGCATTCGTCCAGTATTCGTTCAGTATTGGTAATAAACGTCGGTTTACACTGAGCGTCGGCGACACAGTGAGCTGTCAAGTCAACTTTACATGCCTTTTCAAAACATGGGTCGAAGCCGCATATCGTAGTGGCGGGTACTGTTAAGATGCCTGTTAGTTTAAAGAAGAAAGTCGCTGAGTGGTACAAACATGATAATGAACTATGGTGGCACAAACGTGGAGGGTTTGTTCATACGTTGTGCCCGAGTACGGTAATAGCTGGGCACCAATGGGCCCAATACCTGGAACACCCTTTTTATGGTACCCACGCCCGACGCTCGTGTACACAGTCGAGACCTTATATACTGTTTTCGTACCCCTAACTTCCTTGTCACTCACGCTTCAAAATGGTTTCTGACGGGGTGATATGGAGCAAACACAGTTACATATAGGGCACCCACGGTGTGAGCAGAACACCATTTTGTGCTAGTACCCAGGAACGAGCGAGTGGGCACTAAATCTAAACATAGCCTAATAGTTATTTAACAACATGTCAATCACTTACCTCTGCAGTAAGCTCTTTCTCCGTCTGCACCAAAAAAGATAGGCTTGCACTTATAGGACACTACACAGCGCTCCGCTTCATTCGTGAAACAAGCAGATTTTTCACAGGGGTTGAAATGACAAACTTGTTCTGGAGGAACAGATAGCACAACTGCATCTCCTGCAATAATAAAAAATGTGTAGTTTGTTTTGCCTAGTTCGTTAATCGATCTCTTCTAGGCGTAAGCCTTGAAGTGGAATTTCTGATCTACAACCAAACAGGGTTGACGAGAATGTAGTTTTTACTCATAAAAAATTTAAACCAATGCTCCATTTTATGTCAAAGAATTGTCCAACCCGCGCGCCCAGCCGAAAATAAACAACATGAAAATATAGATCTACGTGGAAATTAGGAATTATGCAGCAAATGAACACGTCCGGAAATACAACTTCTATAACAAGGTTCAAAGAACAAGACCTTAACAACCAGTCTGTCAAAATAAATCATGACCAGAGTGTCCACAGAAAGTTTTAAACTCTTACCTTTGCATGACTCGATAATTTTTCCATTCGTGTTAAAGAAAACTGGTTTGCATTCGGAGTCGCTTACACACATGTTTGTGGGAGTGGTTAAACATTTAGCCACCTTGCAAGGATGATAGCCGCACATTTCAACTGGGTCCTTCCGAATGAGGAAATTCTCGTCTGAGGTTAAAAAGGAAAAAAATCACTGGAGTTCGCAAAATACTTGTTAAAGGTCAAATGAACCAAAAAATTGGCATATTTTCTTTTGTCGCTTTACCTTCACCAAACACTAAAAAGAACCATCCTAAGTGAGATTTGGGTAAAGATTTTTCTTCCCAAGCCTTCACAGAAAGATAAAAGATCAAAATTCGAGCATTCCCGATGACTTCACGAAAACGTTTCTGAAATGGCCGCGTGATAGACCATGTAGACTGGAGACTACGTGACGTGAATGTTGGTCTTTCAGGGCGGAAAAACGTTCTGCGCAAGCTTCTGCGCATCCTTTATCGTCTGCGTTTGTCGCGTTTGTTTGTCTCGTTCTTTGAGAGTTCTGAGTGAGTGAATGAAATACACGAGGTGCGAACGTTTGCTCGTTGTAAAGGCTTTTTTTTTTGTTTCTGTTGTTGTTGTTTTTTCGTCACTTGAAAATTACTTTGGATTCAGAACAACCGATGTTAGAGTAAAAACAGATCATTCCGTCAGTCTGAGGTGGAAGAAAACGTTTTGAACATTTCCAAACAGGTTTGTATTTTTCTAATACTTGTGCATTCGATTTGTGAGTTGATTTTGTGTCCAGTGCTTCGCCTTCTTTCGCCGGGTTGAATTAAAACCTGCTTGTATTCTCTTATTAGTAGTTATGGTTACTTTTTTTACATGCCCAGATTTATTTACCTTTGCAGAATTAGCTTTATCCTTGTCTTCAGTCAAATAACCGTAACGGCTAACGCATGCGAGTGAACAACCTTGTGCGCTTTTAAGTTTTTAAGTTTTAAAAACTTTCTCGGAACTTAAGAAGGCCAGCAAGCTTACTCGAGAAGAAAAGACTACTTCGATCATTTTTCTGTTGCTCAAGTAATAATAGTCAGAATTTTTTTTTTCTTTAGTTTTTTCAGTTTTAATTACATGTACATAGTTTTGTTATCTTACTGAGTGGAGAACGACAACTGCCGGTAGTGACTATAAAACAATCGACTCTTTGCCCGTAAACAATTGCTGGAGCTGGATTTGACTGAAGCGAGCAAAATAAATCCTTATGTGGAGTTTGCTGAGTTTAATTTGCTTGAATGAAGACCCTCGCATGAACCAGTTATTAAAAATAGCTAATCTAGCTACATTGAAGTAGTCGGAATCATGGCTTGGCTGCGAAGCTTTCAACTGATTTTTTGCTTTTAAGATCTTCACAGTAGGCTGTTTCCGTACAGAAAATTCACTTCTTTGTCAGCAGGTATAAGAGCCTTAAGCCCTATATTTTTTTCATGAAATATTTTAGTGATCTGCGAAGCTAGAAGTGTCCGATCGAGCGTGGGTTTTAAAATACGCTGTGGCTATAGCGTTTAAAATATCAGCCCGAGTGCGACAAAGTTCAGTGACTTCAAACACATTGTGGCCGGCAAACTTGAATTTCTTTGTCCACGGTGGAGCTTCGGACCTTATATATCCAGGAACTTCCTTATATGAACACATTTTGTGAATGCATCTTGAAAAAAATCGGACTTACGCACGCACATTTCCAGTACAACTCAAGGAAATTAGTAAATGTCGTTAAAGACAAATTGCCTGTTCTTTTCAGGTTTCTGGCCGCACAAACCACTTCTGCGCCAAGCCGACTCGAAAAACTCTGTTTTGAATTTCCCGCTTTTTTTTCACCTGACCAACATTGACGTCACAAGCTGTTTTTTCCGACAATTTTTCCGATCGCTCTACGAAGACAAGGGCGAAAAAACAGCAATTTTTAATTGCGAATATCTCGGAGATACTTGCTTCAATTGAGCTGAAACTTCATGGTATGTTTATTTGGTTCATATTAAACACATTTCAGTAGAATAGAACTAAAATAAAGAATGTCGAATTTTTGTTCATTTGACCTTTAAATGAACGAATTTCACTTTCTGTGAATGTAACCGAAAATGCAGTCGAACCTTTAACAACAGTCACCTCCCCTCAACGTTCACGTATTCCTATGGTTTACAAATTCCGCTCGATTTCCGCAGCACTCCATAATAATCAATTAATCGCTAAAGTGCGCTCCAAGTTGCCAAAAAAAAAAATCTTAACAAGGGCCGTCTAACTCCACTACTAAAAAACAGCCGCCTATCCACAAAGGCAACTAAAAAGGGTCGCAAGCTGCCAAAATAACCTCTCCACTAAGGCCGGCCATGCAAGTCCACCTCCAGTTAAAACTTACCCCTCTTCCTATTCAAGGAGTATCCACTTTTAGGTGAAGGTTGGGCTGCAGTATTTTACCCGTCAAGTGGTTTGGTGTTAGAGAAAAAATGTACACTCACCTGGACAACTGTGATCGTTGCATCGTTTCCTTTGAACGCGTGGTCCGTGGCAGCCGTGTGAAGGTTTTCGACATCTGCGTCTTCTTTTTTTCACTCCGCCACCACACGAATGGGAGCATCTACTAAATGAAGACCACGGACCAAATCCCAGCGTTGCTGAAACAAAGGCCAACGACACCTGGTTAGTAAACTATCGTTCAAAAATAGTTCTCCATATGAAACCTATACCTAGTAAAAAAAATTCTAATGATGCGTCATGCCGCTTGAACATATTCTTGTACCTTATATGTAAACCAGGCCGTAGTAAACGTGACTTACATTTACAATGTTTCCTAGGGCATTTCATCTCCTGAACTAGTGGCCCTGCGCACGGTTTTCCCCCATTTGCTGGTAGTGGGTTGTTACACTTCCGTTTTCTTTTTCTTTTTGATTTCCCACAGTATCGACACACAGACCACGAGGACCACTCTGACATACCACCGTTAACTGCAACGTATAATGCGACTAGGTTTTCAAAATCTTTACTCTCGTTACACCTTTGAGTTGTGTTAGACTAAGGGTGAATATATTTTTTCCTTTTTTTTAAATTGTGCTAAAGTACTGCCTTTTATTATGGTCTTCAGGTCTGGATCACAATGAAAATGAGTTTCAGGTGAGGGTAAAGATGTCACTATATTTGGCGAATTGATCAGTTCTACTTATGTAAACATTAACTTGAGACTGGAGTTTGTTGAAGCGAGCCCGGCCTTTTGCCTACCCCCAAATGAATTAATTTACATTAATTTGAGAGGTTGGCAGAAGGCCGGGCTCGCCTCAACAAACTACAATCTTAAGTTAATGTTTACTTAAGGTCCTTAAGTTGAACTGATCGATTCGCCAAATAAACTGACATCTTTAATATATATATGTATGTCTGTGAAAACGTTAGTGCCACAGTAAAGTATGTAGCTCCGTAACATTATAAAACGTCACAAATTTCAAAAAAGAAAAGCATTTATGACTGAAGAGTTCAGCTTACCAATACCAGAAAGTAATAAAAAGACAAAATCTTCGCAAACATGTTGTATATCATATCTTACGTTTACCTGGACATTTCTGTGATGCGCATGGTCTTGCTTGCATCCTCTGACCCACGCAGTCTTTTCCATTACCCTGTGGGGGAGGGTTAGTACAGTAACGCTGCCGGGTACTAACCGCGTTGGTGTTGCAGGTTTTGCTACAAGCTGACCATGCTGTCCAACCAGTTAATCCTCCATCCACTGACGACAAAACACAAAGGGGTCATGTTCAACCATAAAAATGTCGGGTAGTAAGAACCTAATAGTTTTTGGCGCTTTAGGTCATACACGAAGAGTAAAGTCTGTTAGAAAAGGAGCGAATAAACTTCTGTTTCTTGTGGGTTTTAATTTTATGTTTCAACGAAAAGATAATGTTGGCTCTTCTCGATCAGAAATTCCAGCTGAGACAAAGTTGCATGTAAATTAACTGATAAATACAGAAGTACTGAATTAAATCTCGACTACAAGTCAGCTTCGCAACTTAGATTGCAATTAGCATAGTTACATTCCTTTTCAACCAATTTCATTTCCTCTTTTGGAAGGTGAAAACGTACCCGGGCATTTGACCAACTGGCATGGCTTGGTCTGTTTGTACAGTCCCTGACAACCCGTCTTCACTTTGCAGGTTCGTTCACGTGACATCACAGCTTTGGGCGAACACGTGGCGGAACACTTTGACCAAGGCGACCAATCGGAATAGCCTGAATCTGAAGATGAGTTAACCGCTGATGAATTTGATGAGGTGATTGGAGGCTGAGATGGTTGAGGATTTGAATTAGCTGCTATTGAGACTGGTTCGTTCAATGTATCTAATGTGTCACTTAAAGCTGTCAGAAAATGAGAGGAAAGCAATATATTAGTGAAAGATAATGAATGGAAAGGCGAACTGTTAACAAAACTGTAAGTCATTGCTTAGTAATTTTAAAGCGGAACTATCATAATAATCTCCGACTTCTGGCTCTCCTGTAAGCGACCACCCGAAATTCGAAGATTTAGATGTCGCTTACAAGAATCGAACAACTGGGAGTCTGTTCCGAGAAGAATTCCAAACACATCTTCTGTTTGGAAAAAAATTATTGTATGCAATTTCTTAGTACCAACGTGTGAAGTTCCATGTTGTACTAAAAATTGTTCGCATACTGTGATCAGTGTAGTAGATACTGAAAACGTAGATGTCAGATCATGAGTCAAGTGGTTTCTTACCTCAAGAGGAAAGAAACGATGGAACATTAAAGAACCGTGACCACAAAAAGTGGTCGCAGTCGTCTACGAGAACTTAACTACAGGGCTTGTAAGCGAAGATTCTGGTGCTTTTTACCGGATAGGTATCGTTTATGGGAGGGGTCGCACGTGGGGGTTCGACATTATGCTAGATGAGAATTAGGAAGGCAGGGCGAGATAAACAAGCTAAACAAGAGAGACCCAAATCAATTCGGTCTCAAAGGCGGAAGCAAACTCAATTTGCCGACTGTAACTTGACGTTATTTTTGCCCGACATTTTTTTAACAGTTTCCATGTAGTACTCTAGTAAAGAGAATAATTACACTACAGTAATACTACCACCCTCGATGGAATACAAAACGTCGGACTCCTCCCTTCCCAGGGAGAAACCAATAAGCATTTATAGATATCAAATTCTTCACTAAGGATGTTGTGATTGTTTTTCTCCGACAAATCTCCCCCTTCAGTAGACAAGAGAAGCTTCGTTTTTTCTTTTTTGGTCACTCACCTTTTATGAGGGTATTGTTAGGCCTGACTGCTTCTTGCTCAGGACATAAAGGCACATTACACGCCATCTTTTCGATATTCGAACCAATGCACAGCTTTCCATCATTTTCCATCAGAGAGAACGAACACGTCTTCTCGCGTTTACGGTAAGAGCCACTACCACACGTCTTTGAACATTCGGACCAAGGGCTCCAATCGAATTCATTCTTCACGGAGACTGTCTCAAAAGTAACGGTATTAATGTCATTTTAAGGTTCGGTCAGTTTCCTCCAATCGCAATTTTTCTGATCAGTGGGTATCATTCATTTCAGAGATGTATTTACATTCGGCAGAGCTAAACGTAGTGGCAGTGACAAAGAATATGTAAATACTTTCCTAATGTCTGAAATAGCCTGCGTAGCAGGTTCTCGCGCATTCTATATAAAACCTAACCGCGCCTGCCACGAAGGATATGTCTGAAAATGATATAATAACAGAATTGTATGTTGAGGTAATTTTTTCACTCTCTTATCATGGGGAAAAAAGATTTCTTCCACCAAACATGTAGAACTCACCCTCGAAGGTTGCAGATGTTTTGAGGCTCAATTTAGCCTCTCCCACAGTTTATCTCTTCCACACAGTAAAACAATTAAGGGGGAAATAATATGGTTGCATCCTACTTGAGACAAATGAGAACCTGCCTGAAATAATTGAATTCCAATTCCATCTTCAATAAATCGCACTGATTTAAATAGAAAATTACACTCACTGTTATGCGAGATCTTTCCATTAATCCCTAAATCTTCATTCAAAGCGAGATCATGAGGACATTTTGGAAGAAAACACGGTTTAACTTCTGATGTGGAGCCAGTGCAGCTCTGACTGCTCGAGTTAAAACAGGATCGTTTACGCACGCGCAGTACATTTGAACCACAGGTTTTCGAACAAGGCGACCACGGGCCCCACTCAGTGAATCCATCGGTAGAATTTGTTGTGGGTTTAACTGCAAAACATAATGATTCAGGAAAATGGGTGTTGGAATTTGTTCAAGCATGCTTCTTAATACAATACACAGATATTTATACACAGATGTTGGGTAAGCCATGACAGGTACCAATAGACTGAGCAGAGAGACAGGGTATTTCCCATCCGAGACAGAAAACAGTGTAACAGTAATTTGAGCCATCCATATACAACGTCATCGATTTAGGAGCAAAAATGTTCCCTGTTAGCTGTCTTAGGAGTAAAAGGGAGTTAAGCCCTTAGGAAATGAGAACCGTAATGGAGTTCTAACCTTTTCTTGAATTCACAACTTCGTAAAACACTTTGCTCATATTATAAAAATCCAGTTTACGGAGGCAAGGAGACTTCAGGCAGTGTTGCCTTTCCGCATATCTCCCCTCGCAGTCTTCTCCACCGTACCTCGGGGGAGGGTTGGTGCAAGTTCTCTCGCGCTTCCGGTAAGAATCAGAACCACAAGTTTTGGAGCATTCAGACCAGTCACTCCATGGTGTAAACTGGCCGTCCACTTGAAATAAGAAAAAGTTAGGTCAAAAATGAGTCAATGAGTGTGAAAACGAACCTTTAACTCATACACAAACAAGTTGCTTCTGTGGGCTGGACGAAGTAGGTGACCTCAACTATCTCCTCCTATTTCCACGAATCCCCCCGCAGCGCAAGGGATACTTTTCTATCTCACCCAAAGCATCATATCAAAAGGAGGCACTATGAAGAGCGAAGCTCATGCAGTAACAAACTTTGGAACCATCGACTAAAGATTTCAAGTCCAAAGAAGAACGTTACCAAAATTACTTCAAAATTTACATTATTACTCTTTGCGGTTACTTCGTTGAGGCCTTGATATTGGAATGTATGCATGTTTTTTCAAAGTAATAGTCGCCAATGGGCACTTTTTCGTTAAAACCAATTACCTGGGCATCTTTGAATGCGACAGCGTCTGGTCTGTACTGTAGGTCCTAGACACGAACGGTCGACACCCATTACATTATAACTGCTTAAACATGAACGCGTTCGCGTTCGAACTCCACGTCCACATGAAGCACTGCAACTCGTCCACTCACTCCAAGGTGTGAACCCCACATTCTCGTTACTAACTTGCAAGTGAATAGTGTTCCCCCCATTTTCGTAGGTTTCCTGTGGTCCTCGTGGCATTGTCCTCATACCGGGTAGTATGTTTGGTCGAAGAGAGCCGGGTAAAAAGGCAGACCCGTGTGGTGGTCCCATAAACTCTTTAAACCCGAGCATGTTCGAAAAGTTAGGAGTACTTTGTTGCATGTTTAGAAGTGACTGCACGTCTCCCATATCCTGCTCGACACTTGCCAATCCACTGTACCTGGAGGGAGTCCCCTCGTTGACGCTGGTTTTAGTTGGAGCGCTTTGCTGCTTGCTTGCCATCCCCTCGATTAAAGGCGTTGCAGAAAGAGTTTTGAAAATGATCCGTTTGTTTGTTTTTGACTTTTGCAAACCAGGCAAAACCTTCGTGGTCTTTGAGGCTGCTGTAGCTGTTAAAGAAAATGACTAGACGAGTTCCCCTTTTAAAGATACAATTGCTACCTCTCGTCCTTTGCAATAAAAACCATTTTAACAATTTTTAGACATAATTATCACTTTTAAAGGGCTTAGGCCATGGCTCATTGATTCTCCATATTTAAAGCTCTCAAGCTATGACTACAGTCCTGGTCCTGGTGTATAATGCAATTGGTGGAATATTTGACCAGTGGAAAGCGTCATTCACTGGATACCCTACCATACACTATCAATATCATACAATTCATTACATCATCTGGGCCGCTTACTATAAACGCCGTTCATCCAATCAGCCTTCAAACTAGCAAGTCTTTTTTTAACAATTATCACAGGAACTTGTAACATTAATGTTTGTGCATTTCCCGACGTTTTCTTAATATTCGTTCAAAATATTTTACACCTATATTCCTGTTCCTATTCCAGGATGTAAACGGATGCTTTTCTTCCAGATACTCTTCAAAAAGTAGTGGTTTTCCTTTGGATGGTGTTTTTATGCTTATTTTTCCCTTCTTTGAGGCAATAATCTTGCTATTTTGATGAACTGAACTTTTTACCATTTTCTTGCCAAAAGAACTGAACCGACGTATCGCTGTCTTTTCCTGGCGTCAGTCAGTCCGTGTTTCAGTTTACTAAACATTTATGTTTCCCAAATTTGGTCAATGCTCGCTGGTTATGAAGAGGTAACCCTGAGGCTAAAGGCAATAAGGAACGAAGAAATCTGGTACTCAGTGTCATACCCGTAATCCAATCTAAAGGTCCTGTGTTCCCTCTATTGACTTAAAGAAAGCAACTTTCGTGCTCTTAACCTACCGCCTTTTAAGAAAAATTTTGAGATGTCTTTTTCTAATTTTAAGAAAATTATTTACCAGAAGTATGTGGACATTCCTGGGATCTACAATATTCAACTTCAAATCTCCAACCGGAACAATCTTTCCCTCCGTAAGCTGGAGGAGGGTTCGTGCAAAGACGCATGCGCATGCGTACTGCTTTAGGACCGCAGGTCTCTGAGCATGCAGACCACTCCGTCCACTTGGTAAATCCACCGTTAACTACGACAATCAAACAACACCAAATCGTCAATTATAAAAAGTAAAATGTTAGTTTCTAGTAAATTTGCCAATCTACCCCTCCCCTACCCAGTGTTAACCCTAGCTTCTTGCTAAGGGTTAATTTTGGCTTAGTGGAGGGGAAGGTGGGCAGCTTCCCACCAACCCCTCCTGTAACCCACTGTTGAAACTAAATTCTCAATTAAGGCAAAATGTTGGGTTAGGGGAGTGGTAGGTGTATGGGCAGTTTCCAAGGTTCGTCAATACAATTTAAAATGGCCTTTTAGTGCCCTTTCGAAGCCACTTGATAAAAATCTTCATTGCTCATTTCTCTTTGAGCAAGATTAGCAAAATGCGTAACGAACGTTACCAATTTCCTCTTAATTGCCAATCCAAGTGCCTGTTACACATGCAAGTAACATATCACGAGATTACGTCACTTATAAACTACAGCCAGTAGAAGAACGAGCATCTCAACGATTTCAGTACTGCTTTATTCAGTGTTAACAATTAATTCTTGATTTACTGCTTCAAGTCACAATCTTAGTCTGTAATATAAATCCATGATAGTTAATTCGTTGCTTAAGTGAGAGGGTAAGGGATCTTTGAGTTTATTTCAGTGGAAAACCTTACTTGGGCAGTTTTTGGGGACATCGCAGGGTACCATCTGGTGGTTCCATCCTGGGCATTTTACAAAACTGTCTGATGATGATTTTTCAATGCAATATCTCGAGTGTGTCTTCATGCTCCCGTTCCCACAAGTCTTTGAACACTTTGACCATGCACTCCACATTAAGTTTGAATCTAAGCAAATGTAAATGACCACAGTCAGATGATACCTTTGTGATAAGAAAAGTTCTGCGCGATCTGATTAGCTTACTCTGGGAATTTTAATCCATCTAAACCATAACAAATCAAACAAGGGTTATTCTAGTGATTTAAGAAGGTAATGTTCAACTCGTACCGATACAAATCCTCAAAACTGAATTTAAATAATGTTGACCTGTCTGATATGTTACAATAAATGAAGAATGGCACCGATAAATATTAATCACGGAAGAACAGAGAAATCTGTAAAAGCTCAACTATTTATTAACCAGAAAGGACTGCAAACGACTGCAAACAAATATGCCGAAGAACGTAGTCTATAAAGACCTGACCAGCAAAAATAACAAGTACACATAACAAATATCTGAAGACAGAACACTGTATGTATGTTGGGGCCGTAGATCTATCTTATAGATCTGATGTAATGTAATTTTGCTTAGTTTTGTCCATGTTTTTGAGGTTGGTTTTGGTCAATCCTTTATATTTTCTTTGCGAGACATCAACTTGACACTTGGACTCTTGTCCTTTAGGATGTACGTGATATGGCGTGATTTTGTGGGTGTTGGGAGCTCTAGGTTAGGGCTTAAATCAGAGTGTACGGGGTTATTTTCCAACAGAGCTCCTCTCTCTGTCTGTCACGCCATACTGATGAGCTACAATGATAGCGAAACAGCTGTCTAAGGTTTGAGTTCTCGGTGTCGAGTTGATGTCTTGCACAGTTAATTTTCACGTAGTACGATCAGCATTGCAGTGTTCTGTTTTCAGAATTTAATATGTCTATATATTAACACATTACTTTACCAATATTCTGTTTATTTTCTAAACGTTTTGATGTTTTGTACTTAAAAAACGTTTTTATTGTTTGCTGACTGTAGATCTCACTCATTCTTTCTTCCATTTCAAATTTGCAGTCTTGAAAGTAATTGAAGAAAGAGTCAGTTCTCAGAGTTGTTCTTACCATTCTTGCTAAAATCACTTGCAATATTATTTACTATGTTCTTTTCCTTAGAACCGTGATCCGGAAGGTCTGCAATGGTTTCTATCGCTCCTTCCCTCGCAATGCCTGGCTTCTCATCAATAGACCTTTTAAATGTCCCCGCTATTGGCCTGAAAAGACTTTCCACTTCTTTTTCATCAGCGCTGTCAATCTTTTCCAACTCTTTTAAATCGTTTTGGTCACCGCTGTTCACACTTCGTAGCACTGATGCGAGCTGATTTTGGTCGTCTGTACCAAAATTTGTCAATTCCTTGTAATCAGAATTCAAGACTTTGCCCTCAGGGGTCAAATCACGAAAAACACTGTCTTTGATACTGTCTGTCGTGCGTTGTTTCATTGCATCGGCTTCTTCATACTGGCGACTAGAACTGTGAATAAACTCTCTCAGTTTCTCTTGACTTTTTTCAAGAGACCCGTCGTCACTACTATCGTCTTTCGGAAACGCACTCTTGAATTGGTTTTGTAGAATGGTTCTTGAACTGATTGGCTCATCCGGATGATCCATCATCTTGTTCAATACAGGATCATCCATTGCCTGCACTGCACCCAAGTAGGTCAAATCATGTTGTCTTTCTTGTATCAAGGCGCGAGACAACTGCTTCTCAAATTCAGGGCTTCGAAACGTACCATCGTTAAATTCAGTGCTGAATTCTCCTAAATCTCTTTTCTCTGGTAATATTCTCGTCCTTGAATGGAATGCCCTGTTGGGCTTCTTTCGATGTGCGCCTGTATGTCGTTTTACACCGATTTCGACACCTACTTTCTGAAACATGTTTTTAATTCTGCTTACATCGTCCACTTGAACGGTATTTACATAATCCAGGTCACCTTCACTTTCTTTTCGCAGCGTTTCAAGGATTAAACCTTGAGCATCCAAGTGTCCTACATCATCCAATGATACAACGTCACCATTAAGAAGTTTGTTCTCTTTCATGACAATAGGTTCGGCCATTGTGGCGTCGCTTAACTTACTACCGTGAGAAAGGGTACCCTTTTTCTGGAATTCCTTTTTACTTATTTCATTCCCCATTTTTTCCGGACTCCTTTTGACGTCTAATCGCCCCTGTGTGTACCTGTGACCCTTGTAATCGCCTTTACCTGCTGATTGTTTCTTATTTTTGAACGAACGCTCGAATGCGTAACTAGGGTCTTGTTCGTCAAATGGAAATGACTCCAATCCTTTGACATTTCTTTGATCTCCTTCGTAGTCCTTCAAGATAACGTTTGAAATATCTTCCTGCACGTTTGGGCTCAGATCTCGTAATTGTTCCAAGTCACTGTTAAGCACGTCCGTGTGGCCCTCCCAGGACTCCAGATCTCTTCTAACGTTTGAGTTATCTTTGGCCTTTTTTCTTTTATGGACTGACGACAAAACATGAGATACCTTTCCCTTTCTAGATGGCGTAACATTTTTTCTTTCCTGTATTGCTTTAGAGGCAATTCTATTTTGACTAAGCTGTTTCCTTTCCGTTTTTAGTCTCTTCACTTTTAGCGGTTTATCCATAAATTGTAATAGTGACCTTTCCTTCTTTTTTTGTTCTTCGTCGTTTGGCTTGACCTCGTAGTAAGCCACTGTCTCAGGTGACAACTCTTGAAGGTTACCAGACGTTTCTGCTTCAGCTCTGTTTGAACCATGAGCCAAGTGTTTTTCAATCTCTTTCATTTCATTTGCTGTCAATCCAAATATAACAGAAGTTGGACTTATCTCGGAGTCACGAGTCCCTGGTTGACTCCGTGACTTTGTCGGTTTGACTGCCAAGGAATCGCTAAGCCGTAGCTTTCTGGGAAGGTTTAATTTCCTCAGGAACGAAGACGACTGCTTTAAATTTGCTTTTCTTCTATATTTCCGCTCCTTGTGTTTGGAAGAATACGTTTTCGCTATTTTCTCTTTCTTTTTTAACTGTGCCAAGTGGTCTGGTAATGAGTTCATTCCATATGGTGTCATCAACTCTGCTTCGTCGCCTTCATTTATCGCTTCCTTCTGGTTATTTCCGTCATTGTGTAAATCATAACTAAATGACGAGGACGGTTTATTCGTGCCAGTTAAGCGGTCAAAATTAACAAGGCTGCGCATAGGGGCAAGATCTACGGCTGAAATATCAGAGACAGTTTTAGGACTTATGAGCATCTGATCCTCAAGGTTAGATTCCACCGGTGTTTCATACTTGTCGCTTTGCAGCCTCTCAAAAGGTGAACTAGTTGATTCAGAAATGGTTTCCATATTTCCATTTCTCCCGTCAGGACTAACGAAGACAGGGTTGGTTTGATGCTGAACGTCCGCTTGTTGGACAGAAGCCATAATTTTCGAATTCTGTTTTTCCTCTTCCTTAATCAAACCGTTATCTCGCGCAAACGACTCGGCAACTTCGGCTTTTCCAAGTCGATTATCTAGAAGTTGACCTGTAACGTAATTTACTTCCCCGGTATCTAAATCTGAAACTGTTGTTTTAGGTTTGGGTAAGACTTGTCCCACAATGTGACCAACGTCGTTTATTTGGTGTTCAAGATAACTTGCTTCTTTTGCATCTTCCTCTTGCATACCATTGTATGGGCTGGCTGCAGAAACCGAGAACTGTCTATTCACCATGGAGTCCCCCATCATATTTAGCTGTAAATATTTGGCTTCATCAGGATCTAACTTGGTGATGTTATTGAAAAGAAAACGGCCATCTATTTCTTGATTTAGATATTCTTGTGAAGGGACGTTATTTGTCATTGATCCCAGCATTGTTTCATCATTTAATTTTTTATCCTCAGCAGATTCCTCTTTAGCATTTTCTCCCACTTGCTCATTGCTTCCTTCGTAGGCGACGGTCTTACTTGCGCTTGATGTTTGAAGTTGTTTGCCACCCACACTTTGTTTTTCCTTCATAATTCGCTGAAGAGGGATACTATTGTTTACGCTGGAAACCAGTCCATTTGCGTATGGTGTCAAAAGTTGCCCTTTATCTAAAACCTGTTCTTTGCTGGCTTCAGTGGAATTTTGGCCTTTAAGTCGCTCGACCTTGTCGAATTCAAGTAAAGGCCGATGGCTTAAATTGAAACTATGACTTATAACTCCAATATGGCCTGCCTGATATATAGGTTTCTTTGCTATCTCGTTTTGTGTGCCTGGTTTAGCGCTGTCGTGGATTTTTTGATCGGCAACATTCAGTTTTGAAGAAGGAGCGGGTGTGCTACTGTTCAATTCTTTTGCCACCTTAGATGTGTTCATTACAGTGAAGGTAAACGTTTTATTAGTGATGCCCAAAGTATGTGCAGGTTCCTCCATATGGTTTGCACCATGAGAACTATACGGAAATCCGTCACCCGGCTTTCTTATGGGCTCACCGTTGACGTTCGTCTGCAGCAAAGTATCAGTTGATTTAACTTTTGTCGAGTCAACTTTCGGAAGAACTTTCAAGGAGTTGTTTGAGGCTCGTCCAAAATCAAGATGTGAAATTTTATCACTCTGCTTTAAAAGAGCCAGTGCTATTGCGTTTGCCCAGATGTTCTTCACTGTTGGGTGTTTAGCCAATTGCATTGAAACAAACCTGCTCCCCTCGTCACCAAGACGCTCTATGACATTTTCGATAAGTTCTGGAAGCTGAGCGTTTACCGACCCTTGCATAGAATTGTCAAGTCTTCTCTCAGATGATTGTGTGTTATTGAAAGCCTTTTGATTATTTTCAGTAAGTTTATCGTTTGAAATATTCCTTTCTCTTTTAATAAGAGTCGTTCCTATATTGATGTTAGGCAATGAACTAGAAACAGCCATTTTTCCAACGAAAGTTGAATTACTTGCAGGAATCTTTCCCCAATTATGATTTTTCGTGAAATTTTGTCCATTATCAGCTGAATTATCAATTTTTTTTGTTGCGCTTGTTATTTTATATGGAGCTTTCCCCGATGAATTATGCCTACTGGCTTCTTGGCTGAATAAATATGAAACTTTAGCTAGTGGGTCTTTCAGTAATTGGTCTTTAACTGGCCGAACATTCTTGTGTAAATTTTGCTTTTCTGAAGACGTCAGTTTCTGGGACAAACTTGCGTTTTCAAGTTTTATCTCTTTATTTTCTAGAGTATAAGGGCCAAGAAGAATATCCCCTCCAGAGTCATCCTTTTCAACATGGAAGCCATAATTCTTGGCGTCTTGATTTTCCAGTTCACCATAAACGTTTTCTTCAAGTGCTGAAGGTGTCAATACATCTACCTCGGGACTTGCGTCAACATATCCTTTATTATCGGCATCGTTCCCTTGAAAGTTATTCTCTTTGGATTCGGTGTCTTTCAATACCCCAGCAAAATTATTGTCACTCAAGGGACTATTCTGTATCAGGGTAGACTTGGTAGCCTTTATCGCTTTCCTGTTACCTCTTCTTACGTTTTTCTGTATCCTTTTCACATCTTGATCGTCCGTCACAGCTATCAAGGGCTTTCCTAAAGTGATGCCTGTATGTGATAGATAAATGATAGATATATTAAAAAATCAAAATATTCATGGTGACATTGTTAATCTCGTTTTTCTAAGAAATATAAGATTGAACGATTGTCAAAGACCAAAAGAAGTTTTCTACAACAAAACTTTAAAACACGCAAGTCCTGCTAGTGCACTAAGTTTACACCCTCCTAAAAAACCGAGTCAGATCCATTTCACATTTCTTATAAAGTATTTTTACTTCCTTTTCTTCACTGCCTGCCCCCCAAAAATGATGTAAATTCACATTGTGTCTAGTTTATATTAAACTTAGTGAAATGTACGCATTTTGTAGCTCTAGTTTCTTGACTTAGCCTGAGTACTGAAGTTAGTAAAAACACCAAGCACAAGACCCTGTAATAAGGCTGGCGTATTTCAGGTTGTCTTATATTCACATATAAAGGTATTTCAAAATTTTGCTAACAGCAAACCACTCTAGTAAGTAACTATTATTATATCAGTCTGAATATCGAATGCGATGGTTAATTTGCCTGGTACTCTTCCTTTACGGGTCTAGCCTTTCCAGACGTGCGCGCAATTTTCCAATCCATCCATTTTCCTTAGTTTGTTTTCTCACACCACTAAGGCTTAACAGATTGATCACAATTAAAGTTAAGAATATACTTCAAACTCACCAGAACTGCCTGGTTCAACAAGAGAAACACATGTCGCGTATGTCAAAAACCAAGTGAATTCGAGAATTGCAAATGCTGTCCTCCTCATTGTCATTTATCAACAAATTCCATGGCAACCTGAAACTAAGAACAAAAATTTGCGCTTAAATAACCAAAATGATTTAAGTCCCTTGAGATATATCATCATAAACTTGAAATCCTTTTTCGTGTCGTGGTGATCTCTAAGTAGGTGTTTCACTGACTCAAGTCGGACTCGGCCACTTTTTGTTGTAGCAATTCATATATTATATATATATAACTATTATCTCAGTTCCTCTATCGAAATAAGAGGCAGTAGATTAAATCGGAAAGTGTAGTTAACTACAGTTTCTTGGTAAGTTCTTGCCTGTTGGTTATGGCACTGCGAATGTGTTTTATAGTTAAAAGTACTTAGTTTTCATTCCTACAAGACAATAAATAGCATGTTCTAAAAGTTTAGCTGTTCTTCATTGAAGATGTCAAAAATCATAGAAATCGGTCAAATTTTTCCAGTTGAAAAACGTAGCTAACGCGGTACGTGATAAATGGGTTGGGGTCTAGGCCTTAAGTAGTGCTCCCGTCTACTACTCTGAGTTCGCGATGTTTTTCTTTTCAGATAGATCAACATTGTTTGTAGATCACCTCTGACAACGGGATATGAATTTAAAAATGGTAGTGAAACGATATGGGTTTCTGTTTTGAGAACACTGAGTGAGCTGACTCAAGATAGGTCATGTTTTTGCGGTCTTGCAATAAGTGTGGTACAAACCTTTGCTGCGTCAATATGAGCTGCTGGTGCAAGCACTAAATGACTTCTTGAAATGACACTTTTTTTCGAGGATATTGAGTTTTTGTTACTGTTATAGTTCTACCAAACAATATTGACGTGTTTTAAGCCCCGTTTCTACTAAATAATTTTGCTTTATTCCTCTTGAAAAAGATGTCATTGCAATTAGAAAATTTTGTTGTTAAAATCTGACTTATATGGAGAGGATGCAGGTCTTTCGATAGTCGGGGAGAGTTTACCTGTTTTTGAAGATCAAGTACCGACAAGTACCCCAACGGTTATGTCAGTTATTTCATTAGCACAGCTGCTGGGATGTTTTTGTGAAAATTTTTAACAATGATTAATACTTTGCACAGTTTGATAACTAAACTTCGCAATCTCACATTGTTATATCACTAAACAAAACAATAAATTGTAAGTATATGTAACGTACTTTTTAGTTGAACATTACCTGAAATTTCTCTTATGTATATGTCATCCTCGTAGACTCAGCAAACTTTAAATAAGTGATCTTTTCGGATTCCTTAAGACGCCTAGAATCCTATTCATATGACTTAGGTGAAAATAATCAGCTTTTTCTCAAGTTTAAGATTTTTTTTACGACATGAAGTTCTTTCCTTCTTTCCAACTTGTTAATGATTTAAGCTCTCTCTTGTGATCAAGTGTTGTAGATTACACCAGAGGTCAGGTTCAACCAATCAAAACAAAGCTAGCGCGACAGGCGGCTTGTAAATTCATTCATGATTAAGCGCATCAGTGAAGTGACCCACCGCTACCTGTTTTTCTTGGCTCGGAGTGAAATTGGGTCTTATTTATTCAGAGAATACGTTACCTTTACTCCGAGTTTTCATTACTTTAGCTGGTAGAGTTGAAGTACAAGCGTGTTCTAAGGGCAAAAGCGAGCCGTCTTCGGGATAATTTAGACTCAACTACACAAACTGACTACTAAAACGGATTGAGTATAGATTGAGATTGAGATCTCCTCAGACTTCATACACTTCTCCGTTGCTTAAAAACCAGTGAGAAGATTTTTGGAACAAGGAAAGGAAAGTAAGTAGGTCTGAAAACTCAACCTCAGCGGTCCACAAGGAGTTTAATGGTTCAGTCAGTGATTATTTCTTTGTTTAAATCTTAGATGAGTCTACAAATTCTAATTGGCTATATTCAGTGAAAAAGTGAAGTACACGGAATCTGACTACAAAGCTTTTTCTATCTTGAATGGCAGGTGACTCTAATAACGTCGCGTCGGCAACGAAAGATCCGGCGCAGGGAGCAAATGGCACTCAATACTGCACGTGAACCCGGCGAAGTACCGATCAAGACTAGGAAATGAGTTGCAAAGACAAGACTCTTAGTGTGTGCTTATTGAATTTAAGAACAAATCTGTTCCCAAGCCTGATGTTGCACGAATTTCAACTTGTCCAACTTTTGGTAATGCGTATTCTGGTTGCTGGCACAGAATGTTATAAGGGCGCCATGAACCCTTGTGTGTTCTGCAACACGACCGTGTAAAGGTAAGGTAAAACGGGTAACAAAAAAACGCGTAATTTGTTTTGAAGTAATGTTGCAAAACAAGTTTACTGTAGCTTAACGAATTCATTAGTTCAGCTGATCGGAGATAAAACAAACTTTTTGTAGCCATGAGCTGAGACAAAAACCACAAAATACCTGATTAGGGAGCTTAAGCAAAGGCAATTTTCAGCGGATGCACGCCAACCGGAAGTGAGGTATTTTTCACTGATTTAAAAGCACCTTGACGCTACCACATTTGTATTTCTAAGTGTCTTTACTATTATAGAGACGAACTGTCAAAACACTGGGGCAAAAAAACCGTCTAAAAATGAAAATAAAAAGACCACTTCCGGTTGACGTGCGTCGCTCAAAAACGTCTTTGCCCCGGAGGGGGGAGGGGGGAGGGGGGGTGTACGCCCTTACAAGAGGCTAATAGGGATGTGTCGCTGGATGGGGTCGCATTTTCATGACTGGATTGACTATAATGGGGTCACATTTTCAATCTGAGATTTACTAGAATGGGGTCGCAAATTTTCGGATTTTTGGGGTAAGTAGGCGGGATTCAAAATGGGAAGATTCTCGGTTAAAAAATCAGAAAGTTGTTGTTTATTAAATTTAACAATAAGCTCGCATTGACCGCATTACATTCCGCCGCTTGAAACCACATTGATACGGTAGATGTATAAATAGAAAGTGACTAAGTTGGGATCGCGAAAATTACATTTTCCAAAAAGTGACTAAGAAGGGGTCTATAATAGGCCAAAAAATAGACTATAATAGGGTAGAGAAAGAAAGATTAATTTATGAAGCCTCGAACAAACATTAACCCAAGTCTCCCCCCCCCAGGGGGTCTTTTCTCACTATTTGCTTTTGTCTAAGGACACTACATTTTTTCCTGCTTTTCGTTCCTGTGTGTTCACTGTGATTTCACTGCCCGGGGAGGGTAATATTTATAATGGCCTAAGCGGGGAGGCTCCGCCCGAAAGAAGTGCCTTTTTCAGGCTTCAGGTATATGAAAGGGTAGGGAAATCCGTCATTTCAGTCTGTGAAAAAGAAAAAATGGCTAACAGATGTATTTTATGGCAGTGGAAACTGAAAACGTTCTGGTTTTGTGATTTATTCATATTTTAAAGTCAGCGCATTTACAGTAGTTAAAACGGATGCAAAGTTCTAGGCTACGTATATGAAATGCGTGCCATTAGTAAATAGAAAATCGCTATACCTTTTCTTTCCAGAATGGTGTATAAAAGTGTAAAGGGGTGGCCCTCGGGGCGGAGCCTACCAGTGAGAATAGAACTTTGTAGCTTACTTCTTCATAATAAGGACAATCGGTATCAATTAAAATATTGAAAAATGCACACAGACCTTCCAATTGGTCACCAATGATCGACTTTTTGACCAAAATCATGGGTTGACTTCTTTGAAAACTGAAAATTTTTCGACAGTGTTGAAATGACATTTTTATAGCCTAAAAAGGCTTTCGTTTCTATCTAAAACGTGAGAAAACAACATATCTGGTGCTTTTTTGAGCACAAAGAAATTTTAACTAGGCCTATTTTCGACTATTATGTTAAAAGGAAATTGTTATGGTCTAGAAAGCCTGGTATTCAATCAAGAAAATTTATCGTTCATCTTATCTAGGCCTCTTTGGAAAATGCAAATGTTTCAACTGTGTTAATGATGTTAAAATAGCATTTTATAGTCTAGTGAAAGTCATGTCTTCCATCTAGAAAAACATCAAACATCATTAGCTATAATTACCAGGTTTATTTTAAAGAAAAACAAACTTAAATGACATTTTGATATCCTAAAATACCTCCTTTTTGTCTAGAACATACGTAAACAGTATATCTAGCTCTCTTTTAATGATAAAAAAAATTGCAAGGAGTTTCAAATATTTGACCAAAATTACGGGTTAACCCATCTGAAAAACTGAAAATCGTTCGACTACGTTAAAAAGAAATTTTTAAGGTCTAGAAAGCCTTGTTTTCAGAACATTATCAATCGTCTTATGTCGACCTGTTTATAAA